TCAATGATCTTTTGGGGTAAACACAATTGTCGAAACATCGTCTGTTGCCATCTTGGTAAGCTGCAAAATTGTTTAAACAATTAATTAGTCTGTTGGGTAAATATCAACGAGTTTCGCAGACACTCTAGAGCGACAAGGGGGAGTGAGCCACAGCCAGATCCCCATCATCATAAATTTCTTTAGACCGATTTGTTTAGTCTTTGGCCCACTCGGGGAACAAAAGTGTTTACAAATTGGCCAGCCGAGTCGAACAAAATGTTTTGCTCAAACAATTAAGGCAGCAAAAAAGTTGGAAATCAAACTGGGATTGTTCTTCTTTTTCTGATACGCGGTTATGGGAGAGTTCAAGGCCTAAGAGTTGTGTGATTTCAAGGGATTTTCTTTAGGATTGTTCTGTGGGATTTGCATATGTAAAATGTATCAATGATTCATTGGATTTAGTTTATGTTTTTACAGATCTACACCTTTGCAAATCAATAAAATCGAAATGGTTTCCTCAGTATTTCGAATAAATCATTTTTATTAGTCAATGCAGTCATTCATGTTTTCCTGGAACGATTAAATTAATCAAACAGTTTAATTAATTTCTGTTTGAATTCCCTTCTGAGGGTATCTTTAAGTTGACACTTTAAGCCATTTATCGTTCTCACTGGTTTTGGCCTTATATTTTTTTGTTCTGGGTATTAAATTTTAACTGCCCAGCCTGGTCGCCAGCAATTAGCCGAATGAATGTGGGGAGTGGGTGGGTGGTGAGGTAGTAACCTGTTTGCAGTTGGTGAGAGAGAGAGTGTCGTTTCAAAAATTTATATCTCAATTTCACATCTAAATGCGAATTATCTTTTTTTTTTCTTCTATGCCTCTCTATGTGTGTGTGTGTCCATTGAATGTGTGTGCTTTGGGTTCATTTGATTTGTGTGTGAGAATCGCTGCAGCTGTTTGGCATTGGGGCGCAGGTTGTGCCCGCCCAACGCCCCCAGCATTTTTCTCTACTTTTCCAGAGGTTAACCGTTTACCAAAAACCGATATAGATCTGGGTTATTTTTTTGCGTTTTATTTGATATTTTTTGGGTATTTTTTGCGTTGACCACAAAACATCGGAGTAAGTGGGCTTTTTTGAGTTACAATAAAAGAAAATAATTTAGATTAAATGATGAGTTAGGTTTTGGATTTTCTACTTAAAAAAATTGTGATTTAACTGAAATTTATCAATAACTAAATTTGGGTATGATTATGGTATGAAGTGTAGATTTTTAAAAATATTTAAGGTCTGTTTTTCTAACTAAGTTACCTTCTCGTCTAAGTTTTACTCCTAAAACCCAAGAATCAAAGCCAAGTTATCAACCTTTGATCCTAAGATCTCCTACTCAGAGCAATTTAACTACAAGTTAGCATACTCAAACCTCTTCCAAATGCACTTGTTTGAAAGTATCGAGGACGACCCAGTTAGCGCCACATGTCGCAATTCATTTCAAAAAAAATATTTTTTAAAATATTTAAGGTCTGTTTTTCTAACTAAGTTACCTTTTCGTCTAAGTTTCACTCCTAAAACCCAAGAATCAAAGCCAAGTTATCAACCTTTGATCCTAAGATCTCCTACTCAGAGCATTTTAACTACAAGTTAGCATACTCAAACCTCCTCAAAATGCACTTGTTCGAAAGTATCGAGGACGACCCAGTTAGCGCCACATGTCGCGATTCATTTCATAAGCCGCTCAAATGGCCCAATGAAATATGCATATTTGATACGAGATGACAGCGTATCACATATATGGGCTGCGATGAGGAGGGGTTCGCCCTCATACATGTTGAGAGCAAGAAAAGAGGCCTGATAAAGCCTCAATTCACCCCGAGAAAAAATGCCTGGGTCGTTTGTGCAGGAAAAAGCTGAAATGGCAGGCAGATTTAATATATTTTAGTGCTTCTTCCCCTTCGTATTTCTATGACCTCCGCCCGCCCGTCGTCTTTCTACCCCAATTACTCATATAAATTATAAAGAAATGAATCAGGGTCCTAGTTACTACACACCCATAAATAAAAGTTTTGCTGTAATAATTGTAATTGGTCAATGGAAAACTTTAACTACGATTTCCATTCGATCGATTTTGGGTCACTCACTAGTCTGGTCCTAGCAACTCAATTTGGTTTAGTTTCTTGGCAAGATTTACACGCTCGTTGCACATTAATTGTACACAATAAGGATCCGCATATCCTTGACTACGAATGGGGAAGGCACTCACTTGAAGGAGGGGAAAAATGTATGAAATTTCCATTTCTGGGTTTTTGCTCATTTAGCGCTCCAAGTGAATTCAATGGAAGCCCAGCATTCTTTTTTTTTTTTTGCCGCCTATTGCTTTTCCTGCGTTTGCCATGGATGCGAAAATGTGGAGGTGACCTATATACATATGAGTGCACTGGGAAAAATAGGGAAATTTACTATAAACTACAAACTATAATGACCTACTTGAGAGAAATGCTTTTAGCTAACTTTTTTTCTAGGTTTATACTTCAAGGTTAGAAATCTTCTTAGATCAAAAACTACTGAAAGTTATCAATATATTTCTTTCAGTGTAAAGCTTAGTACATAATGCAGCTCCTTGGTAACCATTGCCACTATATAGACTGTATATCTGGCCGGCATGTGGTCGCTGTCGCCGTCGAGCTTCGCATATATCTCCCTCGATTTAATAGGCCCAATTAGTTAGATGAATTGTGAATATTTTCTCAATGCTCTCTCGCGTTCTTTTGGCTTTTTTTTTCTTTCGGTCGAGATTTAAGTTTATGAATATTCAATGAAGTGTGTGCCATAAATTATGAATGCCATTTGTTTGCATTTCGCCTTGATTTAATGGCCTTGAGCGAGTAGGCCTAAAGCACAACCCTCTTTGAGGTTTTGTCTTTAAGATTTTTGGTTGCTTTAAATTAAATGTATTTATCATAAAAATTGTTGTTAACTAAGTGATATTTGAAAGTTACTCAAGTTCTAGTTCTAGGAAAATGATTTTGAAGTCTTAAAAGTTATTAAAATGATTTTTCTCATGAAAAGATTTAATCATAAATTACTCAACCTTTTGGGTGATTTTGTTTTTTGTACTAATTCTTTAAAATTCCATTCGTTTATTTTAAGAACTTTAGATCTTTGTAACTAACAAAACTTTAGAAGCTTTACGTTCTTTTAAAATTCAAAACCAGTATTAAAGGTACTAAGTTTTGAACTAATTATGAAATGATAATTACAATAGTTACAAGTTAATAACTTTACAATATCTATCTAGATTAGCTAAATCTAAAGTTCGAGAAAACAGTGATTAGCTGGCCTTTTCCACCTTCCGTTTAACCCTTTTCCCCCTTCGAAGACAAATAAATATTTGCCGTTCTAATACCAAAAATAATCTCTCATTACTCACCCACCCACACCCACACAACCGAAGACCTCATCCTGTTCCTGGACGGAAGTTGGTTGGATAATTCCGCAATCTGGCCATTAGCATAATCAGAACGTTTGCCAAGAAAAAGGAAAATGTTTGAACATGCCAGAGAAGGGAAATGGGGAAAAAGTCGCCTCAGTCGGCAGCGCACTTAAACATTTAAATAAAAATGATAACTTTATGCGAAGGGGGTAAAATTAGATGAAAAGGAGAAGGGTGATGGGGGAAGGGGGGCAAAACCAAAAATGTCATTACAGGACTATCTGTAGGACAGACGCAACAGAAGCAGCTACCACTGACGCCAAGTAAAAGTTTTTCTTGAAAAAAAAAAAACCATCGAGGAAAATAGTAAAGCAAATCCAGAAAAGTATTAGAAAGTCTGTGGGGAGTTGGGGGGCTGTTGCTCCTGTCTGCGAACAGGTTTCGTCGTCAGGCGGGCGTCTGACAGACCCCAGAAGCTTCCCCATCCGCCTCCTAATTCCCGGCCCACCCACTCACATGTCCTGGCAACGGTGATAAATGGCGCCAATGTGCCGCCCGGAGTCGCGACGCGTCGCAATCGCTTTTTCGGTGCCTTTTCAATGGATGCAGGGGGTGTCTTTACATAGAGAAATTTGTTAATAATGTATCTAAGGGTTTTGCAAATAAATATTTAGGATATAAAATATATTTTTATGTTAATTTATTGTTAAAACTTAATAATTTGAATTTAAGATTACTGCTTTCTGTATTTTAAAACATAAAACTCAACATTTCTTTGAATTTTCTAACATTTTCTCTATGTGTTTTTCAAAATTTGTAGGTGGGTGGAATCTGCGGCAAGTTGCCTTTTACAGTTAGTTTAGTTTGTAATGCTCCATTTAGCCTGGCTGCCATCCTGGCTCCTCCCATCCTAATTTTTCTTCTTTTTTTTTCTGATACCAAAACCCTCTAACCTTTAACCAAAAAAAGGTTAGCTAGCTGATGACAAATCCACACACTAAACGTGTTTGATTCTATTTGTTTCTGGCATTTCACTTTTTGTCTACTATTTTCCGCACTCCGATGACATGTAATTGTCCTCTTTTTGCACCTAGACAGGATCGGCAGAGTATTTGTTAGAAGGGGAGGTGTTATGGGTTGTAGGTTGTGGCCTGAGTAGACCATGTCGATTCGCTGTCATTACGCTGCTTACACGCGGTTATTTATGACAATTGTTGGAAAATATGAATTGACAGGAACGACGACGACGACGACGACGGCGACGGCGACAGGCGACGAGGTCTAGTGAAGAAGACATCTTCCAATTAGAGAGTGGAGAATATATGTAAGCCATAAAAATGTCGACAGACAATTGAATGGCACACACAAGCTGTGGAAAAGGAAACGCAGTGTCTTGTCCTTCGACTTCCAGCCAACCAACCAAATTGCTTACAAATCGTTACATCAGCGCAATGAGCAAAGTCCTGGGGATTTGCAAATTTTGCAATTCTTTTATTTCACATATATCTACGAGTATATATATTTTTCTGTTCAATTTTTAGCAAAAATGTTATATTTGTATCTAAAAATGCGTCTTCTTTCTACTCGTTACAGAACTCCATACGTCACAATCTGTCGCTGCACAACCGCTTTATGAGGGTTCAAAACGAGGGCACCGGCAAGTCCTCCTGGTGGATGTTGAACCCGGAGGCCAAGCCTGGCAAATCCGTGCGTCGTCGTGCCGCTTCCATGGAGACATCGCGTTACGAGAAGCGACGTGGCAGGGCCAAGAAGCGTGTGGAGGCACTGCGTCAAGCGGGCGTTGTTGGTCTAAACGATGCCACGCCCTCGCCTAGCAGCAGCGTCAGCGAGGGGCTAGACCATTTCCCGGAGAGTCCGCTGCACAGGTAACTATTAAATGCGATGAGTCAAGTACAGTAAACTATCTATATATAAAGAAAACTTACTAGAAAATATAGTTAATTGCTTAGCCTTTCATTACTTTTTAGTAAGTTATTTAGCGATTTCAATTATTTTTTGAACTATTTATCTTGTTAGAAATAATCTATTTTGTTAGTTAATTGGCTAGTTAATATTTAATAAATTAATAGAACTTTTTCAATAAATAAACTTAGGATGGAAATGCAAAGTTTTATCAGGATTTTAAGTCTACTTTTTCACTAACCAAACTTATTTTACTTATTTAAACTGAAGCATGGTTAGTTAATTTATTTCTTTAACTACAAAATTTATAATAAATTAACTTAATTTAAACTTAAATTAGTTCACTAAGTTAAAGCGCTTTTAGAGCATGATCTAAACAGATTTTTTATAGATTATTTAACAATCAGCGCTTGAGCTTCACTGTGGCCATTGATTGGCTTGTTTGTAGAGTTTTTGATCTCATTTTAACTTGTCTCTGACTCTAGAGTCTTGTCTACCTATAAGTTTTTATTTTACAAATAAATATTGCTTTTTATATAAGTTGTTATATATTCAATTTTTATTTATTTGTTTCTTGTTTTTTCTTATTTATTTTTACGACGATAAAGTGGCGGTGGCTTCCAATTGTCGCCCGACTTCCGGCAGCGCGCCTCATCCAATGCCAGTTCCTGCGGGCGCCTGAGTCCCATTAGGGCGCAGGACTTAGAGCCCGATTGGGGCTTCCCTGTTGACTACCAGAATACGACGATGACGCAGGCCCATGCCCAGGCCCTCGAGGAGTTGACGGGTTCAATAGCGGATGAGCTGACGCTGTGCACCCAGCAGCAGCAAGGGTCAGTTCTCTCGATGGCTGTTTATTTCATTTTTGTTTTGAATTACCCAAATGATAGATGTCATCCCCTCAGCCTTTTTATGTTGTTTAATATAATTTGTTGCATGCATGAAATCAAAAAACGAAAATACCTTAACTTGCTTGAGCTTTGCATGTTTGATAATCTCGATGGTCATGTCGTAGAACAGATCTATAAAGTCACCTTCTCTTCTCGTTCTTGCCACCCAACGATCGTACGGCTGGAGTAGATTCAGTGCCGCTTCGGGTATACCCACGCAGCCCCCGCCCCCGCCTTATCAGCCACCGCAGCATCAGCAGGCGCAGCAGCAACAGTCCTATGCCCTCAACGGCCCCGCCACTGGCTACAACACACTGCAGCCGCAGTCGCAGTGCCTGCTGCACCGATCCCTCAACTGCAGTTGCCTGCACAATGCAAGAGACGTGAGTAGCTTAAAGTAACAAGGATATTAATGTATACATTTTAACTATCATCTTAAGGGGTAAGAAATCTTAGATTCAAAGGGCGACTATGATATTTTAAAGGTTTTTTAAGATATTCTAACAAATTTAAACTACTAATGATAAACTAATGTTAACTTAAGAAGTGGTTTATGGTCCCTTTTGGATTAAATTATAATAGTTGCCTTATATATTTATATATACGAGTGCCACGGAATCGATAATCAATGGAAGCATAAATCCGATTTGGAGAGCCATAAATCACTAGCCTAGATAATGATTTGTAATATTATAATTTCGTTGATTTCCATAATCAAAGAGAGGTTTTTTCCGCCAGTAATATGCATAAATCATATTAAAAAGGGGTTATCAAAGTCTATAAACATATTCAAAAATTGTATTCAGACATCAATAATGGTCTAAATAAATTTCAAAAATTTATTTTAACTGATAATTTAGAGCTTGATATGCTTTTAACACAAACAAAAGATCTTTTAAGGCGATTTTAGTACATTTTATATAACAATAATTAAATATATAGTAAATAGATATATTTTAAAGTTTGATTTTCACCAACATTACTCTTCCTTTTCCAGGGTCTCTCGCCGAACTCAGTAACCACAACAATGTCGCCCGCCTATCCAAACAGCGAGCCCTCTTCGGACTCACTGAACACGTACAGCAACGTGGTGCTCGATGGTCCCGCGGACACTGCCTCTTTGTTGGTGCAACAACAGCAACAGCAACAGCAGCAACAATTGTCCGGCAACTTGGAAGGTAAGAAGATAAAGTCAATCAATCTTTCTAACTTCATTATCTATACCTCTATCCTGCTTATCTTCCCCTTTAACCGTCTCTGTATCTCTCGCTCTGCCGTATGACCAACTCCACCTCTCTCCACCTAACTCGATGCGATATGTTAGATAATAACTGCGCCTCTACTTTGATAGGACAATGCCTGGAGGTGCTGAACAACGAGGCCCAGCCGATTGACGAATTTAATCTGGAGAACTTTCCAGTGGGGAATCTGGAGTGCAATGTCGAGGAGGTGAGTTATTATAAATTCTAAAGAAAAGCAGGTTCCTTAAATAAGATAATGCTCTTTTCCTATATCCCAACAGTTGCTTCAGCAGGAGATGAGCTATGGCGGTCTGCTGGACATCAATATCCCCTTGGCCACGGTGAACACGAACTTGGTCAACAGCAGCAGTGCGCCCCTGAACATCAGCAGCATCAGCAACATCAGCAACATCAGCAACATCAGCAACCTCAGCAACCTTAGTAACCTTAGCAGCAATTCCGGCAGTAGTCTCAGTCTAAATCAGCTGCAGGCTCAGCTGCAACAGCAACAGCAGCAGCAGCAACAACAGCAGCAACTGCAACAGCAGCAGCAACAGCAACATCAGCAACACCAGCAACAATTGCTGCTCAATAATAACAACAACAGCAACAGCAGCTTGGAATTGGCAACACAAACGGCTAGCACAAATCTGAATGCCCGAGTGCAATACTCGCAACCCAGTGTGGTGACCTCGCCACCATCTTGGGTCCACTAGATAATGGTCGATGATCCTAGGACGATCTTTAGTTGTTAATCGTCGTCGTCATCGTCATTATATGTGTATGTGTTGTTTGTGTCGCCAATGGAACGCTTTAAACGCTAATTCTAAGAACAATAGTGTAAAGAGTTGTAAGCTGCAGGAGATGAAGGGGAGAAACTGGATACGGAAATGGAAACGGAAACGGATGAGGATAAGAGGAATCGGTGTCTTTATCGGTTATGCAGCAGCTGCAGGATCAGTGAGCAGTAAGGAGGAGCCGCAGCTGGACAGCCACTAAAAAGTTTACAAAGTAAGTATAAGATATATATTATTAATATATAGATCTTAGGTTCTTTAGATAGAATTAGATCTGTAAAACTTAAAGCGGATTAAATTTCCGATCAAAATGAATTTCCTTAAATAGAGCTTATTAAAACTGATAGATATCTATTCCATAAAACATGAGCAGCTTTTACTGCTTACCACTGCATCCATCGGTCGCTTTCAATTAACATCATCATCGGAACTAAAAGCCATTCAATGTGACAGCATAAATTATGTTAATAATGTCATTTCACGGCGTACATTTTATGAATATGTAAAATGGGAAAAAGTGGCTGAGACCGGAACCCCTCCTCCCCCATGCTTTCCGAGAGATTTTCCTTCCCCGTTTCCTTTTTTTTAACTGCGATTCCGTGTCCTGTTTATATACAAATCGTCTTCAGTTGACTTCACTGGCACCCATGAATCTTTTATGGACAATTCCATTCGTGAACTTCTTTCTTCCGTGGCCGTGGAATTTGTACTTATTTTTTTGTTTGCTGCTACTTGAGGGCAATTACAAGCGTTCAATTATCATAATACATTGTCAGGAGAGCAACAAACAGAAAAAATACATGAAGAATTTCCTTTAAGTCCTTTTCAATTTGAGCGCTTTTAAAGTGAGAGGTTGCCGCGCACGGAGCTCACTCAAATTATGGCAAATTAAGTCAATTTACCTAAGCCATAAAATATGTAAGAGCCACTTTGCTACCTTGGCAGGACAGGCTATATATATATATATGTATGTATCCAAGCCAAGTGTCCTTTTGCCCGGTTTCCGCGCTAATTTGACTGGCCAAGCATGGCGAAGTCGAAGGGAAAATAGCCCGAAGGCATCTCAGGGCAGGCAAACCGCGGCGCAAATTCGTCAAGGCAACTCCCCTTCGTCCTTTTTCGGGTCCGTCCAGGTCTACTAGCCTTCGAAAGCAAATGCTGAAAAATTAATTACGTCCTTAGGGTGACTTATGCATGCCACTGATATCTGACCCAACTCCTGAGTTCGTCGACGGCTCACCTGAGAGGGGGACCAGCACGTGGGTCAGGTGGGTCAGCCGTGTGGGATATGTGGAGCTCAAATCAAGCGTGTTAAACGTTGCTAATATTGAAAAATTACGATGATTTGGCAGGTGGGTTTTAGGGGTGGGTGGGTGTTGTTTAATGACAGCGATTTAAGATTGAAATTTAGCAGTGTTTGATTGAAGGTTTTGATACGAAATAATGGTCTTTTTAGAGGGCAAATATTTAATAATTAAGATGCAAGAATTTTCTTGCTACAATGTACATTTCAAACCAACTTTTTAGTGTATTTATATTGATCATATCAGAATGTTACTTTTCTTTTAGAACTCAGTCTCTACCTGGTATCTCAATTACTTCCATCTATGGTTCTACTTAACATTCCTTTAGCTAGCTTTCCTTTTCCTTTTTTTTTTTTTCAATTTCAATGTCATGACTGGCGACTGTCACCGCGCATTTTTGCTTTGTGCCAAACTTCATCGGGCAACAAAAAAGTACATCAGGAAAAGTGCGGGGGAAAACCTTTGTCCTGTCCGTTTACCCACACACGCACACACAAATTGAATTCCACACTAAGTTTTGCTGTAAGCCAACAATTAGAAAACAGCAAAGCGACCAGAAAAAAGAAATACCAAAGAAAAAAAAGAAGGACGTAAGAAGGACCAAGTTGCTAGAGGACCAAGTTGTAACTTTGTCAAGTTTGGCGCCAATCGCATGACGTGCTAATAAAATAAAATTGCCAACTTGGAAAGGGACTGAAATAAAAGAAATCATTTCGAAATTTATGCCAAGTGCAAACTTTTGTGTTTGCCGGGGGGTTTTTTCCTCTTCATTTGAGTGAATAATTTGAATTGCATCAGCATCAGCAGTAGCAGCAGTAGCAGAAGCGGATTTCCATTTCTTTCACTTTTCATAATTCAACCAACTGACAGCAGCTAGAAATTCTTTTCTTATTATGCTAATATCTTAAAGTTGAATGCAAGGAGAACGGGAGGGTGAGACTCCATAGGCTTATTGCATATTTAATAAAGAATATCCTGTAGAAATAATGTAACTTTAAGGCGAGGTTTTGCCGCTGTAGCCCTTATTAGCCAGGAGCGACACATGCCACTCAATAAGTTGCCGCAACATCTGTCCAGGAGGAGGTTGACTATAAAACGCTGAAATGTTGTAAAATGAGATGGGGAATTGCTAAGAGAGCGGGACCGAGATGGGGGAAATCACATCATCGTCCGCAGATTGACTGACTTGACACATAATAAAGTCACACTCAAATTATGGTTGCAGATGGTGGTGCCACCATGGGGCAGGCAACCAATCCGCTGTTCTATGCTGTACACTATAAGAATTAAGAATTAAATAAAAGAATCAAAATATTAATTCTGGAATTTAAATGATAAAGAAATTATTAGCAAACTTTCTTTACTCCTTCTTCTTACCAATTTTTTTCTTTGAATTAATTTTATGTAACTTTCTTTTAGAAAAGGTAGAAATTGTGCTACGCTTTCAAACTTATTAAAACATAAATTGCAAATTGTCAAGTTTATTTTAAAATTTCTGTATTAATACTGTTTTTTACAGTGCACCTTTAACGGGGGGTGCAGGTTGGTTGCCCTGGTGAAACCGCGCGTGAAACACAAAGGCATTTTCAGGCAATTTATTAGTTGACAAAAAGAAGGAAAAAAATAGAAAAAAATAAAGCAAAGGAGCAAAAAAATGAGGCAAAAAATGTGCGGCTTCGTTACCGCGGCCTATGTCAGAATCCTTGGCAACCAGATTCCATCGGCCGACAGCCGCAGGACCTTCCAGCAGGACCGCAACTTTCGCTTAGGTGTTGAAACTTGTCCGCAACTCGCTGAATTATTCAGAGAGCTCAAACTTTTTTCCGGCTCACATTTGATTAAATTTTAATGCCAGTGCATCATTAATAAATTCCCAGCGGGGACGGGGAGGGAAGTTTGAATAAATTGAATTAGCGACAGGATTTGTCCGGCGGGAGCAAGTCCCCGCAGATTGTTTGACAAACTTTGGACAGGTTTGTTGGCCGCACTCGAACCAAAAGTGTCAGAACTAATTGTCCAAGTGTTGGAAATAGCTTGGCAAAAGAGAAAATCCGCCCCTGCATTGGCATTCAAATGAAAATTTCATTATCCAGGCGGCAGCGGGAAATCAATTTGTCAGCATGGGGAAAACGAATGCGCTATTCGCGACTTCATAATACAAATTGTCAGCAATTTAATAACATTTAAGCTGCCAACGGCGGTCACAATGATAAGCGAGGCCAGACATACACATCTCTACATCCTCACACTCACATTTATGTATATATATATCTGTACAAGGACCTGCTCAAAAAGGTCCTTGTGGCAACAAACCGCATTTACACTCACTTAACTCAACACGATGCGGAGGTCGCTTACCATGGCTTTTCCCCTCTGGCCAGAGTTGGGAAAACAATTGCCAGGAAGCAAAGGGAAAACTGAAAACGGCTTGTGTACAAGCTGCTTAAGGTCCTTAAGGACCCTCACCAACACACACACATGCACGCATGTTCAAACAAATAAAGCACTGCGAGCGGTTTAAACACTTGTTGCATGGACAAAGGATAATGACGTGACAGGAGCTGACACTCATACAGAAGAACTCACAAACACACGCACCTTTGCCATACACAGAAACCTATTTTCTGATCTGAACTTTTAATATTTTGATAATGAAATATACAACCCTAAAGCATATTTAATAAAACTATAAAATAGAGCTTTACGTTTAAAAGAAAACTGGATCCAGTAAAGTAAATTTTAAGCTTAAAATGAATTATTTGGAGGCAGCTCTACATAATTTTTCTAAAAGCAAAAGTATTTTCAAAAGCAATCCGATTTTTGCCGTGTAAGTAATAAAGCAAACAGTCAACGCGTTTTGTAATAAACTGCAAGGCAGCCAGAAGGAATGGCCGGAACTCCCAGAAAAGGGCAAAGAACGACAAGGACACCTGGTGGCTTCCTTTCCTGTCAATCCGTCCGTGAAAACCCCTGCAAATATGCCTTAAGGGAAGAGGAGTTTATATGGAATGGCATCTAATCACAGGCCTTGGCACACAGTCACTCAATCACATACACACACTCAGCCCCAATCGGATACAAAAATTTAATGCCTCCAAGGAGTGGCGGTCATAAAGCGCTCATAAGTAGGCTTCACACTCCCCTTCCCGCAGCTTCTGGTCCTCTGAAGTGTCGCATAAAATTCAATTGCAGGCCATAAAAACTGCGCGTGATCTACATACAGAATATAATTTAAAGCTGTAACTAATAAAATTGTCAGCGATAAGTGAAGAGCTTTGATTTTTATGATTTTTTTTTTGCAAGCGACAACAATTTGCCAACAGAACCAGAATTTATTGTTGGGGGGCTCTGAGGCAAAAAATCTTATTTTAAATGTTTAGCGCCGTCGTTTTTATGGCATAATTTTGGCCATTTGTAGTTTTGTCCTTTGTGGAAATTTGCATAAAAATTGGCAGATAAGAAGAGAGAAGGAAAGTGTCGAGTGCTGTATCTCCCTCTCATCAGCCGGCTTATGAATATTTCTGTCAAGTGTCAAAAGCTATTAGACCCCGAAAAAAAATCTCTGAATAAATTAGCCACTTGGGAGGAAGGCTGTCTTGGTCATTGTCGGAACAGGCTGATTGTGCTTTTATGGAGTGTTGATGGGAGGGAAACTGATTTACTTAGAATAAGGATACTTACCCACTCTTTATATATATATAGAGATTATATAATTAAAAACTTACTAAGCTTTTCTTGTTCTTTTGTCTTTTCAGGATAAATCTGGTCGCTTCTAATCTAACATACATACAATACATATACATAGATATATAATTACAAATATATAGTTATGCATTACACACGTAGAAACGAAGCATACAAATAATACCAATTAATCACCAATAATTAGATGCTACAATTAGTGAAATTCTCTGTGGCAGTGCAAAAACAATTTTGTCCACTTAATGAAGGGAAAATTTGAATTGAATTGAAAAGAAAACACGGTTTAGTTATTAGGTTCAACTTTGTACATATTAATTTTAATAACCTTGACGTAATGAAACCCACAAATAATAATAATAATATTAATGACTACTACTGATAATAAAGAACAACAAACAACAAGCGTAAAACGTAAACTAAATGTTCGATAACTAAGTGGAAAAATATTTGTTAACCCAGCTATCGAGAAAAACCAATGGAAAAACAACAGAAAATGTCAACATAAACGGAAAAAAACAAAAGGAAATTAGCACAATTATGTAATAATTTATGCTTAATGAATGTATTTAATTGAAAATCTAATTGTAACTGTATATTTTTTCTATAAAGAGCAAAGAAAACCCTTAAAGAAGAATGAAACTTGTGTAAAAATTATGCTTAAGATTCGCAATGATATACGTAATAAATTCTCCGATTAGTTAGCTCACATCAGATCAGCTCGGCTTATACAAAAAAAAAAAAGAAAGAAAAAGAAATGAAATGAAAACCTTTGTTATATAAATATATGCCAACCCACATATGTAGATCTTACAATTGAATGTAATACATTAAACTTCAAATATTAGTAAATGTAAATGTTGATAGGCAAACTAGAAATACAAAATTATAACAGAATATCCACACAAAAAACAAAACTCAAAACCCAAGCAGAACTAGAAGCTTAAAATAATAAGCAAATACATGCGCATCATTGTGTACTATTATGGGCTAAATGTTAATTATTAACTAGATTGTACAATTCAAATGTAGTTCATACTATTTAAAAAGCAAAAACGGAGTGAAGATGAATAAACTGATGATTCAATATAAGAAACAAGAGCTTATTGTTTTCAATCGTACAAAAAAAAAGAATTTTAATTAAAAAAAGGGAATTTTAAATGACATTGGTAGAAGTTGAACCTGCAACCACCATATGCAAAATTTCAAGCTTTAAAAGCCGCGCTTTAGCTAGCTGAGCCATAGGGCAAGCGCCGCGCGGCTTTCAAATTGCACAGTTAAGCCGAAGGTTCTGACAGCGAAATAGCAAGCTCAATCCCACTGGACTCAGTTATAATTCTCAAGTGTTTTTTCTGAAAAAGGTGGTTTATATAGGCGCGTTTTAATCAGTCAAGCCTCCGCGATTTGATTACGTCACTGAGTGCCCAAGTTAATTACACAAGCGATACAGAAAACACGATATATATATATATATATTCATATATAATATATATTCATATATAAAAAGCTCTTAATTGTTGTTGGAGCAATTAAATAATTAATTTGAATAAAAAAAAAGCTTCTTCTATATACAAAGCAAGGATTTTTGAAGCAAAAGCTTCTCTCAGTCTTTCAAAATGGAGGGAAGGCTGAAAAGCTTTTCTCCAAATAATAACGTACTACTCAAGCGATCTATTCACGTAGAAGATCATCGTGTCTTCGAACCCATGGATGTAGATAGTTGTGATGGTGATTCTGCACCACCACCTATCTATCCAGTTGATGCGTCATCACAGAACCAACCCTGCGAACCCATGGATATGGATATGGATATCGATTCAGAGCTAAATCATATTGACACAGTTCAAAAACAGTTATTACATCCTCCTCAGCGCCATATCGAAATATCGGTGTCTGTTTCGATTATGATAAACTGTGAATGATGTGCTGATCTATCGAAAGGTAATATTTCTTTTGTTCAAACGGTTTTTTATTTTAAATTCCTCCTCAGCGCCATATCGAAATATCGGTGTCTGTTTCGATTATGATAAACTGTGAATGATGTGCTGATCTATCGAAAGGTAATATTTCTTTTGTTCAAACGGTTTTTTATTTTAAATTCTCTTAATAACTTCAAACTTTTGATGTTTGAGTTGTATTAATCGACATAATTTTTTTCAGCGTAGTCAATGAGAAACGGTGGTTTTTAAGTGTAAAGTAAGGTATTACCTGATGATTAGTATAAGAATCAATAGCTTATTGATTTCAATGATACTCAGGTGAAAAGTATTGAAATTATTTTGTAAAAAGTGTTCTTTTTGGTTAAAAAAAAATAATTGGTGGCATTCGAACCTGCCACCGTAAAGAGACTTCAAGCTTTTTAAGATGCACTTTAGGCAACTGAGCTATTGTAAAAGCGCCACGCGACTTTCAGAATGCACAGTTAAACAGAAAGCTTACAGATAACCAGAAGAAAGAGCTGGATAGTGGGGAGAAAATTACAGAAGAGAGATAGCTAGTCCATGCATTCTTCCCACTTTCATTACCAGCCTTACAAGTTATATTTATAGATTGTTATAATTCTCAAGTGCTCTTTATGAAAACTAAAGCTTATATAGGCGTATTTTACTTGTTCAATCCCGCGCAATTTATATCCGTCACTGAGTGACGAACGTTGACTCTGTAATTTCACAAGCGAAAAAGAAAAACGACATATACATATATAAAAAGCTATTCATTGTTGCTTGTTGCTCAATTAATTAATCGATTCGTGTGTAAAAAAAAAGCTATCTATACTATACCAAGGCAGGATTTTTAATTGAAATCTCTTCATTATGAAGACGAAGACAAGGCCGAATAGCTTTCTTTCATATAAACGACTCAAGCGATCCATAGAGGCAAATCGCTTCGAACCCATGGATGTGGATATTGATGTTTATGATCCACCATCGCCGAGTTATCCAATTGAGTCACAGAACCTACAATACGAGCCCATGGATACTGAAATTGAGTCAGAACTAGACATGGCTGACACTGCTCAAAAGCAGTTATCACAGCCTCAGCACCGTATCAAAATATCGGTATCTGAGTCAGAACTAGACATGGCTGTCACTGCTCAAAAGCAGTTATCACAGCCTCAGCACCATTTCAAAATATCGGTGTCTGTTAAGATTGTGTCAAATCACAATTAATTAAGATTATTTCTATTTCTTTTGTACCGACCGATTTTGTTTTTGAAATTTGTAAAGTTGTGTTGTATTTTGCTTTCTGTGTTAAACCGCGTTAAAAGTAGTATTTATTATTGTTTAAATTCGCATCACTGCCAAATAGGTTACATGACATGATATCACAACTGCCCGTTGCGACACCTAGCGGAGTGTAGATGTGGTAGATAACGTTGGGTTGCCAAATACATTTTAAATGTCAAATAATACTCCACCTGGCGTTTTAGGTTCGCAGTATATTGGAATACACTGGAAAAAGTTTTTATTTTGAATTTCAAACGCAAACTAGAGTGGAGTAATGACTTTCAATCATATAAAATCAAAAATATTTATAAAAAATTAATTGAAAGCTAAGGTAGGTATATACATTATCTATGAATTGTAACTTTTAATTTATAAATAGAAAATACAACTATAACATAGGAGTAAATAAATAAGCAAAAACGCTTCCGAGTTGAACACTTCCTCAAAATATATTCCAGCTCATTCCGTATGCGAAGTGATGTGTCAACAACAAACTTAAAGCGCAGTTAGTATTTCCTAATAACGATACATTTCCCCAACCTTTCTCTAGATTTCAGAAGAGAGTAGCAACTGATTGAATGCTTACCGCTTGAATACTGGAGCACCTACTTCACAAAAGGCCGGAAACTTTCAATTCTGCGGAACATTGTGTAAAGTTTTTCAAGCCGGACAAACCGGCCAGGGCAGATGTTTTTTTGTTGTATATTTATTTATCTATTTGGTTACAGCTTTCGGTTTCGATTTCTGTCAGTTGCATTTCAAGCTTCGAACGCTGCAGTTGCGGTCTGAAAACACCTAACCAAAATCAAGTAAAAAAGATATAAAATTTAATCTTGTCAATCTTGTCTGTAAAGGGAAAGAATTTCAAATTTCCCTAAATAGTAATAAAAACGATCGTAAATAAATAGATTTTTACACATTAAATAAGAATATTCAAAGCATTATTATATCTTTTGTCTGTAAAGATCACTATGAGTAGTCACGTTTACAAAAAATATTCATTTTCGTTTTCAATTCGTCTCGAGTTGTTGTGTTCTCGGTTTCGTTGCTGAACTTTCTAAATGCTAATTGGAATGAACTTAAAAGTGGGCGCGTCAACTTCCTGGATAATCCGAACAAAGGGGAACGCGTACTTAATTCTTAAACAGTTTAACTAAATTGATGCGTTTTTTTTAAACAAGTTATCGTGAGCTGTCTAGCATATTAAATGAGACGAGACTTTTAACGATTTACGAATGTGATATCGATTCATAAGGCACAAATCATAGCTCTCTAAATTTGTATCAAGTTTGATTTGTTAATATATAAGAGAATACGAATGCAATTTGCATTTTAAGTACTTTTGTTTGTTTAGGCCACACACAAGCTTGTCATGGGCTCTAGACTTTGTGAATACTAGATCATTTGTTATTCGTCTGTCAGTAAAATCACACCTTTGTTGGCTATTCGGTAAAAATGGGCAAATTTAAGGTCGAAACTGTGTGAAAAATGTGTGTTTAGTTTGCTTAGACCTAAAGTCTCAAGTACTTTTACTTAAAAAAAAAATGAAAACTATGATCAAATTATGATCAATTTGTATTGAGAAGAATATATATGTATATATTCCATATTAATGAATGTAGGTTACACTTTCCTAGCAATAAGCTGAAAGCCAAACAAAAACATTGACATGTAAATAGTAATAGATATGGCCTGTAAGCGTTAATTGTCTGCAATTCTTGATGTAATTAAACGCTTGGCATGCCGGGCAGGCCAAGAAAATGGGCAGTACTCAATTAAGTCCGTGATTCAGCAGTTGCTGTTGATTTTTATATATATGTATATAACGAACATGCGATGAGATCGGGGTCTCAGTTGCCGATCATCGTCCGTCGCTTAAAGTACTAGCTCCCGAGAGCTGCGCGTAAAACCTGGAAACCACAAACTCAAATTGACAGAAATTGTCAGGAAAACTGGTAAATTAGCAGCTAACTAGGTTTTCCCAGCGCAAAAGACTCTAACAAGAGAGTTAACATAACTTTTTACAACATAACAACAGCTATAAAAGTGTCAGCCAAAACTGTAAGATTGGTATCTCAAAATAAAAGTTGCCTTGTGCTGTCCAAGTTATAATTGCCAACTTTACGTCTCCTCAAATTGTTTTTTGTGGTTTTTTTTGTGAGGTGATTTTAAGTCAAGGCCGATCTTTCATTTATTTTGTGTTTATTTTTTCATCTGACTGGTATAACTGCAACCGGTTTTTGGCCATAACTCGGGCCTGTTATCAAACAGGCCAAAGCTCTCAGACACGCCTCGCCGGGGTCCAAATTAGTTGACCAGCAATTAGCAATCCCTCGTTAAATCTATGTTACTTTTCTTCCAATTAGCTACATCAACAGAATGAAGCTGAGCTCGGGTTTGTTTTTGATCTGCGCCGCTTTTATTGGCTGCACGTCGGCCACGGATGTCCGTGAATGCCCAAAATGTAAGTATCAATCCAGATAAACACCCAATAAAAAGTGTATTAAAACTAAGAGAACCATCTAAATGTCAATGAACTGGTACGAAAAACAGGTCACTTAAGTTATAGCTTTAAGACTAAATGAATAATTTATAGATTTAAATTTAAAGAAATCACTCATACGCAGTGTTTCTCCTATTTAGAACCTACTGATGAAAATTTGTTTAATATCAAGTAATTACGCTCATTTTCTTTTTTTCCTTTAATTGCAGCCAAATCCAAGGCACTGAGTGCCGACGACGTGTCCATCTCCAACTGTCCGAAGAGCAAATGCATCCTGAAGCGTAACACAGAGGCTAGCATTCAGATGAAGATCCGGCCGGAACGTGACTTCCAAGAGCTGACCTCTGACATACAGGGTATCATCTTGGATGTACCACTACCCTTCCCAGGATACTATGGCACCAGTGCCTGTCCGCACATTTACGACGAGGCTGGGGAGAAGAAGGTTGGCTGCCCACTGAAGGCCGGTCAGGTGTACACCTACAAGAACAGCTTTAAGATCCTGCCCGTTTACCCAACTGTTAGTTTGGAAATCCACTGGGGACTCGGAGACAAGCAGGGTGATGCTGCCTGCTTCCAAATACCCGCCAAAATCAAGGCTTAAAATTCAAAAACCACCGAGAAGTGCACTCAATGTTAGCTTTTATTAGTGGTAAATCTTAAGATCGTATCTGCATATGCTTAGTTAGGGATTAAGTACGGTTAAGTGAACGAAAACGAAGCGGGCCATTATTGCGGCATCCAGCCAGTGACGCAATATGGCCAAAAGGATTTCACTGATCGGCTCAGTAAATCTAATAATAATAATCCGAAAAAAAAAAAAAATCCACAACGAATTCTACATTTTCTGTGCCTGCTCCGATCTCTTCTGCCTTGAATTAACTGTTTTAAATTGAATTTTTTAATTGATGCCCGGCATGCAATGGATCGCGTGTGATAAATATCTTTTCATTTCGCTTTTCTCTCTGTGTGTGTTTTTTTATCTTCATCTTGCATAGCTAGCTTGTTATTTGCATAATTTCATTTTGGCAATTTAATTGGAAATTTTTCACTTCGTAAGATAAGCTGAATTTTCGTCATCGATTTGGGCCTGCAGAGCCTGTTGCAGTTTTCGCCAACTTTCGGCTGCGGCATCATACTGCCCGCCTCTGCCACGCCCCTGCTGATCCTGCAACTGCCGCAATTGGTAGCGATGCTGCCGCATCAGCTGCGTCCACTTCAGGCCATTACGATTACGATCCTCTGACTCTCGACGGGTTAAAATGGCTGGAGCTGCCAAGGGTAAGTTGTTAACATTATTTGTATTCGCATTGCTATTGCTGCTGTCGTCATCGCTGTTGTCATCCTGGTTGTTGCTGTTCTGGTTATTGTTGTTGTTATACATTTGCTCTGCCAGGCTGTCGATAGCATATGTATTGGATCCAGGAAGCTTAAAGGGGTTAGAAAAGGAATTATAATATTTAATCACTGTTTAAGTTAAGTAAGTTAAATTTTAAGGGATTATGTACCCTTAAAATAAGAAAGGAAAGGAAAGGAAGAGATTTTTAAATAAAACCAGATCATTTCTGGTAAATTAAGTTATAGTTCTAAGATTCAATTTAAAAATTCCCTGTAAAGTCCTGCTCCTTCTTACCTGTTTAGCATCTATTACCGCCTTGCCACTGGATCGTTTGCCATGAGCTGTGGAATAAACATAAATATGAGTCATGAGCCGGATGTGATGAACTACTGCTGTCAGAGTTGAAAGGCCAAACACTTACCTCCCCAACATGAATGTCCGTATTCCAGGCAGGAACCTGAAAGTATGCAACATTTTTTCCAATTTAATATAAATCATCATCAGTTGCCTGCCACAAACTCTAAGACTTTGTGCACGTAAATTTGCTAGAAAATGAACTAGAAGCCGGAATCCTTCAACTTCTTCTTTTCGACCACCCGGTGAGCCTAGCGTAAGGCTTTAAAACTTTCTATTTTTTACGGTGCCACAGTAAGAACTCCTTTCTTGTGGACTTCTTTCCTGCAGCCCATTGATGCTACTACTTTGGTTGCTACTTTTCCTATAAAGAGCACATGTTTATTGTGTGCTTGGCCTGGCAATGTCGCGGCGACCTATGATAAATGTGGCCATTACAGAGCTCATATGCCAAGCCAGAGCGGGTTGAGTAATGCACTCAGCCTGAGCATTTGAAGGTGGAGCCTTTCTGCATCCCAGTTCTTGGCAAATTTCAACTGAACTGAGCGAAAATGTGACCATAAATTCCTGGATTTATCTTGGTTTTGTTTATAGTGAGAAATGCTATATATCCTTAAATTATTAAAATTTTCTTTAGAAATAGTTTTAAAAAATTTTGAAGGAGATATTTTCGATTTTGAAATCTTATGTTACTTTTAGTTTACTTTGTACTTTTTAATATGTAAATTATTGTCATGATTTGAGGAACTTTTTCTTATTGATATCAACCTGGAACCTTCCACTCCTCAACTCAGATTTAAAGTTCTGATTTTTCTCAGCTTAGTTAAGCAAGCATCCTATCACCCTTCAGGTCCAACCTGTGGCTGTTCGTAACACTTACACAATGTCCTTGATGCCACTCGTGCATTGTGTGCCAAAAAAAGAACTTGCCAGAGGTGGCGACGCAGAACTAATCACACAAATGGACGGCAACGCATCACCATGAAAGGAGGCGAAAGGACTCAGCTGTGGGACATTCGGAAAGGGATGTGAATACGCTTTGCGCAACTGTCAGTTGGTAAGTAGGATGGAAGGATGGAAGGGCGGACGTAAGGCAGATCTGCAACAAAGAGCAGGAGTTACGGCAAATAGCAACAAGTTACATGACGCAGATGGGTCAAAATCGCTTCTGGAGGTGGGGACTTGGCGTTTGCATAAGCCAAGATAAATATATATATTCGCCTGGCCAGACGATTCCATCATGCCCAGGGCTGCGGCTGTTGCTACCCTCGCCATATATCAAACCCGTAATCATTTGTCAATTACTTAAACCGTGGATTAATTGTTGCCGGGCAGCCACGAAGCCCATACAGCCGTTCATATTGTGCCCACACTTGTTGACAGGCATGGCGGCCATCAGAGATAGCGATTCCCGACATCGAAGCCTTTTGGGGTCGCCGCATCGAAGGGCTGTCATTAAACAGTGCGACCCTCTATTTAATAGCCCTCTTCTCTGGAATTCAACACCCACATCCCTCTATTCATTCAATGGCAGAGATAGCTAATTAACTTGACCAGCGCATTTTAATAGCCATATCCTTGATCTTGGCCAGCTTTGACGTCTCTACTTCCGAATAATGTCTTTTTTTAATAGCTTTGAAGTGCGACGCAATTTTACTAAAAAAAAAACATATTTAATGGAGTATTTTACCTGCTGGGAGGGTCAATATTAAACTGCTGCTATTTTAGTTTTGGTTAATTATTTTGTTTTTGGGGAATACCCCAGCAGAACAAAGTAATTGCGACAACTGTAAGATATGTCATTAGAGGTGTCATTTAATTTTTTTTATTATAAATTTTTTGATGATAAGTAAGTAAATATGGCAATTGAGTCGTGGTGACAGTTCAATATAAACTCCAAGTTCATAAGTAAGAATATTTAGAAGATTAAGCAGTAAAATAGTCTGATAAAAAGCCTTCACTGTCGCTTTTCGACCTGAACCTAACCCAATCAGTCTAAAAAATATACGCAGCGCGAAGGACTGTTCTTTTGGTCATGGCCATCATCTGTATCAGGAAACAGGGAGAGCAGGGTGCTATCTAAGTAAAGGTAAAAGCCACAACTGCAATGCCTGCAGGCGGCACAGCTTGACAGGTTCACACGTTCCGTTCGGGTTTTTATTTTTCCGTTCTTGCTGACGCTTTTTCCGTAACCCCGTGGTTTTCCATAATACGTGAATTTCCATTACCTCTGTGTTAGAAAGACCGCTTTTCAAGAGAGATACACAGAAATAAATTGTGTGTATATTAGATAGAGACACTCTGGCATTTCTTAAGATATGCATATAGAATATAACTTTTAAGAAATGCTTTTATTTTTTATAAATTTGGAACTTTATAGAAATGTATTTTTAATGATTGTGAAGAAGTTGAATTTGAATTTGATAATAATTGTTTAGGAACCTCTGTGTTTGGTTAAGAAAAAAATAGTATTCAAAAATATAAAAAAACCAATGTAGTTTTATTAACTATTTGTATATTTGAAGCATCAAAATAAAATGAAACAATTTCTTTCTGTGCGATTTTCTATAGCACGCAGTTTGGATTAATTTACGATGGCAATCGAAAGCGTTAAAAGCGTTCAGGGAGTGCCGGACCGAAGGTCGGAACTGAACCCCTGATCTCACCGACCCGATGTGCTAACTCCGATTTCCCCAATTTCCCCGATTCCCCGGATTTCCACTTAGCCTGCCGGCCTGCATTCGCTGTGAGTAAGGAAAATACGTAGAAAAACCCCCAAAAAAGGGAAGCCGACGAACAAGCGAGCAAACAAAAGCGTATCAACAGGAAAATGTGCATAAAACTCCAACTGATAAAGCGGATTAGGGGCGTAAATGGTATAAGGAGAGTGGGGAGATCGCAAAATGGGAGCTGGAGTTTTCCCGTTAACCATGATATTGGTAACACGTATTACCAGTTAGTTAATCAGCTAGTAGTTTGGTATTTTTATAGGCTTAGATAGGCCGCCGAATTCTTGGAACTATGACTAAGCAAAACATTCAATTTCATCACTAATGTAAGCCTAAAAGTATGCTTCACAATGATCAATTTTGATAATGGTTAAACGACTTCAAAATTAATTAGTTCTTACTAAAAATTAAGTTAAAATTTAAAGAGGAAACGTAATGTATTTTTATATGATTTTTTTTTAAATATATTTTAAACAGAGCAATTTGGTTTGAAAAAAAACATAAAAATAACGACGTGTAAACCAAAAATAATATGAGTTATTTTAAAATTTTTAAGTACTTAGAGGATTTTGGGTATTTAACTTAGAATATGAAAAAAAAAATGGCAAGTCCGATTTTTGTAATATTTTACGATTATATTATGAATCATATTCGAAACACCCTCCGAAAATTGGTAGTGTATTTATCTACACACAAAGACATTATGAATGAAAAAACACCTAATTTTATTCAAATTTTTAAGGAAGATATATTTTCTTATAAACTTCTTAAAACAAAATCCCGTACGCGTTTATTAGCTGACCCCTCAACACATTAAGAACTTTTCTAATAAGTTGTAAAATATATATTTATTATTTTTGGAGCCTAAATATTCTCAGACAGTTTCTGACTCAATAATCTCTTCAGAAACGTTTTTAATTAACATTTTTACCTGTCACGAGGGCAAAGAGCGCCACCAGCACCACCAAAGTCCAACTGCACTTGCTGTACCACATTTTTCAATTGATTTTATTTCGCAAACTGGCAAACTGCACAGAAAATTGTCCGACGTCAGTTATAATTTTCGCCTGTTGCAAAACTGTTTTGGAAACTTTTAGCCAACTTTTTAGAACCGAACACTTTTCACAGAATCCTCGAGACTTTCCACTTGCCACTTGTTGATCAGAGTCAGGTGCGAACGCTTTTCGAATTGCTAACAAACTGTGGTCGACCAACGGCTTTTATAGCTTAGAAGAGCCAGAGCATACCGCACACTTACCGTTAGCCCGCCGCAGAGATAACGGGACAGCCAATACGAGCGGTACTGCCGAATACAGAGCCTCCGGCACGAAGAAATCCGAAAGCAACCGAAGCGATCCATCTGCCAATGAGCTGTTAGACGGAGGAACCCACGCAACAGGCTGCTGAGTGGGTTGTGGTCAGAGGTTGGGTGGTGGATTAAGGTACAGTGGGTGGCATGTAGTATTGGAAAGTGTGGGTGTGACATTTGCGTAGTCATAGGGATCCAAAATTATGCATTATAAGTTAATACTCACTCCGTTATTTTGTTTTGCCCATACCTTAGCACTCTTTTTGGGGCAGTTTTCAAAGAAAAATTTTACATTGTATCCCCTTTTTTACACATCTCCACCAGAGCAAAGGATTTGGTTTAATGGATGGCCAACTCCTGAAAAGCAAAGTTCATTTTGCAGGCAGCAGCGGGCTAAGGTTTTAAATGCAGTAAAACTTTCTTTGTGAATATTTTAAAGCGATTTAATACGTTTCTGAATATGTAAAATTAACCAAAATAATTTTCAGAAGCTTTCTTTTATTTTATTGCTCTTAACAAGAGAGCTGAGCAAAACCTAGCTGTCAAAGTCATGACTTCTTAGCATTTTATGTCAAAAATGACATTTACTAATCCCAAATTATAAACTAACCAAATTCTTAGTTTTTAATACACAACGCACCAGAAGTGATTTATTGGTCTGTCCTTACATGAAACAATCGTGTGCGACTATGCAATAGTGCATGTGCTACATTATACGATGTAATAGTCGGTGTAGTGGAGTGTAAACGTTGGCAAGCTACCAAATATAACATTTCATTATCATCATTTAGTTTCGAACGCAATCAGAAGCAAAAAAGAGCTTGCTGCAGTAAGTGGTTGTGTTGATACCGATACGGATACGTGGCGAGGATTTAGATTTAGAGTAAACTAATCGTGTCGATTTTAGTGGTGGTGAGGAATTTGAGTACGAGGCTGTTGGCAGAAACTAAAGTGTTGATTTTAGAGTAGAATTAAGTGTATGGCGGTATGATGGGGTGTACGTCTTCTTGGTTACTCCAATTTGGCCAAGATATCGCTCTCTCGGAACAGCACATATTCGCGCTTGTCGTCCATGTCGACCTTGGTGCCGCCGTATTTAGGCAGCAGCACTCGGTCGCCTTCTTTGACACCCACAGACAAGTGACCAGCTCCGGCCGGATTGCGGGCACCGGGTCCAACGGCCACAACAAGGCCCTGCATCTCTTTGGGCACCGACTCCTCCGGCAGCAGGATACCGCCGGCGGTGGTAGTCTTCACCTCAAAACGCTGGATCAGAATGCGGTCCAGCATGGGGATGACCTTCTTAATAACATTGGACATCGTCCTATAATACACAATTTTCAGAAATATATTAAAAAATTCTCACTTGATCACTTTCACATTTACCGGCTTTTTCCTTTTTACAATTTTACAATTTTTATATTTTTTTTTAATTTTTTTGGGAAACTTCAGGAAACGATGTTAATCCTTTGCTCCCCAGCCGTAGACTGATGCTTATGGGTTTTCGTCAAACCTAATACCCTAATACGACTAAAAGGTAAAGTCAAGGCTATAGCGATCTAAAATTTTAGTTTTCAAAAGGCAACTATGATTAGTGTTGCATAAGAAATATGAAAACGATGAGATTAGCTATAATCAGTGTTGCAGAATTTTGCAAAAGTAGAAAAAATCAAATTTACAAAGTCAACTTAATTTATTTTGCTATAAAAAAACTATTTTATTTCAAATAAATTATTCAAAAAATATTTATATTTCTATTATTTCTATTCTATATCTTTGGATTAAATAAATATTAGAATTTTCGTTCATAAATTTGAAACAAAAATCAAAGCTTTTCACAAAAGAATAATAATCATAAGTAATGTGTGCATTTGCTTAAAAAGCTCCTCACATTCGTTAAAGTTAACTGCCATTTCAGTGTAAAAATAAAATGTTTGTTAAACTAAAGCAAATACCTTTACAAGTTGACAACAGCACGGGTTGTGCTTATTTTTCTGGTCTAGCCAGCTTAAATTAACCTGAGCACGTGACTCACGAGTCGTGACCGTCAAATTAAATTCCCCTAATTAAGAACAAAGCGAAAACCGCAAAAACAAAGCCAAATCAGCGCCACAGTTAATGAAAAGTCAAAGCAGGCGCGAAAAACATGGTCCACTCTAGCGTCTCTTTTCTCTGCTTCGTTTTCTGCTGCTCTGATTAATTTCCCACACTGCAGTCAGCGCCACCTGTTGGCAGCTTGTCGTACTAAAGCGTGTGGGATGGGATTTCCCCTGGGTGTGTGTGTGTGTTTTTGCGTGGCTTCCTTCCTTGTGGGTACGTGATTGTCTGTTGGTTTGTGTGAGTGGGTGTTTGTCTAAACTTTCGACGTATTAAACGCTGTTTGTGGGTTTACTTTTTTCTTGGCTTTGTTTTAGGATACCCTGTAATAATTATTTGGAAAGATATATGCTGCACTTAAAGGTAATTCATACGATATTTAGAGAAAATAAAATATATTTTAAGCAGGAATATTAAGATATACATATATATTGAAAAGCACCCTAATTGAAATAGTAGCCTATACATTTAAAAGAAAAGGATTTTCTAAAATCTTAGCTTACGAGGTATCCAAAAAGAGTAACAATCTTTTTGCTAACCCATTAGACTTTTTTCGCTGCGCCTTCCTGCTGCTTTCCGCGCTCGATTTGCTCGTAAATCACAAACTTCATAATTTCTACGTCACTTTGCGGACGTGTGTGTGTGTGTTTGTGTACGTGGCTTTTGCTCCTCTTGCCGGTTGTTTTGAGCCAATTCTTTTTTTGGGCTTTACGTGACGTTGGCAGAACAAATCGCTTTTGTTTTAGCCATCTGACTTGTTTGCTCCTTTATGGCCCGCTGCGCTTTGGACTTTGACGCATTTACGGTGTTTAAAGAGAGTGAGAGTGAGATCCTCTTTTAGCCACTCCTACTTGCAGTTTTTTTTGGTGAATTCGGGGTTTTCCATTTGGCTGATTGCATTTTCATAACAATTTGCAGGATTACTAATGCGCCACGTCGTCCCTGCAATTTGCATGACCTTGAACCCGTCGCCATCTCATTAGAATTTCATTTGTAGTCCACGAGGCGCAGACGACAGGGCCACAATCGATAAAAATCCAAATGTATTTTATGGCCAAATTAGAATTTCACCCGAGTGAATCCTTAGAAAGATACGGAAAATAAGCGGACATGGAATATGCTAAGCTTTATTTGCAGCAATGGGTATAATCTTAATACAGCAAATTTATCCTTTAAGGTATCCCTAGGATATATACACAATATACATATAAATATCTGATTAGCAAGCGAACTATGTCCGTCATTTGAATTGAGTTTGATGCTGATTACAGTTAATTTAAAATCTTATTTTTTAAAAATGCTTTCGCAATTTCTTAAACTTACATATTTGGGAATATAAAATTAATGCTTTCTTTGAATTATCTTAACAATAGACTTTAAAAGCACACTCTAACGCTTTGGTATGTTTGGAAAACATTTGGTTATATAAAAATTAGGAATTTCTTTAAAAACAGAATTCTAATTGCAATTTTCTAGTGTTTTTGCATTGGTTTTATATTCAAGTTGCATTATTATATTTAAATGGTGGGCGTTCTCATAGTATTTGTTTTATAACAGCATTAAATATTATTAAAGTTATAAACCTCTCAGGCATTTTTAAGAGTAAGCCCCACGAAAGCACTGATCAAGGTTTAATTAAAAGAGCGTCTATTGTTGATTAGTATGAGTCAAAAGTTCGACTATTCTTATACTAAATAATTCTGAATACTTGAAAGACTAGTTCAGGCGTTTTTCCAGCCTGTTTCAACTTCGTCAACCGATGCTGCATGAATGGAAAACTTACTATTTAAGAGAGAGAGCGAGAGAGAGAGGGGGTTGTGATTAACTTCTAATTGCCAAATGCAAATGAATGCAAAAGCAGTTTAAACTAAACGCTTTGGTAGCAGCAGCAGCAATAGCGGTTTGAGACCCTTAACGACGGCAAATAACTGGCTTAAACAGAATTCAAATAAATTAGCATCAGGAAGCTGCACGAGAAAATCAGTTTGTGTTTCTCAGATGACTTGGGCATTGATCATGGCGTACTGGGAGGCGACTAGCGGCTTGTTCATCGGATTCTGAATCGGTGATTGAATATACACATATAAAGTCGAGTTAATATCGGATCTAAACACTGATTATAGAGGGGCACTTGCCTGCATTAACGACGACTGCTTCGGCTGCTCCGCCGACTCAATAGAGACGCGCTGCGTCTGACTGGAATTGGTTAGTGCCCTTCTTAAACGACGCGATTCGATGTTATTTCGCGAGTTCAACGAACCTTTGGACACCTTCTTGCCAAAAAGCACAGCCTGAAAGAAAGAGTGTCAGTAAATTAGTAAACCATGTTAAGCAAAATTAAGTTAAATGTTCTCACCTTGAAGGCCTCTCGGAACTTGTGGCTCATGATGTTATACAACAGCGGATTGCAGCAGGTGGAAAGGTAGTAGAGCACTCCGGAGATGTAAGGTCATCACCGTGTAGACAAACTCGTGCTGTTCCCGCAGTTTGGCACCCCGTGCAGGGGCGTAGATGGCAATCAGTCGCTGGGCATGGAAAGGGGCCCAGCACAGGAAGAAGCATACCACAACGGCCACTAATGGGGGGCAGGAGGATGGGTTTGGAAATGGGCAAGACACAGTGGGAGACACAGATAAAGAGTCAACGATTATATTTTTGGGTAATCGCAATTGTCATCATAAATGGAGAGAGTCCCAAAATGACAAACGCAATAAATTGGCTGCAGACGGGTTGATTAGCCCTGCTTAGGGCATATGGCAAAACGGTTGGTTGATTACACTCGTAGAAAAGCTCAATGCTTATCAATTAGAACTAATTATTCAAAATATTTACAGCTACCCAATTATCAAATATTATTATTATTTTTTTTATTCGATATGAAACTATAACGTTTAATGAGCAGTCACATTTAAATTGACACTCTATCTACTTATTTATAATATTTCTCTCAGTGTACCTCATATATTTTTATATCATTTTCATAATTACCTAACATCCTGAGTACTCGCCGGGTGCCAAAGTGATTGAGTCGACCCCTCACCGAGCTGAGTTGTGCTCCTGAGCCGCCGATTAGACCAGCTCCTCCTCCTCCTCCGTTTAGATTCATAGCGGTACTAGATCCAGCATAGCGGTACAGGATCGTATCGCTGGGCACGCTCTTCAGCTGCTGGCGACGGGCAGCCGAGGCAGGACCCTCTACCAAAGTCGATCGATACAGATGGACACCGATCAGCAGATACAGCACCAGGATAATGGACATCGGAGCCAGGAAGAAGATGAAGGTAGACAACTGGAACGAGTGCTTCACAATAACACGCACTATGCCACACTGCTCTATTCCCGAAAAGCTCTCGATTCCGAATTGAGCAGCCTGAGGAATGGCCGTAATCACGGCTGTAATCCAAATCAGTATAATAATCCTAATAGCACGACTGAGCTTGCTCATGGCTTGGCCCAAAAACGGATGGCAAATAGCTATATATCGCTCCACTGTAAAAGCAGTAATCGTCAGGACCGTGGCATTCGCCGATGTCTCCGCTAACAGGCCACGTCCAATGCAGATGTATTCGCCGAAAACATACGGGTACTTGGACCAAATGTAGGAAACCTCCTGGGGAACTCCCGATATCAGAAGCAGGAAATCCGAGATGGCCAACGAAAAGAGGTAGTAATTCGTAGCCGTGTGCATCGATCGGTTTTTCTTGATCACGATGCACGTACTTATATTTCCAACTACGCCAGTAATGAAAATCAAGGTATAGACCACCGTTACGGGTATCACGATCGCCAGCGGATCCCGTGGTGGTCCAAGATCTTGGCTAAAATTGCCAGCGGACATAACGCCGGCCGCCTGGAATTTTTCCCCTTTTGTTTTCACAAAATTTCCACTAACAGCGCTAAATTCCACTGCCGTTTAACTGCGGCTTCGATTCTCGATGTCCCCTCCTCAACTATGCTAATTATAATAATTTATTGGAGGCGATAGGGCAGAGGGACAGGTCTAGGGGACTCGCGCTTCTCGATTCTAGATACTCGATTCCAGATTCTCGACTGGCACGCAAACGCACCAAATTACCGACGAGGTCGAGATCCGTAATCCAAACCTGGCCGTTCGGAGGGGCCCGACTTCTATAACTTATCGAAATTGATTTTAATACTGATTCCTAGTACGATTCTGATTTCGATTTCGAGTTCCGAGTCCCGAGAGCAGCTGCAACCGCACTCTAGCGCGCTCCAAACTTATCTGATAAGCCGCGGCGACATTTCATTCAGATTTGTATCTGTATCTAAAAGCCAGCTACGAAGCGTCGCTGCTTTTCCCTCACATGAATGCGGAAGGTGAACGACATGTCTGTAACGACCGAGTGTCCAGCGAACGTGCCAGGCCAATTAAATCTCAAAGAGCTCAAGATATCTTGATGGGAATGGCCTATGCTAGGAGTCTACAGACACAGGTTTGGAATACAACGCAAAATCTGGGTAATTAAAATGTCTAATTAACAAAAACTTTTAATTATGTTTGTTTTGGCCCATTTATAGAACACTTTAAGACTGAGATGCACGTCATTTTAAATAAACCTGGATAGTATAAGCAAATAATAATCAAGTTGAAGGGAAAACAAGAAACAAGGCATCCGTGCGTATGAGTTATGTGAAACAAGTTCGAATTCCCTTTGTGGCTTTTGAGAATAAATAAGTCTGTTTATCGGGAAAGTAGTTTCTGTTTATCATAATCATTATTAACGTGTTGTAAGGTTTACTTAGTAAATATTTGCAAATAAAAATATTTTAATTTGTATTGATAAAAGGTAATGAGTTTTATGGCAGGGACTTCCCCTCTAATTCCAATTTAATGAAACCTCTTCCCGAATTTCGCGCACCTTCCAATCTTATTTACGGATCCGTCTCGGCCGCAGTCGTGTGTGTATTTTGGCAACAATATTTCATAGTGTCTATGTAGCAGCAACGTTGGCTCGGGACATTAGCCACTGTGCGCCAACAAAAACAACAACAACAATGGCAGAGCCACTAACTTGGCCGAATGCGTTTCGCGAGAGTCTCAAGACAGTTCGGGTTTTTTAGTTGTTCCACGCCGTCGACGAGTGACATTCTCTATGGCCACATAATATTTTCATTCATTTGTTTCGTTTCGTTTAGCACCGCCAAAACGCTAAGTGTGCCCACTACCCCTCGAGATATATAGACAACCCCCCTCTACAGTTATCTTAGCCATAACCTGGCACACGCCTCTTGATGGGTGTCAAAGTGCGTGCAATGCCACTGGAATTTGGCACGGGTCGAATGGTTTTCCCACTCGAAAAGCTTTTCGCGTGCAGCACACGCTTCGATGAGCTGGAAAGCTTTTCCGCCCACTGTTTATCCAGTAGAGGAAATGCGATGAAAGTCAGTGAAAAGCCCATCAATCAATGACGCCGGGTGATCTGGGTGAAGGATGAAAGCTCAAGGGCTGCACTGACAAGGAACTTCTTAAATCACAAAGATGGGTAGGGCACCTCTGTCATAATATTGAGTTAAGAGACACATAAGTATTAACAAAGTATATTCCCAGAAACAAGGTATATTCCAGGTTTGACATTGAAATATTTCGTATTTATTGGGTTTTCTTCAAAAGAAGCTGAATATCCTTTATAGCTGTAGCACACTTTAATAAATAATTCCCTTTCGGGAATTTTATATCGTTTACATTTTGATTAGCTTATAACACATGCAACATTTATTAAATGTTTAAAAGTTGATTAAATAAAGTAAAGTTCTTCAAAAGAATATATTCCAAAAGTCCCATTCTGTCTTATCGGGAAAGTCTGTCCTTCCCTTATACCTATATCCGATTTCATTTAAAACTTTTCTCAAAACTGTTCTTACAATCCTATTGATTAAAATGTATCATTTAGTAGTTGATTAAATTTGAACATTAACTTACTAACTAACAGCCTCTTTTTGCAAACTCGTACCATTAAAATGTTTAGCAACCATATACACTAATTCTATATGAGTTTTTAAAATTGTAGACACACTCTGATTATTACATATTGGCTGGCTATTATCTGTAGAAGTATTGTTTCGTTGCTTAGCCCGACTTAAGTAGGTATATAGAAATGCAAGCTCTTCGGGATTTTAATCATGGCCTCAGTTTAAGTATAAGTTAAATCTAAGATGAAGTCTTCGCTTGTTGGTATTGCTTGATTAATTCAAATTAAAAACTTTAATGCATGCAATAGTATGACGTTCAAAGTCGATTTAAAAATATATCAAACATTAATCACTGAAATGTTCAGATGGATTTTGGGTGGGAGGAATACTTGTACTTTGATATTTGGCTTCTGTTCTGGCTGATCTTATAGTAGAAATCGGATGATGTTTTTAAAAAAAATCTAAGTATCACCTCTAAAGTTTTTTCCTAAGGTTTAGAATAATGTCCTTAGGGACAAACAATAATAAACGTTTCACGCTAAACTTTAACTAAATCTAATCGTCGGAGGAGCTATGACTAAACCACGATCTCGATGATCTCGGTCTCATCGTCGTCAAACTGATCATCCTCTCGACTCCCCCAGTCGTTATGGGGAGTGTTTCGGCTCCGTCAGTGGATATACCTCTCCTGCTATAGAAGCACTTGCTTCATTTGCGGTCTCTGCGCCTCCAGAATCCGCTGGGCCTGCTCATGATCCATGCCGTCAATGGAGCAGGCAATCAGCTCCACAAGATTGTGTCCATGCGCCAGGATGTGGTGAATTGATTGAAGGGTCAGCTTGCAGCAGTTGCTTAGGTTGAGTACTCTCAAACGTTTCAGATTGCTAACAATACTAAGCACAGTCTCATCTTCCACTGCAAAGCAGCTGGACACGCAAAGGGCTTCCAGTGATGGGCAATTGTGGGTTACGGCCTCAAAGCCCTCTGGGGTTAGTCGAGTACAATAACCTAGGGAAAGGGCTCGCAGTTCTGGTAACTTTAGTCCAGTTTTTAATGCATTATCTGTTAGATTGCGACAGCCTCTAAGGTTGAGTTCCTTTAATCCGCGTAGGCGACTAATGGGATAAGGAGTCTCGCCATATCCTATCAAACCCTGATCCGTGATCTTTACACAATAATCGATGTTAAGATTTCGGAGTTTCGTTTGGTATCTATAAATAAATATGAATTAATGGTTTGTCTATTTATTGAATAAAAACATCTACTTACTGGCAAATAGTGGCCATTGTGCGATCTGTTACCGCTTGTCGGCAATTATCCAAACTGAGGCGTCGCAAATTGGGCAGTCTCTCCAGCAGTTGGCACATGGAGTTCTCATCTAGGAAAATAGTTTCTTCTAGGTGCAGCTCCTGCAGGGTATAGTTCATATTGCCGGTCAGTCCCTGAACTAAGCCCATTCCCGTCAATTCTCTGCAATAAGCCATGGTCAAGGCCTCCAACTGACCACTCAGCTGCCGCAGTGCATCAATACAGTTGGTGTTAAGTTGGACGCAAAACATTAGATCCAGGACCTTTAAAGTATTCTGCCATTTTCCGGCTATATAGAGTAGTAGTTCATTGGTAAGTGATAGCATCCCAGTTAAATCCAATTGACGAATTGGTGCTGACTTTGGTACTGCTCTTAAGACGGCTTCCAGTAGAACAAGATGACAATTTCCAGATAGCTTCAAAGTGCGCAGATTATACATGGTTTCAAAGGCCTGGCACCACTCCCGAGTGTCGATTCCTGGCGAACAGCTGAAGAATATGTCCACACACACCAAGGTGTCCGCGTGATCCCGCAGGACATCCAGCAGAGCGCTCTCGTTGTTCCTTCGGAATTCGAATTGCAGATGACGGAGCTGCACCTTGTTCTCCTTGCGTCGCAACTGCAGCAACATTAACAGCTTCAATGAAGAGTCCAAGCTTACGCCATCGCATTCGAATCCTACTAGGTGGGCAAACTGTTTCATATCCAAACCATCCACCGCTTTTAGATGCTGGTCATCCATGGAACTAGTGGTGGCAATTGTCAGGACTTTCAGGTTGGGCAACTTTCCATCCATATTCCGAAATACAGGAGCATGGCGCACTTGGAGATGCTTCACCTCGTGACCCACAAGACGAAGAAAGTTCTCCAACTGGCGGCACTGGCGGAGATTTCGCAGCTCGATCCTCTCGAAACTTAAATAGCAGTTTCCACCCTTTGCATGCTTGTGAATCGCTTCCAGATTGTGCTGCGTCACTATCACCTTGCCCTTCTCCATGAATCGCCGACGGTGTACCAGATCTCGGCATCGCCAAGATACCATGCGCAACTGCTGCAGATCGTTGTAGGATAGATAGGACATGATCTCCAGCCACATTTCATTAGGTAGCTGTTCGATGGGAGCCTGCTCCTTATCCGAGGCCATTTTCTCCGGAGTAAGTGGCGGTGTGGAAGGCGACGCAATCGAGCGGGCCAAAGCCAGCAGGGGATTCATATTTAGCTCCATTCTATTGGGAGTCTGCAAAGGAAAAATGTCGATATTAATAATAATCTTCTTTATCCCATATAACTTTTACTTTCTCAAAAAGAAAAGTACTTAACGTAGTAACCATGGAGAAGTTTTCATTTGCGATCCTCCCCTTTTAAAGGTTCGATGCACCTGACCACCTGTTCTTGGGCCGGTTAATTTGGTTGCCAAGGCTAACTGCGGTTTTCCACCACTACCTCTTTCTTGCCCCATACCCTAATGTTTTTCGAAATAACTCACCTGAGCGTAGCTGCAGCTCAGCCTCTCGAAAAGCCTCTTCTCGCGACGTTGACTCGGTTTTCCACTCGTTATCAGACTGTTCCCCATGCAGCAACTCTATTAAGTCTTGACCTTTAATGAATTCTGGTTTTCTTGATGAAATCTCTGATTTTTTCGGGTATTTCTTTTCAACTACCTTTTTCGAAGTTATTTTTACAACCTTGTAATGGATTGTCAAAATTGTTGTTCAAAATTTGTTTATGTACTTAAAACTTGTTTGAACTCTCTTTGTGCTGTTTTTCACTTCAATAATCACATTTAATGGACATTTTTCAGTGCAGATTCGACACTGTTTTTATTTTGGCATTTTAATTAAATATTTTCTGCGCCTAAGAACTGCGCAGTGGTTTTGTTTTTGTTGTTTGTGCGTTAGAACGATTATGTTTTCCTACAGCTTTTATAACCAACAAATTCGGAGGTTAATTATATTAATGTTTAAATAAAATATTTCATTATTTTTAGCGATTTTTGTTCTCCAATTCGACAGCAACCTGCTGCCGTTGGTCGGGTTACAAAATCCAAATGCGAACGGAAAACAAACTGCTCACAGCTGTGTATCTGTGTCTAATGACGAAAACGGCACGTCCAGGGCCGCAGATAAATTTCCAGATACTCTTTCATATACAGATAATTCTGCGTAGATAATTTCACTTAACACGCATGCTCGCTCTCTCTGTTTTGAAGGGCTCTCTCCCTTGCTCTCTCGATTTGTTTATGTTTGCCGTCGCCGCTTGGTTTGTGACCTAAATTTGAAAAAAATAACAAAAACCTTCGAGGGCGGCCTTGATTGAGGAGGGGGGCAGGGACAACTCATTGGGAAAATGAGAGAGTCGGAGAGAGAGAGAGAGCGCAAAGTGGAAATAATGTTCCGCTAAGTATGCACTTACAATCACCCCTGTTTTCTGCAGTGCAGGCATCGCTTATTACGAACTGCATAAGGGGTATTCACTGAGCACACCGATTTATGTTCTCAAGGTACAGTTGAACCTCGACAAGGCCAACATTATTCCTGTTTTGTTAATAAAATAACTTATAAAATTAAGTATTAACAATATTTATTAAAAAGTTATAAAAGCCTGTTAGAGTACTTTAGTATTTATTTATTAAATGTATCGAATGTTTGACTTGCTTTTAGGTCCCTAACATTAGCTAAATGCGAGTGCTGGTAAAAATATTAAATTAAATCAACACTAGCTGAGCAATTAACACAGGTATCAATCAATATTAGCGAAACCTATAATTCTGACTAGCTAGTGAGATTTCAAAGCAATTATAATCAATTGCATGATTGCTACAGTAAAATTTGAATAATTATGGATTTTCAAAACCGATATTTTTCCATTTTAAAATATATTTACATAGCATACGTATAAAAGAACATAAAAAAGTAGAAATATTAACAATGTAATAAAATAAAATAAAAATAAAAACGTTTAAAGTTTATCTTTAAAATTTAAAATATAATATATTTTTACGTATATGATAGTCTACCTGTAACCAATACAATCCGATCGCCAAACCAATAATTAAGAAACTTAACTGGCAGGACTTCATCTATTATAGCCATAATTATCCAGTTTTAGTTGCCTTATAAAAAGCGAAGCACTTTGTACAATCCACAAAGAAGATTTAACTAGGTGACCCAGCTATGACGACTACGGAAATTAAGAAACCCTATCGGATGGAGGATTTCCTGCGTCCGCAACTCTTTCAGCAGGTGGCTCAGATGGTACATTTCCAGTGGCGAAGGAATCCAGAGGACAACAGCATTGTGAATGCCTCCATGGCACCATTTTGGTTGTCGGCATTTCTCAATATCTTGTTCTTTGGCTGCAATGGCTGGGATATCATAGGTCACCTTTGGCTGGGACGTCCTGCCAATCAAAATCCCCCCGTATTAAGCATCACCATTTACTTCTCGATCAGGGGACTAATGCTGTTCCTAAAACGAAAGGATATCGTTGAGTTTGTTAATGACCTGGACCGCGAGTGCCCACGGGACCTGGCCAGCCAATTGGACATGCAGATGGATAAGACATACCGCAACTTTTGGCAGAGGTATCGCTTTATCCGGGTCTATGCTCATCTCGGTGGTCCTATGTTCTGTTTAATGCCAGTGGCCTTTTTTCTCCTGACCCATGAGGGGAAGGGATTCACCAGTTCTCCAGCATGAACAACTTCTTGGTGGCTGGTTGCCATTCAATGTACGGAAAGATCCAAAATTCTACTTTCTAGTCTGGATCTTCGACCTGGCGTGCACCGTTTGTGGCGTCTCTTTCTTCATCACTTTCGACAATCTGTTTAATGTGATGCAGGGACACTTGATTATGCACCTGAACCGTCTTGCCCGGCAGTTTGCAGAACTTGATCCCCGCAAGAGTTTAACCAACGAGGCGAAGTTCTTTTCGGAATTCAGATTGTTGGTTCAGAGACAGCAGCTGCTGAATGGTCTGTGCGGCAGGTAAAGCTTGTTTTAAAAACTATAAATATAGAATATTGTAAAATACTTTGAATTCTACTAAAATTATTTACCTTTTCCTTACCTTTAAAAACACCAACATCAAAGATATAATGAAATCTTTAAGGTTGCTTTCCTGGTTAGCAACTTTGTGGGCGCCGGTTCCCTCTGCTTCTACCTCTTCATGCTGTCGGAGACATCAGATGTGCTGATCATAGCCCAATACATTATACCCACTATGGTCCTGGTAGTCTTTACCTTTGAGATCTGTCTACGCGGAACGCAATTGGAGTCGGCAGTGAGTAATACTTATTGAATCCTCATCATATTTAGTATTCGCAATTTATAGTCCGAGGGGCTGGAAATGTCGCTACGGAGCCAGGAATGGTATCTGGGAAGTCAGCGGTACAGGAAGTTCTATCTTCTCTGGATGCAATATTGCCAAAAGGACACAGAAACTGGGAGCCTTTGGATTGATCGAAGTGAACATGGTGCACTTTACAGAAGTAAGTTAACTTTAAAAGGTATCGTTGTGTTTGTCTTTATTTGTTAAATTTCATGGATTTGCAGATCATGCAGCTGGCCTACAGGCTCTTCACTTTTCTTAAATCTCATTAATGTGGCTTAAATGTTATATTTTTTATTATTATTTTTGAGTCAACTAATGATTTTAAATAAATAAAAGCACTTTTTCTTTCCCTTTTGCAGAAGTTTTATTATATAATCAAAATTTGGGAAGAATGAATTAATAATTAAAATAAAATAATATAGTTAAAATCTGGACCAGTTAGACTCGAATTTTTTGACGGATTTATAGGGACATCCCAAGCATGTATACGGCTTCGGCTCCTCGTCACAAATGGCGATGTGACTTTATTACTGCTTCTTGTTGACCTTATTTTTTAACAGAGGGGGCTTAGGTTTCTTGCTGGCGTTATCGGGTTCGTCAATATAGACTTGGATTTTTTTTTAACTTATTGTCTTCAACTTTTGGTGCCCTCGAATCCTATAGGGACGAATTAAATGAAATAACGACCAAACTTGCATTTTTTACACAGTTATCTGCGCTTTCTATGGAATCAAGTGGACGTTTTCTCGAATCAATAGCAGATATTACCTTCTTTTGATCTTCTTGATTAAAAGAGGTTCAAGGTGTATAATCATCGTTTTGCATAGGCGAATTTTCAGAAGGTCCTTGAAGTTCCCTTGAGCCATTTGGTAACTCTGGCAGGGCCTTTCCTGTGGAGCCAAAGAACAGTGGCTTGTAAATCATTGTTCTACCTGAAACATTTGTATCTACTTATTGAGTTAATCCCGATGTCTTTGGCCAACTTGCAGGTGGTCTTGCAATTAATTATGTATCCATAGTTAGTTAGTAAGTCTGCAATAGTTTCGAGTTGCACTGGCATTTGTGCAGGATCAAAGTTCCTTGATTTATAAATGTTTTTAGTAAAAGTAAATATATATCAATGTTATTTAAACGTTTTTGCAAACTTAAGTTACAGCCTCAAGCTTCATAGATTATTTTATCAACTAATACATGTGGTCAAAAAATATCCATTTGGTCCTCAGAGATTTACCTTAAACTAAAAGATCTTAATGTTATAGATACAACAAGGCTTGTATGCAAACTGAATTTACCGGTCTAAAAAATCGATAATAAACTTAATTACCACGTTAAAATGTATTCCCAACAGGAAAACTTACTTCCATTGATTGGAGTGAAGGCAATATAAATCAGTTCGCAGTTGCATTGCTTGTAAATCGAAAGTTTAGTTCGTTTCATAGGGAAGTCCAAACAAGACCATGATATCGCCCAGACACCTGCTGCAATTAGGATTCATCTGGTTTTGCAACTTGAATGGGATTACTACTTTCTTCATCTCCTCGGGAAGACTACGACAGTCCCGCGTTCTGACCTGCTATCGGATAATTCACAATTTCCTGGTGATTATCTTGACGATAAAGTTTCAGATGGATTTCTGGCACTTTAGTGCCGCTTCTTTCGACGAGTCCCCGCTCGTGAGACTGGCTGCTATCACCTATTTCGGCCTTGTTTTTCTATCCCTAATCAGTTGCATGGGTTGTGCCCATCGACGTCAGGACCGGATTCGTAATATGATTATAAAACTCCAGGACATGGAGGTGATGACCAGATCCAGGGGTTACAGATTGCTTAAAAGTCAGAAGCGATTTCTAAATATTCTCTTGATAACCGTGACTCTCCTGCTAATCCTTCGACTCGCCATCCATGCTTTCCTGAATGTCAGTCGATTTTTGAGAGGAAACCATAATCCCTGTAATTGTTTCCTGTCCGAATGCATGATCTTCGCCACGAACTCATTGGCTTTTGGCCTTATGCTGGAGATCTGCAGGAATTGGTGGCGTCTGCAATCGGGTCTGGAAATAGTGATTATGGATCCAAGACCTTTCTCGGATCAGTTTTGCCGTTTGCGCAAGCTGCAGTGCATGTTCCAGTGTCTGATCAATATGACAGAAGAGGTTTGCATGGTTTTTAGGTGAGTTGCTTACGGATAACCTTTCTATTAAATTAAGTTGGAAAAGTGTGCCAAACATTAGTTTTCTTAATGGTTTTAATTTTTTAATTTTAGGTTTGTTTTTCTGTGCTACTTGTTAAGAAATGTTTGGAGTGGCATACGGGTGGGATACATGCTCGTTCGAGTCTGCCTTGGCCACAGTGCCATTGAATCAGAGCTGGAGTATCTGCAGATGGTATTCATCATCTGTATACAGCCACTTCTCTTCTCGTTGATGATGAATACTTTGACGCACACCATTGATACAATTTTGGAGGCCACAAAGGATGTGATCAGGGGGCTTTATAGTCGGGATAAGCTAATGGAGAGAAGTGTAAGTTACCCGATCGGCATTTGAATTTGATTGTAATATGATTTCTTTCACCCAGATGGAATGGTTCTCCTTGCAACTGGCGGAGCAACACACTTATGTCCATATCTTTGGGACTTATCGCATGAATCGAAGCTTGGCCTTTGACGGCTGCTCGGTTATTCTGCTACATGTCATTTATATGGTGCAAAGTGAATATACTTCAATGTTTTAATAGTGAGTTACAGCTGGATACTTCTGTGTCCCGATCAACTATTTCATATTTAAATTCTTAAAGTTACACATCAAAAACATTTTAAGTGCTATAATTTATTTTTAATAAAATCGAGAAAATACAGCTTAATTCGTTAATTAATTGTATTTTGAAATCTGTAAAATATATATAATATGTTAAAAGTATTTAAAATTTTTGTCTTCAGTATCATCGCGATTGGAAGTCGAAACATACCCTTTAAATACATTAACCTTTTAAATTTTTAAAGCCATATTTTGAATTTATTGATAAGTTAAAAGGATACATAATATTTTAAAGTGCTTGGGAGGGTAAGATATAATACAATAAGTAAATTGAGCAGACAACGCATCCCCTTCCTAATAATCCTAACCCTTAGTTACAACTATTCCTGAGCACCTCCTTGTCCCTTACTCGCTGTCAATATTACGGATGCGGATGAGGGTTTCTAGCCACCCTTAGTGAAGGTCGCCGCCCTGTGGCCGGAACTGCCGCATTCGAGGCTGTGGAAAGTCGTGGCAGACGCGGATTGACAGGTGGGCCCATTACCCGGTCGACGGGATCCATCTGGTTATCAATATGCGGCAGAGGTGATGCCGGCGACCACTCAGAACTGGAACTGGAGCCAGGTGAGTCAGACCTACAAGAAGGTTATTAGGTTGTGCTTAAAACAAATAATTTAGGGATAATCTTACCCTGCCGTGTAAATGGGTGGTAGTTTCCTCTCGTAGTTGCTGGTACTGGGTGTCACAACTCCCGCATGGATCTCTTGCTGGTAAAGCCCATATAGCTCACGCAGTTCGTCCGGCAAATCCACATTGCCCTCTTCGATAAGTCGGCGCTGAGAACTGATGATATCTTCGCAGAGACGCCGCTGTCGTTCCGCTCGGAGAAGCTGGAGGTCACGCCTTCGCAGTTCTGCCTGCCGAGCCAGTCTCTCTGCCTGCAGGGAGACCTTGTCTGCCTCTAACTCGTGGACGCGGCAGAGAAGAGCCAGCAATTCACGCTCCTCGTCGCTACTGATGCGCTCCGGAAGCTCCTTGAGTGGAAAGAAAAGTATGCAAAAATATACGTAGATGGACTATATTTTGTGACGACTTACATCCTCCAGTTTGACTCCCTTCTGGCGGCACTGCTCAAGCTCCTGCTCGGTCCTCTCTCGGATTTCCTTATAGCGCCGAGTTTCCTTCTCAATGGCTGCCAGCTCTCCCCAAGCATTTTTCAATGCCACCGATCCCTCTGATTCAATGTCTGTAGGGGATCAAGGAAATAAACATCAAGTTTGCTATGCTAGTGAAATTTTAACTTCTTACCGTCATCGCCCATTGCATCATATAGTTTTCCAATTCGTCCTTGCCAGTGGGAGATGATCATGTGTTGCCGCTCGGCATCGAGTTCCAGGCCCAGGAGATGACTCTCGGCCTCGAGGAGCTTTCTTCTCAGCTTCATTTGCTGCTTAAAGGTGAGAACGATCTGCTCGCGTAGGTAACGTAGTTCCGTCTTGCGCTGTTCATCCTGTTCCTGGACACCCTCTGACCCGACTCCTGATTCAGAACCAACTGCCGATCCTGAGGCTGCTGCCGCTGCTGCTGCTGCAGCTGCTCCACTTCGCGGCCTTTCGGTAAGCATTTTGGTGCGCAGACGGGAAACCTCATCGCGCAGCTCCGAAACGAGACTTTGATAGTGTTTGGTGGGGAAGTCCTTGAACTCGTCGATGTACACGGAGTTCTGCAGTTTGGTGGTGATGCTATTGGCTCTATCCGCGTAGACCAGGGTGTTCTTGGTCTCATCTCGATGTTTACTTTCCGGAGCAACGTGGGCAATCATTACGGTCTTACAACGACCACTTAGTGCCTCCTTTAGCAACCTGGTTAACTTCGAATCCCGGTAATTGACATATCTCGCTCCACCCGACAATCCGTTTATTACGTTACCCAGAGCTAAAAGACTGCGGTTGATGTGCGCACCTTCCTGCAAGCGTTTACCCCGATTTTTGGTCTTCTTAGCTCGCTCCGATCCTGCCAAATCGGTAAGGAAGAGTCGTCCTTTCTTGGTGCCCAGCGGTGTCCTTGCCTGGACCATTATGCTCAGGAGGGCGTGACTTCGGGAAGAGGTCTGATTGGCAGCTGTTGGCTCCATAGTCCTGGCCTTGTTTCCCTTGAGCAAAAGACCCACAACCTCCTTTCTGCTGGAAGTGGTAATTTCGGAAAGACCTGCCACAGTGATACGCTGACCACGATGATCCTCTCGCAATTCCAAAGGCCCTCCCGGATTCAAAAGATCTCGAATCAGCTCGTTATAAATCTCCAGGTAAGATATGGAAACACGACATGAATCCGGTTCCGCTGACTCGATATGACTAAAAATATCCTCTATAGCCCGCACCATTAGTCCGATGTCCTGGCTGCTCACGTCCGTGGAATCGCAAGAAGCTGTGGGCGGAGCACGATCACCAGTCTGCGGTTTCTTGCGCGGGACAGGTCCCAACATGGTGTGCGTCTTGCCGGAACCTGTAGCTCCATAGGCGAAAACGGCCGCATTCAAGCCGTTCAGTACATCCCTTACTAACGGCGCCGTGGTGGTCTTATACACCTGCTCTTGGCTGTCGTTCTCACGGAATACATGATCATAGGAATACTGCCGTGGACGACTCTTTCCACCGTCATCGTAAAGGAGTGATCCGCCAGACACGACCTCGATGCAACGCTCCGCTGCTTCCATACTTGGCCGAACTCGAACTGCCACCTGGCGGTATGGGATTGGATCATATATACGTAGATTTTTATATTTTGTACATACATCTAATCGATATCCATTTAATATCTTTGAATATAATATTCCATAAACTTACCACAAGGCGCTCTTCCTGCGGCGGTTGAGCAGTAGCAATGGATCGTCCTTGGGATGAGTTGCTGCCCCCGCTGCTACCCGACCAGCTGCTAGCTCCAGCACTGGCTGCCATCGTCCTGGTCCTTTGAGTGTTAAATGAGCTCTAGTCCTCGGCTGGCCACGTGCCGCCTTTGCCCTAGCTGATGACCTGACCTGGACAAGACCATCACAAATCGTGTCAATTTGTTGTCAACAATCGTAAAAATGCCATCAGCTCGGGAAACACCCAACGAACTCTTAATGGATTTGTGAATTTGCGCGCCAAGGTCTCGCCTCTTTATAGTGGTTTTCCAGTGAAAGAGGGGGCCTTGGAGTCCCGTGGGTCTTGTTTACCTGTGGCTTAAAGCTTAAGGAGCTGGCGTGAGCCATAAATCAAGCCGTGAACTTGAACACCCAAAAAGTCCCTGCGTGCCTTGGCATGCAAATCAAATGGAGCAATTCGATGGTCATCGAGAGGGTACTGTACTTTTACTGGAAACCCTGGGAATTTTGTGAACCTTCAGAGGTTCAAACTAATAGTCCTTCTAACTATAAATACCATCTGCCTACTACTTTGTGATCTGAAGGATTTTTCAAATTTTTGGCATTCACATTTACATAATTATTCAAGAAAAGTCTAAGACAATCCACACTAAAACAAACTGATCAATAAATAACACTAAAGTTTAAATGAATGTGTCTCCTAAAATAGAAATGTTACCCGACACACCATAATTCATAATCCATGTCCATGTATCTGAAATGTTTTGACTTCTGACCCCGACACCTGTCAAGCACCAAAAAAACCAACGCGTTCACAGCCCCGCAACCAACTGCCGCTTCCCCAAACCCATAATTAATTTCATTTGCCTAAGAGCTTTTCAATTATAAAACGTGAGACTCATTGGGTGCCAAGGGGTTGCATTATTAAATTTAATTCCACGTTCCCATTCAGGTGTCATGAATATATAATGAGACAAGCCGCAACAAAAAGCACCAAGCTTCCGCGGCACTTTCTCCTCAAATATTCACACAAATTACAGGCCTCAAATGTCAACAGAGATGGGTGTTCAAATTGAGTGATAGGGTGGTGTCCTGTGCACTGGGAAAAATTATATTTATTATTTATTGGTGTTGTTAGTTTATAGTAGAGACAAAACCATATATTACAAGGTTCTGCGGTTGAATGGAAAGAAGGAAAGATTATATATTATTATTTTTATTAGCTACCTATTAATAAGTTTTAATTTTATCAGCTTCTCCCTTATAATTCATAATTTGATCAAACTTTTATAAATATATTACTAAATTGGTTTTATTAGTTTCCCCTCTTTAGTGGTCAGCCTTAAAGGGATTCCGCGGCAGTTAATTTGATAACGTCTAAAATCGATTCCAGCACTTTAATAAGAAACCACCTTACCGCCACCCAATTAAGCCCGACCTGAGCCACCACCCCCAATGAGAGCTCAACACTTTTTCCAGTTCTTGTTTCGTATTCGACTCCGGGCTTTTGTCGTTTATTGAATTTGTGTAAATTGCCGGCAGACACGACACGAAAGCCAGTGGACAGGACTTCTGTGTAACTTGATGTGGGGCATTTGAGTGGTGGTTAGGGTGGATGGTTGGGCCACTGGATGACTAGATGGCTTGTTGAATGGGTGGGTGGTGCAGTGGCTCAGTGACTTTGTCTTCGGCTGTTGTCGCACGTTGACTGTTAATGTTTTTAATGCTTTGGTATGCCATGTTTTGATTTGCCGGCTAGTGAACCCCATTTGGGATGAGGGGCCATTGGAGGCGGGGCCTTGTTTGTCCAACACATAGTAGTCTGCTTGGAGCTCATTAGTGGAAAATGGGTAGTGAGAGAATTGGGCCATTTGGGGCAGAGAAAAAGGAGTGCCGCCTATGAATTACAACTTTGAAAGGTTTTTATTTTGTCGGGGGAAAACCGAAATTCGGGGGGAAAGCCCTATAACTCTAAGCATGGCTAAGTAATAACACGTGTGACAGACTCTTTATCGCTAATGAGTTTGCTTTTTTATTCGGGACAGGCAACCAAGTGATAAAGAACAATTTCCCTTTAACTCACTTATGGCAATGGCCTTCGACAAAGAGGATTCCAAAATAAACAAAACCAGTCGATAAGGATCTGAATAAAACAAAGACCTCTAAGCTTTGACAAATCGTTATAGCTAAGTAGTATATTTTTTTATGAACGCGCTGTAAACGAGGTCACAATAAAATACCAATAATTATTAAAGTGCTATATATGGAGGTCCCTATAATAATTTAATTTCCTTTTTTATTTAAAATCTTGATAACTTTAATAGCAAATTTAAATGATATATGATCCGCTTCATTGACTTGAATTGAATATATAAAATAATGTTCTGAATTCTGAGTTTAAATACCTGAAAACCCACATTTTACCTTCAATTTTTTGGTTTACGATACTTAAATATGAATATGACATTTTTATAGTTTGGTTAATTCAGCGAAAGTGAGTATTAAGTCCACAAAATCCAGACATGCTAACAAAACCTAAGCAAGGTAAACCCCAGAAATAAGGACTGTAATTACCCCACTAGGAGCATTGCGTATAGGCAGTGGTGGTGATTGATGGGCTTTGTGACCTGGAGACGACTTAATTACCCAAAGCCATTTCCCTAGGCACACACTCGCCGGGTTTATTTTTAGAGGGCCCATCAAGTTGAGTGACCAGCCCCCTTCGATATGCATCCAAAGTGACGTCATTTTTAACGTACTACAGATGCAAGTGCAAAACTTTTAACCTTCACGGGGTTTTTCTTTTTTCAAATTAACGCGTTTCAGAAAAGTTGTGCGTGTCACGGAACTCTGGGAATTTCGACACTAAGTGGGCCAACTTGTCCGCATTGACGACGCGAATTGTTTTCGCCATAAACAAAGTGGCCAGTGGCCCCAATCCTGACATGAAATAATGTAATATTTTACACTTGGCCAGCAAGTAAATCCGGCTCCAAGTAGGTCAATTAAATGCGGTGCCCGCAGAGAGTATCCACCCCAATCTCGGCTCCATTTCGATTATGTAAAACAAACATTTGATAACAAAAACTTTTCAAGCACCTCTGCAGCGCGGCTCACTTACAAATAGTTTTGTTTTGCACTTTATCCGCTTGGAAAACTTTCCGGACACGCCATTTGCCAAAAAAACAAAACTTTAAATTCAAAAACCGGAAACGCTGGGTCGCCAAGAACTCCGAGAAATATTCGAAATAAAAGCGGTTTGTAGAACCATTCGCGTCGACGTACAAAACTCAACTGATGGGTCCGACTCGGCCTGGTCAGAAAAATAACGAAATTATAGGCATGTCCAGGGGGTGGAATGTGGTTGTAGATGGGCTGAATGTGGGCGGTGGTCCGACTCCTGGCACGACACAATCAATTTTTGTTGTTGCCGAGTTTTTACTACGGCATTGTTGAAATGCTAATGCGCCATTTTGCATACATTTCTAGAGAGTTTCACCTGCCGCTGGCCAGTTGTGTGTTAAAATAGTTTGCCAAAGATTCCGTATCAAAGCTGTTGAGGTCCACTCTAATAATTGTCCACAAATAAAGGTATTTCCATAGCTATAGTTGAGGGCCCCGAAAAGTGGGCAACAATTTAGCACATTTTATGCAAATCATGCAACAATCCACTTTTTTGGCATTTCCGCCACGTCAACTCCTTGAAGCCTGATAATAAATTCAGCAAATGAAAATTAAACCTCCACATATCACCACGAAAGCATTAATTTTTTTGGAGCAGAGTTATGGAAAAGTTTTCCAGAACGAGACATTGAATTGAAATGGTTGAAACGGTTTGTGGAGCAACATGTCGATTATAATGGATTGATTGACTGACTGTACGACCCCAATGAGTGTTGGGATTTGTAAATATTTCAAGCCATCCATCACACGCTTGAAAATTTGCATTTAAGATTCCGAATTTGAATTTGGCAGGTCGCGGAGCCTTGCCCCAATTACGGATTTCTACAGACATCCGGCTCGGCTCACGAGAAGGTCAACGCAAATTACACGGTCATAGAACAAGGACTTGCGGTTTAGTAATTGAAATTTTTATTAGCTATTATTTTTACCATATAGAGCGTGTGTGTACTTTTATTGTGTAAATTTAATTTGATTCCTTTGCTGGCAATTCCATTTTAACTAAACGTTCGCAAAACAAAAAACTGATCGTTGCGGTTCGTAAAAGTGCAAACAAAAGTTCCAACTGGCCAATACTTAAGTAATAAATTCTAACTGAAATTTATATAACCTACATTATTGCTGAGGGAGTAAGGTATAGGTATAGGTATGGGTAGTATAGTTGGATAATAGCCGGGAATATCCAAGCGCAAGGCAAACAGAAATCGCTTGACAAAACTGTGAGCAAATATTTAAAGTAATTGGGCTGGTGGCTGGTGGCAGGTTGCATGGGGCATGGGGAATTCGTCTACGTCTGTGTTACAATTTTGGAATATCGTATAAGTTATTTACGGAATTCCGATATCGCCTTTCCCCCTTTGTTGCATCGTTTTCGGCTACTAGAGTGTAAATAGGTTTAGTTGGGCAGCAAGCATTATCCTGAGCCCATGGATCCTGTGTGTGTGCTCGTTTATATTAGACTAAATGCAATTGGCTGATGCTAATGGAATTCTCTTCGCTTTCTCTGGCCTGCTGTGCTTGTGTATAGTGTATAATTATATAATTGTCCTTATCAAATATGCTCAAAATTTTATCGTCATTGTCAACTTAGCCTGTTGCGGTCCTCAGTTGTCCTTAGAAATCTTAGATTCTTTAATTCAAATCACGGGAGTTCTTGAGAAGCAGCGGAGGACTGTAACAGACTAGATAATGCAGATTATTGTAATGGTTGGCATGTTTAGAATATCGAGGCGAGGCTTAGACACAAGGCTCTACATAATTGCCCGGAAACAGGCCAGTCACCCCATCCATGACACCCTCCCACCAGCCGTCGTCATTCTTCTTGAGCACATACAGCACCGAGCTCTCCTGGAAGCTGAGCTCGTCGTCCTTATCGGCATAGTAGTCGTATATGGCTACAACTGAAATATTAGATATAATTACAAAGATTATTCTTTAACAATTGGAATTGTCATCTTAAACTTACCCTTCTCAATGAAGTTTTTGGGCACCCAGCCGGGTAAATTCTGATCCTCGGGTACGATAGGGCGCCAGCTGCGGTCCCGTCGAAGTGCGTGGTCGTCCGAAGTCCTGGTGCTCATCCTCCGGCGGTGGCGGAGGTGGCAAAGGCGGCGACTGGGAGCCGGGACGAGCAAAGTTCAAGCTGAAATGATTCCTTTGAAAAAAATGGGTTAGTACTGGTTACGGCGTTATACGTAGTTAAAAAGATATTTTCTTGATAAAATTGTGCATTAAATAACCAATAATTTTGAGTGTTTAAACTATGTATAACCCTTTGATTAATATAAATATATGCAATTTACCGATTTGGATTCCTTGGTTTGCATAGAGAACATGAAATAAGTTATATATACAGGATGGAAGGCGTGCGTTTGTAAGAAACTTACCTGTTGATATTGCGTCCCAGGGTGTGCATGCCAATGTGACTCTGCTCGGTCATCTCGTGCTGCGACACCGTCAGCGGCGAAGGTGGAGCTGCTGCAGATTGAAAGAAGGATAATTAGGCTTTGGTTCAGTAATTATAACCTATTTAACTAACGTGGCATGCTGCTCCGGTCGTCATACGTAGTGGGTGGCGGTGGTGGCAGTGATTGCATCATGCCCGCAGAGGGCAGATTCACATGTGTAGCTATCTGCTGGCTAGGTGGCATCGGAAGAGCACTGTACCCAGCAGCACGCTCATTGCCCGCCGCTCCACCGCCTGTAGTGGTGGTAGTAATCGTGGATGAAGCTGTTGACATTCGCTTTGGATGCCCAATTGGATAATTAGGTGCATAGTGCGAGGGCACCTGCGGCGGGTTGACCACTGGCGGGGTGCGATACTCCCGTGAGCTCTTGCCCAGCGTTCCAGTATTGCTGACCGACTTGCCTAGAGTGCCGGTGTTTCCAGCCCGTGACATTTGCGGTGGTGTCGGGGGCTTTGTGGTTGGCGGGGGACCGACCGACGGCGGTAATAGCGATTGCACGGATCCATGGCTGGAGCCCCGGTGCTTCTGTCTCACTTGCGAGTGAGAGGCCGAGTTGATGCCGTGCCCAATCTCATCCAACATGGAGTAATCGATGGGCTTACGTACATACTTTATAGGCTTCTCTGGATTTATGGGCGCCACGATCTTGAACTGACGCGAGCTTACTTTGTTGGCCGTCAGCACGCCGATCTCCCTGGGGGGTTGAAAAAAAAATTGTGTTGTAAAATCATGAATGTAAGAATTTAAAGGGAAACTTTAATAATCAATTAATTTTAATACATTTATATGGAAAAAAATGACTATTGAGAGTGAAATTAAAGAGACAATAGTTGATATCAACTAAGTGACCTCATACACATGAGTACGCTTGTACTCAAAGCAGCATTTATCACCGATGACTAGCACTAAAAACTGAAAATGAGACTGAATGTATTATCGCCTTACCTCCTAGCCACCTTCTCCTTGTGGATGTGCACCGTCTGAGCGATATGGTTCATTTGGGACTCCATCTCGCCGAGCTGCTGGGCCTGAAGCTCGAGGAGCTGCATGTAGCTATAGGCGAGCGTGTTGATCTGATAGGCGACGCTGGCCAGAGACTGAGTGGTGTAATTCTTGGTGGCCTCCAGGGCCGCCTTCTTGTTGTCTGCACGGTAGTAGGTGTCCTCGCAGTAATCGGCCACTCGTTCCAGGTTCGTATAGCTGTCCCGCAGACTCTGGCGGCCGTCGGGGATCTCGGTACGTATCAGAGAGGCTAGTTCGTCCATGATGTTCTCGCTGGCCATGGGGGCTTCGGTCAACATGGGTGTGGATGCTGCAGACGAATGGGTACCAAAAAACGCATTAGTTTCCCCACATTTCCGCACTTTTCACGCCCGTAAACATTTGGGGCGTGGGCTGGCCTCTGTCGACGTCGACGCCAGCTGCTCTGGATGACCGTTGGTGCGATTCAATAGTGCGAATTTCGCGTACACTCACTTTATTGACTATGCAATTGCACAACAGATGCTTTTCCGGGCTGGTTCCTTCGCTTTAAATGCAGATAAATGCAGTTTTTCTTTACATTTTTCGAGAAAAAAGAAAAGTACGCTGGTCGGTGTTGCAAAATGCTTTGCCGCTGACAGTGTTTCTTAACACGGGCCTAGTGCTGACGCACGTAGTATTATTTTCAATATCTAAATTTTACATATACCATTAAGTTAATTTTATATTATTGGGGTATGATAAATTATTTTTAAGGTTACAATAAATTTATTTAAAAAAATTTTCGATATTCAACTTAATTAACTGATTTTTATTGTCATACACATGTAATATTTTAAAGCAGTTGCAAGCAGTTCATAATAGAAATTAGAATATACCATGTTTCAGTATTTTTATACGCGCCCATTTTGGTCACACTCGTTGTGAGTAATAATTTTTCGGAAATATAATATTTATTTCAGCTGTTTTCCAAATGTCTCACCAAACGGGTATTCGAGGTTTGTTACCTCAAGAAACGATCAAAATTGTATCTTAAGATCCCCTTTTTTAATTTCAGCCAACGAACAGTTAGCCAAGGTGTTCGGCAAAGCGAAAAGTGGTAAATTTCGTGTGATAAAAGTTTCGATCGAGAATGGTAAGTAAATTTGCTCCAGAAGAGTACATATACACACGATATATACTAAATACGAGATTTGATAACGAGGTTTCCGGTTTTACCCCGCCCTATTTACAGAGCAGCTCAGTTGCAGTGCCACGGCGGAAACGAAAAAGGACTGGGAACGTGACTACGACAAGTTGATAGGACCTCTGCTGGAAAAGGATGTTCCCTGCTATATTCTCTACCGCTTGGACGCTAAGATTCCTTTGGGCTACAGTTGGTTACTGATCAGCTGGACACCGGATACGGCGAGCATTCGGCAAAAGATGGTATATGCCTCCACAAAGGCCACGTTAAAAACGGAGTTTGGTTCGGCCTACATCACCGAGGAGCTGCATGCCACCACATTAGATGAGTCCACTCTGGAAGGATATCGCCGTCACAAGCAGGAATTTGCCGCTCCCGCTCCTTTAACCACCAGAGAGGAAGAGCTAAAGGAACTTCGGAAAACTGAGGTTCACACCGAGATCAACACAAATACCAGGCACCAAACTCTGGGCGGGATTAACTGCCCCCTGAGCGAGCCGACTGTGGCTGCCATTCAGGATCTCGTGCGTGGCAAATACGATTACCTGCAGTTCCGAATCGATCTGGAAGAGGAGAAAATCCATGTATCGCATGCAGCCAGAGTGGAACTCGCTGATCTGCCGAAGCAAGTGCCCGAGGATCATGCCCGCTACCACCTCTTTATGTTCCGGCACACGCACGAGGGTGACTACTTCGAATCGTACGTGTTCGTTTACTCTATGCCGGGATATTCTTGCTCTGTTCGCGAGCGCATGATGTACTCCAGCTGCAAGGCTCCCTTCCTCGAAGAGCTAGCAGCTCTTGGCGTGGAGGTCGTGAAGAAGGTACGTTGGTATGTCTTTCGGAGCGGGTGTGGCTGCTATAATAACACTAAAGATTAGGGCTATAAAAATCAAAAATAAATTGTATACACGTTGCTAATTTTAGGTCTGAAATTATTTCTGATTCAGATTATGAAGAATCATTATGAATCAGAACCAGCCAGTTAATTACTTTTGAATCAGAAATCTGTAAAGCTATTCTGAATAGTTTAAATTATTACTTACTTATTATTACTTACATTATTTCTTAACCCTTGCTAATAATCTTTTATCCATCAGCTGGAAATCGACAGCGGCAGCGAGTTGACCGAAGCCTATCTACAGGATGAGCTGCATCCGAAGAAGATCCTGCACCGACCGGCTTTCGCAAAGCCCAAGGGGCCACCAAACCGAGGCGCCAAGCGCCTTACGCGTCCCACCGAGGACTAAGTCTGAAAACCGATCCCATCGAGTCAATTCTATTTATCCACCTTTAACCTACTGTTTCCTGGCAGAGCATTTAATTTATTGTATCCAAACGAGTTCCGTGTTCATTTCCTTCTTGTTGTGTCTTTCTGTCGTCTGTATCATATGTGTGTCCGTACGCCAAACGATATCTTTAGAGGCACTAGGCATCAACTGAAACATCGCATAGCAGCCGCCAATGTGGGCTTCCTTAAATGTGTACTTGTCTATGTTACTTTAGATGGACATATTTGCAATTTATTTAAATTAAAAAAAACTCAACTAAGTCTACACTGGCGTCTATTTTATCGAATCGAGGGTCACCTGTTCGGATACCTTTTCGTCGTGCGCCTTGAATAGCTTTGGTTCCTCTTCTTCTGTCATTTTTTTCAACGCCAGCTGAATATTTTCGTCACGATCGAGTCTCCATTTGTATTGCCAGTAGCGAACCTCCTCCATCGATGTGCCGGATGCCTTCATCAGCAGCAGGGATGTCGCACCAGCTACTCCGCCTAAGAAGCCTCCAATGATTCCACCTGCCGCCATACCTCGTAACCCCAGATTTACTTTGTAAAGCGACCCAGTGATGGAACCAGCAGCCAAGTACTCGTAAATAGAGGATTTTCCACGGTATACTGACATGCAGGTGATGATTCCGCTGTAAAAAGTAATATATAGGAATTGAAAGATATGGTTTTGATTCTACCTACAAGTAGGATGTCGTGAAGAGTCCAACTCGCCATCCCCATTTAAAGCCCCCTTTGGCAAAGTTGACCGTAAATTGGTCTTGCAGCTTTTTCTATAATTACAAATAAAGAACTGGTTAGAAATATTTACGTTTTTTAAAGAATTAGCTTCCTACCTTGGCATCAAAGTGGGATTTAAAGGCTGTGGCCTGATTGTTCTCCATGAAATTCATATAGCCCACGCGCGATTGTGTAACTCCTCCGTAAATTGCTCCAATAAGGAAGCCCAGGAAGCCGGCCTGGTAAATGGAGTTCAGCTCGGATGATATGCTACCAAACTCGCTAATTAAATAATAAAATCTTTGATTAGTTTCTTTTTAATTGTAATAAATAAATATTTCTTACTCGATGGAGAACATTTGTTTGAGGCGCTCGAGACCCGTTTCCTCCGGAGGTTTGCTGGCGAGGAAAGCCTTGTATGTTTTATTTTCTTTATCCACTATGTCGTCTGCGCCGCCATCAAGGACTGGCAGGATACCAGCGATTAAAATCCGCCGACCTTTCAACAAAAAACTCATTTCTTACAGAGCCCCAAATAACTAATTGAAAACAATGAAATCAGCTGTTTGCCGGCTGGAAGTGTTGGATAGGGTAAACAGTTTTTGCCAATTCCAATTTGAAATTGTTTGTTATATGTTTAGTTTTTTAAGTTTTTAAGTTTTTTTTTACTTCATTATGTCTTTCTATTTAAATAAGATATTTTGATAATTTAAATATTTGTTTTGCAAAGAATGGTTTATGCTCGGGATTATCTGGACAGCACCTTATGTTTTTCATGTGTCGTTTACCAACACTGCACAACGCCGACAACGCGTTGTCGGCAAACATTTGTTGTGAAATTTTCAAAGTTTTTAGAAGTTATATTATCATAAAACCAAATAACAATTATTTATTTGGACTCATAAAGTGCTTCTGCACTTTGAGAAACTGAAATCATGATGTACGACAACGAGGAAGGTGAGTATAGTGAATTTGCAAAATTTGCACGTTGGCATCAAGCAAAAACGAATATGGCGGCGGGAGCGCTAGGGCTCCGCTTTATTTATTAAGAATTATGGCTAAATAACTTCTTACAGAGCTCTACGAGGAGGAGAACGCCGAGGAGATTTCCCACGAGCTGTGGCAGGAAGCTTGTTGGATTGTCATTAACGCTTATTTTGACGAGAAGGGTTTGGTGCGACAGCAACTGGACAGTTTCGATGAGTTCATCCAGATGTCAGTGCAGCGCATTGTGGAGGATTCCCCAGCCATCGAACTACAGGCGGAGGCACAGCACACATCGGGAGAGGTGGAGACCCCACCAAGATTTTCCCTGAAATTCGAGCAAATCTACCTTTCAAAACCAACTCATTGGGAAAAGGATGGTTCACCAAGTCCCATGATGCCAAACGAAGCCCGTCTGCGAAATCTTACGTACTCAGCTCCCCTTTATGTGGACATTACGAAAACCAAGAATGTCGAAGGCCTAGACCCTGTGGAAACGCAGCATCAGAAAACCTTCATCGGGAAAATTCCCATTATGTTGAGATCCACATATTGCCTGCTTTCCCAGCTCACAGATCGTGATCTTACAGAGCTTAACGAGTGCCCGCTGGATCCTGGCGGCTACTTTATTATCAACGGATCGGAAAAAGTACTAATTGCCCAGGAGAAGATGGCCACAAACACAGTGTACGTTTTCAGTATGAAGGACGGCAAATATGCGTTCAAGACTGAGATTCGATCGTGCTTAGAGCACAGTTCCCGACCAACGTCTACTCTGTGGGTGAACATGATGGCCAGGGGATCACAGAATATTAAAAAGTCCGCAATTGGACAGAGGATCATAGCTATCTTACCGTATATCAAACAGGAAATACCCATCATGATTGTATTCCGAGCATTGGGTTTCGTGGCCGATCGCGATATCCTAGAGCACATCATTTACGATTTTGACGATCCAGAGATGATGGAAATGGTGAAGCCATCTCTGGATGAGGCCTTCGTAGTTCAGGAACAGAATGTTGCCTTAAACTTCATTGGAGCCAGAGGCGCCCGACCTGGAGTCACAAAAGACAAGCGTATCAAGTACGCCAAGGAAATTCTGCAAAAGGAAATGTTGCCGCATGTAGGAGTCTCCGATTTCTGCGAGACCAAGAAGGCATATTTCCTGGGCTATATGGTGCACCGCCTGCTGCTTGCCTCATTGGGTAGAAGAGAACTCGATGACCGAGATCACTACGGAAACAAGCGACTTGACCTCGCTGGACCTCTGCTGGCCTTCCTTTTCCGTGGATTGTTTAAAAATCTGATGAAAGAGGTGCGCATGTACACACAGAAGTTCATCGATCGTGGAAAGGACTTCAACCTGGAGCTGGCCATCAAGACGAACATTATTACGGATGGTCTAAGATACTCCCTGGCCACTGGCAACTGGGGCGACCAAAAGAAGGCCCATCAAGCTAGAGCCGGTGTCTCTCAGGTGTTGAATCGACTGACCTTTGCCTCTACTTTGTCCCATTTGCGACGTGTCAATTCGCCCATTGGTAGGGATGGTAAGCTGGCCAAGCCACGTCAGCTGCACAACACCCTCTGGGGCATGTTGTGTCCCGCAGAAACTCCTGAGGGAGCTGCTGTCGGTCTGGTCAAGAACCTCGCCCTCATGGCCTACATATCTGTCGGATCACAACCTTCTCCCATTTTGGAGTTCTTGGAGGAATGGTCTATGGAGAATCTGGAGGAGATTGCACCCTTCTGCCATTGCTGATGCTACAAAGATCTTCGTGAATGGCTGCTGGGTGGGCATCCATCGTGATCCCGAGCAGCTGATGGCCACACTTCGAAAATTGCGTCGTCAGATGGATATCATTGTGTCAGAAGTGTCCATGATTCGAGATATTCGAGATCGTGAGATCCGAATTTATACAGATGCTGGCCGTATTTGTCGGCCATTGCTCATCGTGGAGAACGGATCCCTGTTGCTGAAGAAGACTCATGTTGAGATGTTGAAGGAGCGGGACTATAACAATTACAGTTGGCAGGTTCTGGTAGCTTCCGGTGTGGTGGAGTATATAGATACGCTCGAGGAAGAAACTGTCATGATCGCTATGTCCCCGTATGATCTGAAACAGGACAAGGATTATGCTTATTGTACAACTTACACACATTGCGAAATTCATCCAGCTATGATCCTTGGCGTGTGTGCGTCTATTATTCCCTTCCCCGATCACAACCAGAGTCCACGTAACACCTATCAAAGTGCTATGGGTATGTTTATAGAGCTTGAAATAATAAATAACATTCTAACTTCTTTTTTCTTTTCCAAAGGTAAACAAGCTATGGGTGTGTACATCACTAACTTCCACGTACGTATGGACACGCTGGCCCACGTTTTATATTATCCAATGAAGCCTCTTGTGACCACACGCTCCATGGAGTACCTGCGTTTCCGAGAACTACCAGCCGGCATCAACTCAATTGTGGCCATTCTTTGCTACACTGGTTACAACCAGGAGGATTCTGTCATTCTGAATGCTTCTGCTGTAGAACGTGGATTCTTCCGGTCTGTGTTCTATCGGTCGTACAAGGACTCGGAGAACAAGCGTGTGGGCGATCAGGAGGAGAATTTCGAGAAGCCACATCGCGGCACCTGCCAGGGAATGAGAAATGCTCACTACGACAAGTTGGACGATGATGGTATAATAGCCCCGGGAATTCGTGTATCTGGTGATGATGTGGTTATTGGCAAGACTATAACGCTCCCTGAAAATGACGATGAACTAGATAGTAATACAAAGCGCTTCTCCAAACGAGACGCCTCCACTTTCCTTCGAAACTCTGAGACCGGTATTGTGGATCAGGTTATGCTTACGCTCAACAGCGAGGGCTACAAGTTCTGCAAGATTCGAGTGCGCTCCGTGCGTATCCCACAGATTGGTGATAAGTTTGCTTCCCGTCACGGTCAAAAGGGAACCTGCGGTATCCAGTATCGTCAAGAAGATATGGCTTTCACCTGCGAGGGCTTGGCACCGGACATCATCATTAACCCCCACGCTATCCCTTCTCGTATGACAATTGGTCACTTGATCGAGTGCCTGCAGGGCAAATTGGGATCCAACAAGGGCGAGATCGGTGATGCCACCCCTTTCAACGATGCCGTCAACGTACAAAAGATTTCCACTTTCCTGCAGGAGTACGGTTATCACTTGCGAGGCAATGAGGTCATGTACAACGGACACACCGGACGCAAGATTAATGCTCAGGTATAAAAATTTACTTCAAGTGTATAACAAAAATGATGCTAATCAATCGTTGTTATTGTAGGTTTTCTTGGGTCCCACTTATTATCAGCGTCTTAAGCACATGGTGGACGACAAGATCCATTCACGTGCTCGTGGTCCTGTCCAGATTCTAGTGCGCCAACCTATGGAGGGTCGTGCCCGTGATGGTGGCTTGCGTTTTGGTGAGATGGAGCGTGATTGTCAAATCTCCCACGGTGCCGCTCAGTTCCTGCGAGAACGTTTATTCGAGGTCTCTGATCCTTATCGCGTGCACATATGTAACTTCTGTGGCCTAATCGCCATCGCCAATCTGCGCAATAATACATTCGAGTGCAAGGGCTGCAAGAACAAGACGCAGATATCCCAGGTTCGACTACCATATGCGGCCAAACTTCTCTTCCAGGAACTGATGTCAATGAATATAGCGCCGCGCCTAATGGTTAACTAATGTATGGAATTTTTTGTCAAGACCTCTTAATCGCCGTAAGCTAATAGTTAGCAGTTAATTATTAAATTACCATAATTGTGACAACTCAATTAGGTGCTTTGTCTGGCATTTTCTATTATTTTCGAAACTGGAGCGAATACCCGCCGTGCATTTTTAAAGAGGCGAACGTGTCACAAGTATTTTTGGGCGAAAGTCTGCACGGGCTCAAGAGCTTCTAGTGGAATGTGATTTATTTGCTTATTTGAAGTAAGTTATTTTGCTTACAAACTCTTTTGAAGGGGTATATGGATTTGGTTATTTACTTGGGTGGATATTGGACTGGAACTGGATATTAGACTGTGTGCATAAACTATTTCCACTAAAAACCATATAGTGGATAGTTTGAATATTATCCCAAAAGTTCAGTTTGAAGTTCTATATCCAATTGTAAAGTTTGACCATCGTTTAAAGTTGTCACTATAACTTGAATCATTTTATAAACAATAAACTTCGGACTATTTTGAAAGAACATGATAAGTTTTTCAATTTAATTCCTGATAGCTATGTGATGGGTATTTGTTTAGCTGGCAAACAAAAGATCTTTTAGGACATCAAATAATCTGCTTTCCAGGTATTGACTCTTTGCATCATTTGCTCCAATTCCTCCTTGTAATCCCTCAACAAAGCCCATTATCCCATAAAATACCTCTGCCTTAAGCGTATCCTAAATTCGGCTTTCAATAGAAAGCCTTTCCATTTCCATTTATTTCTTGTTGTGCTTTTGTTGCCTTCTTTGATTTTGACGTAATGCTTTGGCCCGCGGTCTGTGACGCCCAGTGACAAAAGGGATTAGTTCTTTGTTGTCGGATGTGCGGATTGTGGACTGAGAGATGGAGAAGGTGGTGGAGCTGGAGCCACAGCCGCCAATCGACTGACAGTTATTAATTGCCACTTGACGTGGCTGCGACGTAGCGAGTAGCGGCACCACCAAGTTCGTGTCGCTGCCAATGTTGATACCAATGTTGGGGCTGATGGCCAAGACGTTGCCGATGCCAATGCTGATGCTGACACCCATCAGTCAGCGAGCCTGAGCCCAGCTTATGAGTAATTGAAATTGTGTGTAAATCCGCGAACGCAAAGTGGCGCCGCGATAAGAGTTTGGACCAAAAAAAAAATGTACATAAAAAACACTGCACTTCGGCACTCCTGATATATTTATTTATAGCATCTTAAAAATAACTTATATTACTCCTTTTTATCGTTAACACCTGAAGGTGTCTTCCCTTATTTGTCTCCGTTGCTGAAAACACTAATGGCGTAGAACTCGGGCACTCGGTAAACCTTCAGGCGTTCGTGGCTGAAACGTCCATTGGTGAGAGCCTTAACATAGAATATGTCTTTCATCCCAAGATTCTTTCGCTGCGAAGATTTCGTTTCCTCCATGACGAGGCGCTGCTGCTTTGGCCGATAACCACTAGACTTATCCTGCAGCAGCTTCACAAAAATAATATCCTGGTCGTCATTGCGCCCTCCTAGAGTTCTCGCCTGGTAGAGATTTTCACGGGGTTTTGGGTAAATCAGCACAGGTTGTATGGGCAACACCTGTGTGGGCGATGTGGGATATGCCTCCAGTTCATCTGGTTCTGGATCACTGAAGTGGACTACGGGAGCTGCCCAGGATAGGCAAGGAAGGTAAGTTGCCAGCAACAGCAAACCGATTGTGGGATTTATCTGGAAAGAATCAAATTGCAGTTGTTTATCTTTTTTCAAAATAAATATTTCACTTTTTTAATATTTTGTTTATAACAAAATTGATTTTGAACTGGATTAGCTGTGTATAAAATTTGGAGCATTCAAGTTTAAGCCGGTTTAATATTAGCTTTATTTGAATAATAAACACGTTTACGGCAATTAGTTCAGATTTATGTGTTTTCTCTGGTTTTCCTCGGAAGGATTTATGGCTTCAATTTGGAGCATTTTAAACAAAAAAGCAATTAATAAATCAAATAAATCATAAGGTGGCCAACTGCTAGCAAAATAATTTAATTCATTTAAAAGCCATAAATCTTTAAATTTTGTTTTTAATTTTGCAAAAGATTTAGCTGAAATAGAACGAATTTGAAAGTTGTAACTTTATCCGTTTGAAGAAGTTAAGGAATTTAAGATAAAACTATTCTTCATCTTACAATATATCAACATTATAGTTTCTCCAACTTGAAGACTAATTTATCACATTGATTTATAAATTAACAAGACCAATCAAAGTTAAGATAAATGAGAGAATTATGATGCCTTAAATTGATGTGAAACGTAATCTTGTTTAACATATATTTTAACACACTTTATTTTTCTCATCGATAGTAAATGATTTATAACTTTGTCGGATTTGTTTTAACACGGCGATTTGCATATCTAATTGATCTACAAAACTCGGCAAATTAATTGAGTTTTGTGACCAAACAGATTTCGTTCCACTCAAAAACCCATTTTGATATTTGGCCATAAGCGGCCAGAGTGACTTTAAACTTTTGATATGGTTCTTGTCTTTGAATTACCGTTTTCATTGCGTTTGTTAATTCCCAGCTCAAGTTCGCACGACTAAAATCGAAACAGAAAAATATATATATATATATTTATTTTTGAACCTAAGCGGCTTTGGTTCGCTTCTCGGCACTGTTGCCCTTTTTGGCCAATAAAATCGTAATATCACAGACGATAAAAGCGGCGATCGAGCGCGACGCGCGAATGTCAGAAGCAGACTGGCGTGCGACAAGGCCAAGTTAACTTCATTTACCGCCCGACGGAGCCACCGGCAGAAGCCGAAACTAAAGCTCAAATGAAAAAAATCAACTAAAAATACAAAAAAGAAGGCCCGAGCTGGGTGAAGAAAAAGCACAGCAGCAGCGCAGCTTCCAAGCTGTCAACAAATTGCAAACAGTGGGCAAACAAAGACAGATGGCTGGCTTAACACCCATTAACTGCTGTAGGAACATCTCTTAAATCAACATACATTAAAAAAGTATATGCAAATGGTTACTTCCCACTTTTCAGGAAATATTACAGAATTATATTTATAGGTGCTAAATAAGAAAATAAAAATGTATAATAAAAAAGCAATCAAGAACGAGATCAATTTTTATCAAGAAAACAGTCATGAGTTGTAAGAAGGCAAAACCGATTTCTTAAATAAAAAATTTGATAATATAGTATTTATATAAAAATAACTTTTTGCACAAAGAAACATGAATTTTAATAAAATTACCATTATTAATACTATTTTCAGTAACCTCTAGTAATTTGTTAAGCTAATGTGTTACTCGTTGATGCCTAATGGGTTAATAAATAAAGATGATATAGTGTTTGTGCTATTAATTGATCACTAGGTCGGAGTGTCGATAGGGTCAATGTTATCAGCATGCCAGCGCAGATCAATCACCTGTGCTTGATGATGAGCTCAAAACTAATTTTCATCTGCTTACATTTCGTTTTATCTGCTGGTAATTTTATGCTCATGCTCTTAGCCGCCAGTGATGTCAAATTTATTATTATAGCCTCTGAATGGGAAGTCTGGTAAATGGAAAAAATCACATAAACGGTAGAAATAAATTTCAGCAAGTAGAAATGCTTAATTAGCGAATAAATATTTGCGCTGCCTTGAGTTTAGTAAAGAGTTTTGCACACTTGCTGGATGGTTTTATGAGTGTTTATCAACTTCTGCTGCTGCTGCTGCTGATGCTGCTGCCTTTTGTCTGTTTGCAGTTGAGGTTAACAACAAATAATAATAGAAATTTCTCGTTAAATACATGTTGTTGAGGGTTCTTCATCTTGATTACTGACAAATCAATCATACGCACTGTGGAGCCAAAGTTGAAAATCAATTACAGCGTGATGCAGAAATAGAGTTAAATAAATAAGCAGCGGTAATTGAAGAAGCAACATAACGAGTCGAGGGCTAACACCACAAGGCCAAAAGCGAAATTTAATCGCTTTATATGTGAAATTATGGCTAAAAAGGTAACGGAAAGAAAACAAATAAACACCCAAGTGAAGAGCAAATAATTACAAGCCTGATACACATATACTTGTGTATTGTTTGGTAAATCACAACAGTTGTCGTCCGATTTCGCTGGAACTCGCGATTGAGATTCGTGACTGATTAATTGCAGCGCATCTCGAGCCCCCTTTTCCGCACTTTGCATATTCGATTTGTGGGCTTTCGTTTCGGACTTGTTTTCGCTTTCGTCTTGGTTCGATCCGATTCTTTTTGGCCAAGAAGCGTCTGCTTTTAATGAGCTCATTCGCATGCTCACCTGGAATCATGTGAAAGGTGAATACTTATGTTGGGCAGCTCTATCCATCGGTGTTTTTTTTTGTGCTACCGTTTGCGCAAACCTTAATAAAAAAAAGGGAAAGCTTTTTGATTTCAGAGGTGTCGGTATCGATGTTTGTGGCGCCAGCATTAGCCACAAATTGTGGTTTATGCGTCTGGCCGAAAGCCATAAGCTTTGGGGGAGTAACAACAGGTATCATATGGCAGTTCCCTAGCATATATATATGTATGCGAGTATATATATAGGCAAAGGTTAATCTGTAACTACAAACAATGAAAGCAATTTTGTTTGGCAGACTGCATACAAATGGGAATAAACCCCATGAAAATCTCATTGTAAATATATTCTCCACCGCATTTAGTTTTATTTGTAATTCGTAAAAAGTTGATTGAATAAAATGAATACAATGTGCCTGATTCTGGACACTTTTTGCAGATATTTTTGTATACGATTTTGTTCTATGATTGCTTATTGTGACACTAGCAAATTTATTTATTTATTTATTGATATTTTCATTAAATTGTATATTTTTGTTACATACGAGGTGTGTTCAAAAAGTAAGGTGACTTTTCAAATTTCGCGGGCAACATATTTTCGATTTTCGTTTTTTTTGTTTTGTTATATTGGTACACTCTTCCCTAACATCTGTACCAAGTTTCAATGGAACATCCTCTTTTGTTTGGTTGTGAGAGGCGTAAAGTTACAAGTTGTTTTGCGAGCTCGGCGATTTTTTGCTTTTTTCGGTCTTGGCTCGTCTGGGCTCTTCCATTGGGACGATTGGGCTTTGGTTTCGATATCATAACCATATACCCATGATTCGTCACCAGTTATGACCCTTTTGAGTAAATCTGGGTCGTCGTTGACGTCATTCAACAGCTCTTGAGCGATGCTCATGCGACGGTTCTTTTGCTCAAAATTCAGCAATTTCGGAACAAACTTCGCTGACACACGACTCATACCCAAAACGTTTGAAAAAATTTCATGGCACGAGCCAAGCGATATACCGACATCTTCAGCAACTTCTCTGATAGTGATTCGACGATTTTCCAAAACAATTTTCGTCACTGCTTGAACGTTTTCATCAGTTGTTGACGTGCTTGGGCGTCCAGAGCGAGGCTGGTCATTGGCATCTTCCCGGCCATCTTGGAAGAGTTTGTACCACTTGTACACATTTTTTTTACTCAGAACAGTTTCACCGTATGCCACTGTCAACATTTCAAGTGTTTCAGAGCACTTAATTTTATTTTTACACAAAATTTGATGCAAATCCTTTGATCCATATTTTTCGATAGCAAAAAACGCCGAGCTCGCAAAACAACTTGTAACTTTACGCCTCTCACAACCAAACAAAAGAGGATGTTCCATTGAAACTTGGTACAGATGTTAGGGAAGAGTGTACCAATATAACAAAACAAAAAAAACGAAAATCGAAAATATGTTGCCCGCGAAATTTGAAAAGTCACCTTACTTTTTGAACACACCTCGTATTATATAATTCAAAAGTGCGAATAGGGAAGTAGGAAAGCTTATGGAATTATGGAATATTTTTGCTATATTTCGCATCTCTCCGCATTTGTTATTTCTCGCCAATTAGTTATGCAAGCTATTTGTTGTTAACCATGGCTATTATATCACACAGCTGATGAAAACAAAATGTTGCAAAGTGGAGTCATAAAAAAATTATAGAGAAGTTTAATGGTTCAAATAAAAATTGATATATATGTGAACTCAGCTGGGTTAAATGCAGGATTTATTGTCGCTTTTCAACTTTAAATTTAAATCAATTTAAAGCCTTTTGATCTAAAGTTGATTTTTTTGTTCATTATTCTCTTACAACTTTATTAAGCGGTTCTTCCTTATTAAAACTCAATAAACTGTGTGCTGGATATTAATCGATTTAACGTTGTTCATTGTCCGCCATTAAACCCATTGAAAGTTAAATATTCAGCTGGAAATAAATAATCCATACGTTTTTTTATTACATATTGCGTCTGCCTTTTTCCTTGTGAATAATTTTGATTTGTGTTAAAGAGCACTAAAGTAATCCCAAATGACCAGATTTAAACGGTTATTTCACATTCAACACCTTCTGCTGTTGGATTGTTCGCTTTTTCGCACAATTTCCCCAACTCATTCGGGCCTCATTAGCATTGTTAATTGATAACAGTTGAAAGGAGGGTTGGCCCGAAACGAAATAAGGAATAAGCAAAGTTTATAACGAAATAATCATAATTCGGTCGAGGTAAAAGGATGTCTGTGTGTTAGTAATATTATTTATGTAAATGAGGCCAGTTTTGTCTTGGGCTTTGTGCAAATACGAAAAGCCAAAAGGTGCTTTGCTATGAAATACGATGACAAGACAAACGGCGTTTGCTGCGCGTTTTTAATTACCATAATTACATAACTGCACTCACACCATCAAGTAGTTATACACGCACGCACGCACATAACTGAATGTGGCCCACGCCTGGAAATATGCAGCACATTCACCTAGGACATCAAGGAGTAAAGGAGTTTCATAGTGCTGACGGGGATTTCACTTGAATAAGTTGGAGAAGTGAAAAGACAGGATTTAGGTTTTATAATCTGTTAAATATTTAAGATAATCATCAGCTTTTACCATGTTGTTTAATAATCATTTTTTATTTTGTCCTTTTAACTGAATAATAATCTTATATCCACCATTATCTTATATTAACCTAACTAAAAAGCTATTGTTTTTCTGTCTGAATAGGCTGCACTGAACCCAACTGAAATAACGAATGGTGTGGGGCCTGTCTCTTTATTGTTGTTATCGCATAAACTTAAATAGTTTTTGCCAGCCACTTTGCGGCTTTTAAGTTATTTTGCGTGCACCACTTGAGCGGAGCACTTTTATTCGGGGCCCCGCACTTTGAACAAGTTTTCTGTGTGTGCCGGGGCCAAGGACCTTGAGGATGGGCGGGGGCCAAATTACAGAGACAGTGAGAGTCCGGGCTTAGTGTCAGTGTTTGAATGTTTAACTGGCTCCGTTAATTAAATTGCCAGTCTCTGGCATTTCCACCGCCACTACTCCCCCCTTCCTGTGGATATTTTTCCACCTGTTTCTCGGCCGCAAATTAAGTCAAAGTTTTTCATTCCCATTTACAGGTTTTCCCTCCTCCTTGCCAATACCCCTTGCCCTGTGCCGTCTCTTCTGTCTGTTGCATAATTTGCACCCCAAGCTTCTTTTGGCCGGGACTTCCCCTTTGGCGGTCGCGTGGCGGCACAGAAAAAAAAGAACTTGGCTAAATGGTTTGCCATTAATTTTTCGTGGCATGTCGGTTATTAACCCGCTTGCCTGTTACCTGGTATATTTCTCCATTCTGCTTTCTTTTACCCATGTTGCAGTCATATTTTTGCAGCAAGGGCGTATAAGCCTTGAGGGCGTAGCTGACACAGTTTGCGAATCAAAGCTAGAAATCACAACTGGATTTGGGCGGGCTGTAACTAATTGAAAAATTACAAAGCCCTCGGTTCCTCGAAAATTTGCGTAAAATTGGGGGGAAAGAAACTATTCTTGTTTTAGCAACTATAGTTGTTGGGTAGAGAAAAAACTAAACTTAGGCAAGATATATATATTTTTTCGATTCCTTGACATTGTTTTTTTTAACATATATCTGATTATATGTCCAAAGTTTAATTTCTTTATTTAAACCTAATACACTCTTGTGTTAAAGAGCTCTTAGTCCTTGTTTAAATATGCAAACTATCTAAATATTTAACAAATATCAAGAGTAAAATTAGGCCATTTTCAATCTGATATTAAGCAATGTTTTGGAATTAAAAATGTTCATTTGCCTGGACATTTTCACCTTAGTGTATAGTCTTTTTCCCGGCAGTTTGGCAAATTGTTCTACTTAATTCTATTGTTGTGTTGACTCAGGTCGGGGCTTGGGATACACGTGACTGCTTGTGAAAATGGCTTATTTGAGAATTTCAATTGAATTTCGGTCACATCTTTCAATGTCCGACAATCGAAATGCATTTTGGCTTTCATAAATAAATAGGTTTGTTAAATTGTCCATGCTCCAAAAGGCACCAAAGCCTGTGTCCGGATTCCCAGTCCGATGTTGTCTCTGTCAGTGAGCATGACTGACCCGTAAAGCCCACTCTCTCCGGAGATTCTACGCTTGTTTGTCACTGGATTTGAATATGCTTTCGATGCTCATCACGTGGCCAGCCAAAAATTGCCTACAGTTGAGCCCAAAAAGCTGATGCGAGTCGGGGTCAGGGTCCCGAGTTTCGAGTTCCCCCCGCCTTTAGTCCCCTTGGATCAAAGGCGCATTTAAGCAGCTTACATCAGAAAATGGAAATCGATTGAAATTTTCATGAATTTCAGTCCATTGGCGTAATGAAAAGTATAGTACAATAAATGCGATTGGCTTCCGTTCGCAGAACTTTTTAGCCAACAATTAGCCGAATTGAAGAGCAGTTTGTCGAATGCCTTTCAGCAGGACATTAATTGATTTTCGCCGTCAGTTTGATTTTCAATTTTCCGGCACGCCCCTCTAAGCCCAAGTTAAATGTGGCTAAAAACCAGCAGCACCAGTAGCCAAACATGGCGCAAAAAAATAGAAGCAGAAAATCTCTCAACTTTGATTGCAAATTTCTTTTTCCTCCGCCGAAACATTTTTGCAGCTCTTTCCCCCCACAAAATCCACAAACAGCTGAAGCCTCAAACTCGGACTTTTTTCTAATTTTCCGTTGCAGTTTCACTTGTTTATTCCGATTTTTTTCAGATACATTTCATTTTTTCTTTGCATTGCTGTTTTGTAAGGTTCAGTTAGGGAGTTAGTACGATTCAAGGGTCATTTGTTGATTTAATTTCAAAAACGAACTGAAAATTTTTAAAATTACAAAAATATGATGGTGGTATAGTTGATGTTTTGATAAATACTTTAATGAACTTTAAATATTTTGTATATTTTGAGTAAGAACTTTTACATTGAAGAACTTTATATAAAAACAATAAGCTTCCTATTCCAAATTGGCTTACAAATTTGCATATTTGTAAACCTAATCCGCTCCTGATCTCCGGCATCACATACATTTTGCATTCCCCTATATTTTCTTATTTTTCCAGATTTCGTGGGTGGCTTTTTTCCGAAGCCGGAACTGGGAAAAGTGTTGCTTGCAAATGTTTACAGTTTAGTTGTGCGGATGTGATAAAAACAATTTGATTGCAAAATAAACTGCACACAGCATCCAGCTGCGAAGAGGTCCAAATTGCAAAAAAAAAGAAAAAATGGAAAAATAGTAAAAAAAAAAGAAATTTGATTGGCGAATGGAAAATGGCATTGGCATTGGCATTTTTGGCAGGGCTCAGGACACAGGCGAAATGCTTGAGGAAGAGTGCAGAGCAGCGAACCGGAATGCGAATGGGAAATGTTTGATTGAGTCCCCGTTTGAATTGATTTCGGACATCAGCAGCCGGCTGTAAAAGGAAATTCCCCGTAAAATTTCAAAGAGAGAGAAGAAAACTGAATTCTAGCTTACGCCAGGGTTATTTCACTTTTCAAACTTTTGCTCCTAATTCGGTTAAACATTTTATGGCTGCACACTCTACGGATGAGTGATATCCCTGCCAAATGCTTTTGCTTCTATATGGTTACCATTGAGGAGGTTAATTGGATGGATGGATAGATAGTTTGCATTTTGACTGTATATATGAAGTTGCAAGTGAAATCAAATAGTTTTGGACTTGTAAGGCATTTGGATAACTGACTTAAAGAGATTTTCCTAGCTTGGGCATTTCTTTGCCCCTTTCAACTTTAATTATGTTTAGATATACTAAAACAAAAGCCATCTTTATTGTTAATCCTTTCCATGTTAATCTGCGTCAAGCTGAAACATGGCCACTTTCCTTGTCAGTTTGGCCAACAGTCCTTTTGTCCTTCTGACCGCCTGTCTCTCAGTGGTAAGTTATGTGATTAATGACGAACAAATGGGGGTGGCCTTTGTATGGGCGTCTAATTACATTTCGACCGTCTGACGGAAACAAACGAGAACAAAAAACTCATTAACGCACTTGCAACATGTCCTAAATATAATACTCATAATAGTTTCTCCATTTCCTCTTTACTCTTTGGCTAAACATATGCGCAAAAGTTTCTGAAAAGCTGTAAAAAATAATCCAAAACGCATTAGTCGACTGTCTAGTTAAGCACATACCCTGTTTAGATTAAACTATATATTTAATCTTATTCATTAAAAAATGTAAACCAAATGAAATAATGTAGGTAAATATGGCCTCCAATAGTATGAATGCAATATATGAAATATGGAAATTTATTTTATATGTCCTTTTTCTTACATTTCCACGATACCACATATCCTTGCAGTTTACGAGGTATAAAAACTGAAACAGAAGTAGAAATAAAAACGCTGTGTATGTCGCTCATGAGCGTTAACTTTTCGGCGAGTGTTGCCTTTATGCAAGTTAATGCCAGTGGGTGGGGTGAATGGTGTATGGGGTGAAAAACAGACGCGGAGGTCGGAAAATCCTCATGACTTCACGTTTTCGCATTACACATGAGCAAGTGTATTTGTGAGATTCACATGTTTTACATGAATCACAGTTAGTTTTTGGATGCTTTTCCACTTTTCATGCCGGCTAGCGGGAAATGTGTACATAAACCACAGACGTGACAACAAAACTGCGGGCGCCCTTCTGCTTCTCACCGAATGTGTCCTGTATGTCCTGGGTGAAAAGTGACAAAAGCATTGACAGGAAACAAAACTGTCCACACGGCCAAACACAGAGAAACAAATGCAAAGCCAAGCGAATAAAACGCAGCCAAAGGAAACTTTTTTTTGACTGTGACCAAGGATCATGGTCACGGTCGCCCGAGCATATAAGATAAGGACCCTTCGATTTGGTTTCGGATCCGCATGTGGCTGCCAACTTTTATTGATGGTCGCCGCAAAGTTTAGGGGTCATTTCTCTCGAAGCGTATCCTGACCTTTCCAGAGTTGTCATTTTATTGAACTAGTTGCTCAAAATTTGTTTTTGGGGAAAAGGAAATAGGTTTCGGTAAGATAATATTTCTAGTTTTATGAACTAATCAAAATGTTTGAGTAGTTTATTCTTCTTTTAAGTTTTAGGTTGGATTTTTTAAAAGACTTTAATTAACATTTAGATGTTTCTATCGGTATGATAATCAAATAGTAAGTATTTTTGTCCAAAATATCTTTTATATTGGTTAATAAGTGTGTCTTTATAGATTCTTTAGGCAGTAGACTCAGATTAAACATTGCTTTTCGCTCAATCGAATCTTTAACTGAATTAACTGAATCAGTTTGAGCACAGGAACCGCACAGCACTAATGTTATCCTTATCAGGATGTGAATCTGGAATCTGTGTGTGCGGTGCGAATTGGTTTCTGCTGGTATTGTGTGCTGGGCCAACTGTCAAGCGACTGTCAATTGTTAATTAAATGTATACCCTTGGCAGCTGCTGCCGCCGAGTTCACTTGATTTGTTTGACCGAGCTACGGCTATACCTACCTCCATATATATACAAAGCGTATATATATGGTCTGACTTATGGGGAATGGTCCACCATGGCTGTCACACAAACTCAGTTGTGAACAGACACACACACACACACACACATTCGCAGATACATTTATTGCAAAAGTTTGCCACGACAGCATCTAATTTGTGTAAGCTTTATGTTAATGTTGTTACGGCCTTGACAGTTTTATTGCTCGAACTAATAACTTAATTGACAATTCGAATTTGGGGGGTGGGCGTGGGTAAGGGGGTTGAGTATTTGTTGGCCTTTGCACCTGTTGTGCCATAATGTTCGTAGTTTATGAACTGAAACATAAATAATCGGCTCAATTGATGCTGCACAATTTGATTTATTAATTCTCGACATTTAATCAGTGATGCGAATAATCTGATAAATGCCGGAAAGTATGCTATGTATTTGGGATTTGTGTGGATGCTCTAAGCATCGGATCCTCCCAAAATTTGTAAAACATCCAGGAATATGTTGACCACATCCAGGTAAATATTTAGAGCGGCGAATATGTATTCCTCGGGACTGATAGAGAACCTATGCTTGCCTCCCATCATCAATTGGGTGTCGTAAACTAAGTAAGCGGAGAAAAGCATGGCACTTAAAGCGCAATATATAGTGGTCATGACACCTTGGCCGACGAATACCGTTATGATCCCAAAGAGCAGCAGGATAATCAGGAAGCTCACCAGCATGCCACCCATCATGGTGAAGTCATAACGGGTCTGCATAGCGAATAGAGTGAGTCCCACGCAAACTGCTGTTGTTATTGATACGGCCATGAAAATCTCACTCGGTGCATAGCGACATGCTGCCACGCCCAATAAAATGGATTCACCTAGGGTTAAGAGCCCCAGAATAATGAAGTTCCCTGGTGTCTTCCGACGTAGATCCTCATTACATGCCAGAGACACCAATAAAACAAACACTATCAACATGGCCAGCAGGAAAATCCAGGAGTTTTCAGCCACCGTTAATCGAACGTTCTTGTTGAAATTCAGCACTCACGATGACCACTAATGACGTAATCAGTTGAGCCAAGAGGATTAGGTACACCTTCCGGATGAACCCCCGCCGGATGCTGGCATTGCTGAATTCAAGACCCTTGTCATTATGCTCTGGATCGATATCAGAGCCGTAGGCGGGATATCTTCCCAGGGGAATGCACTCCGCTTGATGGCTTCGATTTCCGTACTGCTGCACTGGCTCACAAACAGCCTGCATTTCGGCTATACTTCGATTTAAGTAACTCGAACTGGGTATTATCAATAATATTATTTCTATGACTGAGATTTTGTACTTGACAAAAAGGTCATAGATGGAAGGAATCTAGTTTTCTTAATATTTTTCTCCCGTTACTCGTAGAGTAAAACGGTATACTTAACGACCCTTTAAAATATGTACATATACTTTTGATCAGTATCTATAGCGAAGTCGATTAAGCCATGCCCGTCCGTCCGTCTGTCCGTATGAACGTTGAGATCTCAGGAACTCTACGAGATACAGAGTTGAGATTAATCAGGCAGACGTCCCTACGCAGCGCAAGTTTATTTCAGCATCCTGCTACGCCCACTCTAACGCATACAAACCACGGAAAACTAAAATCGCTGAAATCTCAGGAACTGTAAGAGCTAGAATGTTGGGATTAAGTATGTATACTCTTGAGATGCCATCGCATTCTATGGTAGTATCATTGTATCCGGCCACACCCACTCTTACGCCCACCAAGCACCAGCATTTTGAGATATCGGTATCTATAAGTGATAGAAAATGAATTTTTTGTTTAATTACTTATTATTCTTTCCGCATCTAGAAAGTTGGCTTTAGAAAAACGGAAAACCAAAAATGCAAAAATCTCGGGAACTATAACAGCCAGAATCTAACGCCCACGAACCGCGGAAAACTGGCGTACAGTTTATATCCTGTATAACATTTTTTGTCAATATCTATCGATTTACGAAAGATTTATGAAATCGGAACATTATTTCGCTATTTATGAATAAACATAGGATATAAGTCTTCACATGGACTTTGTCACTATTAGTTACTCAACATGCCTTTTTTAACAACTAGCAAAATAAATATTTTAAAATTATATAAAGCAGTAACGGGCATCTTATAGTCGCGTCACCCAACTATAGCGTTTCTTCTTGTTTCGATTTAATTCAGAGCAAAAAGCATAAATCCTCACTTTGACTGATATCAAATCAAATTTAATTTAAAATTCTTTATTTAAATAAATCAAGGAAAGTCAACTATCGAATTTCAAACACCAATTACCAAAGACTGCGGACCACTTTCTGTTAGATGGGTCAACAGTTTATGGCTTGATCTTGCCAGTGGTTGGATTAAGCAGCAACAACTACTACAACAGGTGGTGCCTTACCGCCCACAACTTATGGGACTTACCCCCTTTCCATCTACCCCTCTTCCTCTTCACCACCCCAGACATCTCTCTCACGCTTCTGCGCTTTGAATGCGATGAGAATTCAGCAGAAGTTGAGAGCTTTTCGTGGGTTTTTCAGATTGGATGAAAGCGAAATGCTGTGCTCAGTACTTTCGGCTCCTTTGTGGGCTGGAGTGGCCGAAATAAAACCGAGTGGGGACTGCACTTGGCATTTTCTGATTACCTGGCCCCGTCAATTTGACGTAGTTCCTGCCACTGTGGCAACTAAAGCCTAGCTTTTCATACCCAACCCGAATCGAAATGATGAACATAAAAAGCCTTTTATACTGCCGGCTTTTTTTGGTGAATATTTAAGGGGACAAAATTAGGCAAATCCTTGACAGAAATTAACTTGACATTTGGCCAAAAAAGTCAGGATGGCTAGTTGTGAGTACACCTGCTCATATGTGTGTGGGTGGGTGGGGGTGGCGGTGCTCTGTCAATTGGACCTAGATTCGGGACACTTTTGTGTGGCACACATCAATCAAAATGGCATTTAGTCATGGCCTTGCCAGTAGAGCCTATAGGCCAGGAACTACGAGTATAGTACTCAGATTTTGCCGTGGGCACGACACGTGTTGCGTTTTAAAGTTAAGCACCGCCCTTCCTTTTTGTTCAGCCCCAAGCTTTTCTCGACCAACTAACTATCAACAAGTTTGCTTTTTTGTCTGTTTTATTTTTTCTATTTTTTTGGGTTTTGGAGGTGGTTGGGGAAGTTAAGCCCTAAAGCTGAAGTGCGTCACGTGTCGCCAGATTTTCCCTTGAAACGCCCTGGCTAATGAAAACAGCCTCAGCCAAACCAGAAACCAGAATAGGGCAGAACAAAAGGAAAAGTGGGCGGTAGCCATTTTCAAGACTGGGCGTGGCTGGTAGACATCTATCAACACTTTTGAAACTTTAAATGAGTTTTCCAGCGACATAAACTTTGCCTGGTTGTGCCCAAAAAACCGCACAGAAAAAATAGGAAAAACAAACTAAAAAGTCTGTGTGCAGAGTGAAAAATCATGACAGTGAGTGTGATGTTCTTTCTGGTATTGTTTTTTTAAGTCATACAAAAGTGATCTTCAGTGTTTGGGGGACTTAAACTAGTTTTAGATAACTTCTCTTAAATTTAACTATTACAACTTTTGTAACTTTTACAATAAGAAGATAGTAGCAGTGTAAGGAGTTCATGGAACAAATATATTTTAAAGTTGATAAATTATGAAAACTTTAAAGGAAGAAAGGAAGTTACTACAAAAGATTGTTTTTTCTTGTGGTGGGAATGAATCGTAGTTGGTCCACAAAAAAAACACACAACAGGAATAGCAAAAAAAAGGAAAAATTATAAACTGGACCACGAGCCAGTGATTCTGGCTCAACAAATGCTAAACAACCCATGAAAAAGCAACAACGAACTGCGAAAAAGCACCGACCACTGAGCAACAAAATATTATGCTATATATAAGGCATTTACTTATTTAGAGGACGGGCCATTGCAGTTTAATCTATGCAAATCCACAAGAAATCTCATTTTGCGGATTTAAAGTTGATAAAAGTGTGTTGCAGCCAGTCCGCTTGATGCTGATGTTGGGGACTAACGGCAAAAAGTATAAAAAATCCCTAACGAAAAAAACAGGACAAGAAATCGTGCTAGTGTGTGTATTTGTCCTGACACACAGACTCACACCAACACCTCGACATTTATTTTATAGACTACAATGCCCAACGCTTCGTGTGAATTTTCGTGCGCCGAGAACTCAATTCTTCTCGACAGAGCCCCATTTCCTTTATTTTATGCATTATTACGGAATATTTTATTTTTATTCCATTTTTATTTTCTCCTTGTTTGTCATTGTTGAATTTTTTGTGCTTGGCTGTGGGGTAAGTCCCACTGCCACCCACTCTGCCATCCACAGTCAACAGGACGAACAGAACCACCTCAACCCTTCAGCAACTGGGGTCATTAAAATTTACAATTCGCCAAGGGCAAGAAACTTCAGTGCACCAGAATTTCGTTGGCCTTATTTTCAGATGCAGTCAGTTGGCGTTCTTCTTCGGGGCCACAATTAATTTTAATTTTTGAAAAACATTCGCGGTTGAGATGGCGTCAGGTTCGTTAACGGCACAAAGTTCCTCAAAAGTTGTAAGTTTTTTTTTTGGGTAAGTTTTGGCAACGCCACTGAGATTTCATTAATATTAATCAAGGTTTAGATTTCTAACAAGGGTATTTTCTTTTTGTCCTTATTTTTGAAATCACAATATGGTCTGTGGAGCAATGGTTGCAAAATTTTTATCAGTTTTAAGTTCTAAAATAGTCAAGTCAAAACATACAGCTAATAGGAAGACAGTTATGTGCGGCTAACTTGCCCAAACCAATGACCCATATAACTTTCCGCCTGAATTTGGAAATTACATTTTTTACCAATTTGTATGAAATATTTTACCAACATCTTTTTTTTTGCAAAATATTGACATTTTGAACTTTGAATGCAGATCTCATAAGAACTGAAAAACAAGCTGAACGAGTTATGACATCCATATCTGGACCATTATTAACTTACGACCAAATCTAACCGATCCTGTTGAGTTCAAATTTTAAATTGTTTTGATAATTTTAAATCTAACAAGAAGTTGATGTATGAAATATATGTAAGTTTGTTCTAAAAAAAGCTGTCCAACTCCATTTTAGAATTCTTTGTACATTTTAAGCAGCCCGACACCTTTCAGCCATGTTGATAGACAATATTTTTGTGTGGATGCCCCCACATTTGCATATTGCATTCTGATGGCTGTGAAGTCGGGACTTGTGTCATGCAAATTGGCAGCTTAATGCCCTCTTCGGTTCAATGACTCCATCCTGAATCAACTTCGATGTGTGGGGATGTGTGGTAAAAGTGTTTAATATGCTGCACATTCAGCTAGCCTCTGGCTGCTTGCAGTTCACAATTTTCAGCTAGACTGCTTCAACTGGAGTGCAAATATTTTTCAAGCTAGCAAAAATATTTGCCAATAAACACACACGGCGTTTAGAGACAGAGAAAGAGACAGAGACAGAGAAAGAGAAAGGGAGCAATAGAGACCGAACGAGATGGAGGTGAAAGTGGCAAAGTTTAACCGCAAAATGTCCATAAAGTTCATGGCCATTGGCTCATCATTGAGGGTACTCTAAGAGACACAAGGATCCGAGAGACGAGGAACAATCAGTCAGTGACAGGACGAGCGAAAGAACAGCTGCTCCTTGTCTGGCGAGATGGGTCCTTATGCAGTTTTAGCCAAGTTTGCTGCTCCTTTAGCCCCATATAAGTGCAAGGAATTTGGGGAATTTATGTTTGAGCCAAACTCTCGTTTAATTGAATTTTAACTTTGCCTCACATTGGCCAGCAGTTCTGACACTTATTTGTTTGGCTATTTTTCGAGGGAGGTTTTCATTTAATTGAAATTCATTTTGCAGCTGCCTTCTGGCGTTTTTGGTTCGATATCGCCTATATTCTTAATTGCTCTGTGGCCCAACGATTCCAAAGTTACAACTTTAAATGGCCACAAAAATCCAACCGAAAATGGTATTTCGTCGGGCCGTGGTTTGTTTTTGTTTTTAGGTCTTTTGTTATTTCGTTTTTCATTTTACTATTCATTTAATCCTTTATTGCTACAAACTGATGACAAATGCTTATCCCTTCGGGGGCGTAAAACGGGGTAATGAAAATAGATGGGGGCAAACTGTAAATCAATCAACAACACATTGAACACTTCACTGCACACTGATATCGGAATTATTATTTTTGTTATGCAACAAAAAGGCTTTCTGGGATTATTTAGTTTTTAATATTAAATAAATTAGTTTTCCTGCTTGCAAAGGGATTATTTTGAAGGCAGAAAAAGAAAATTCGATTGCTGCAGGCTTAGCTTAATATTTCAAACTTTATTAACTCTCCGAATAAATTGACCCTCAAAACATAAGTGGAATCTAATAGGAGATTTCCCGAATTAACTCAAATACAAAAGGTGAATTTCATATATGTTGATATGATTAGTTTTCAGGGAATGTTAAAAGGAAAGGAGTTTGCTTAAATTGTACTTTTACCTGCCCACACTCTGTGGTTCTCTGGGGATTCTATCTAACTTGCGTAAAACTCCGGAAATTCCATAGCAATGCAATTGCTTTTGGGATTTATTTTATTTGGGTTTTTGACTTTCACAAAAATAAGCGAAATTTCCGCGCACTTGTTCGCATGCATGCATGAATAAATATTTTATTGCATACGAGCACTTGGGGGTCGTTGGTTCTTCGTACTTTTCGGATTGTGTCAGGAAAGCTCATAACAAGAAAGTTTTGTTTTTAGGATTAGTATGTGTAGTTGGGTCTTTTGGAAACTCGTATCACAGAACGCAAGTTGTTGACAAACTGTATTGTTATAGAATAAACCAAAACACTCGTAGAAATAAAAACCGGAATTTGGACTGTTTAAAATGGCATAGTAATCCATGGCTATGACCCACATTGTTAAAAACCTATGCAGTTTTTCACACTCCTGATATTACTTAAAGTTCGCATTAAATTCCTTTACTGGAGCTCGTGAATTTGCCTTTTGTTCTACCAAGTTTTGTGGCAAAACTAAGCCACACAAAAATGGCAGCTGTGGGTTGGTTGGCCAAAATGCCCCAGAACTTTTGAAGTTGATGCCCTTTTTCGGGCTGACATTTCCTTTTAGCCTTTAATGGAATCGTAAAGCTTCTGGTAACAAAATGTTTGTTTCGGTCTCCTTTTTTTTTTATTGTTTGTTATTTTGGCAAAGGGCAGCAATGACGCCCCCTGCATGGTTTCTTAGTTCATGCACACTACACTGTGGAGAATAAAGAATATATTTTGAATAGAAGTGAAGTTTTTAAACCTTTTATTATAAAATTTATTGTTCTTAATAATTTCACTTCAAACATTAAGTATACATACAAATTTAGGGAAATGTTACAAATGCTTAAAGAGTGATAAAGATAATTGTTCAAAATTATTAAAAAAAAACTCTTAATAACTTAAATGTGCTTCTACTAAAACTTAAGCATTCCATATAAACTTCTTAGATTAAATTAAATTTGTTTTCCTGAAAGTACACTTGCCCATCCACCCACAAAAACATTGGAAACGCACGGTGGACTCCGATTACGACGCCAAGTCACCGTTGCTGTTTGTTGCTCATACGCAGCGTTGTCGCAGGGCGGATTTCTGCATTAATTAGAGCAACGGTTGCGCGGCAGCAGAACGAATGGTGAATCGCGTGCCCGGTTGCATGCAAGCGTGTCGAGTCGCCCGACTTGACTTCATGTGGCAATTAAAACGCTGCAATCGAATATTCATTAAAACCCAATTTGCAGTGGAAGCACATCTGGTATTTTGGCATTATGGCAGCTTATGGCAGCAGGGCCACTAAAATCTTAGCAGGTAAAGGCAATGGCATGGGCACCGACATCCTTTGACAGCGGCCTTCGCTGGAAATTCGCACAGCTGGTCCAAAATGGCAAAAAGCCCCGAGAGCAACGCAGAAGTTTCGCCAAAATGAGAGAAACTTAAGCGGCCAAAAAATTGTATTCACACAAAAAGACGCTGCTTAATTTGGACAGTTGGAAAGTTTTCCAAGGGGGGCCTTCACAAATCTGCTGGCATAATTATTATGAATTATGCAGCAAATAACTTGGCTCTGCTAATGGACTTGGCCCGCGGCCAGACCCCAGACGACTTCCTGCTCCCCTGACGAAGGTAGTGCAACTAATTGACAAATGATGATAAAGTGTCTCGGACAGCCCTCTAAAAGAGGTCTTCTTGTACTCCACTCTATGCCCGTACTTTTTGCCTCGCTTTATGGCACAATATTTTCTTAACGTGGCCGACAAGTCCGGGAATTCCGTTCGCTTCTTGGACGCAGTTTTAACGTCTGATAAAAGCTTTGTTTGTGCTGACGGAAACGGATGTTAACTGCCACACCGAATGGCCACTGACATGACGGGCCGAGGGTGGTCCTGCAATCCCCGTCGATGAGTGGGAATATTACAACATGGTCAGCAGAGGCCTGAACAAATATTTGACCCATGTTTCGCCTTAAGGCCAGGGTATCAACCATTCGCCAGACGACCGGCATTTGAGTTTCTTGATTTATGGAGTGCCTAAATACGTTTACCTTTTGCTACTCACACTCCCTCACCTTTTGTTGACTTTAAAGCGTCAAATTAAAAATCCCATTAAATAAAATATTCAACAAGGGTTTGCCGCTCTAAAGAAAAAAAAATCAAAATATCGACCCTTCCGGTCCACTGAATTATTCAGGACTCCTCCCCTCCTCCCTCTCAAAACATAATTGCGAATATTTTAATCATCTGAACATCGCTCGCATATTTCGTAGCTGAAGTGCCACAATTTCCAAATATTTTTATGCCTATCTACAGTGCCAAAAATAAATGCGGTCCCGTCACCTGCTAAGTGCCCTATAAAATATTTCCGTCGCTGACATCGGGCCATATCACAAATTTGTGGCGCGATTTATCAGGCTTTTTATTTGGTTTTATGTTCGCATAGAGAAATTATTGGAAATTGAGTTGGCTACTTTAAACTTTTTGACTGCGAAATTTCGAGGGTGAAAAATTGGAAAGCGGTGAATTAAAGAGATATCTTTCCCGTTTTATTTTAACTTGTTTAAATTGTAACAGAAAACTTGTCTACTTGTAAATACAAAAAACATTTCCCTTGCAGTTACCACCAAAGCAGTAAAACCTCTTTTTTATGTTTTCCTTTGCCATTCTTCTTTTCCATTACCAAAGGTAAGATATCTTTTTCCTTGCCTAATTTACGTGCTTAAATATTTCTCCCTCGAAATGAACTTTTTTCGCATTTCTGCTTTCCCCACTTAATTGGCCTAATTTGTATGTATAATTAAAAATTTCGAGTACTCCTTGTGTAAATTTGAAGCCTTAGCGAATGGACTAATAAATTGGCTCAATTTGAATCCCTTGGGTTGGTGGTTAAATATTCCTTCACCGAGATTCCCAAAGGGAAAATGTAACAAAGCCTGTCAGTGATAGTAATGCCTATAATGCACTGAAAGAAATATTAATCACACAAGGATTTTCCATATATATTTCCATATATAAGTTATATATTTTTACAATTTCGTTGCTTAAGACAATTTGACATGACTGCTTATTAGCTGCATTTATAAGCTCATATATTCCATCTGGCGTATGGATATGATGCTTTCCTTGCTAATCAGCTTAGGTATTTAGCATATATTAGCATTTCCCCATTAATTTACTATTATTCTATGTGCGTGTGTGGGTTTCTGCTGATATCTGAACCGCTATGGACTATCCATACACCCAAAAACCCCCTGTGCGTGCCTGCCATTTAATTAACTGCACAGACAACATTTTCAATCTCTGCTCCACTTCACTCCACTCCACTCCACTCCATTCGACTCCACAAACGCAACCCGATTCCGATGTCATTTCGAGTGGGAATGGCAGTCCGAAATGCTGTTATAATAACGCAAACAAGCTGTTGGGCTTACAAAATCTAATCCCCAGTTTGTGAGTCTGTTCGGCTGTTCGTCTGTATGTTGGCGGCACTAAAAACTAATTGAAATTGCCATATTTCATGTATAATATACGAGAGAGCAAGGCTTTATGGAATCTTCTGCCATAACATAAAATTTGATAATGCCATTTGGATTTTCACAGCATTAGCAGGCGAATGACGTCTCCTGCTTTTGGAAATATGGAATGAAAATGCTTTTAAAATGCAGTCCTATAAACAAAGATCATATCTTTTAACGGCAAAAATACTCTTTGAATGATGTACTTTAGACCTCGAAACTGGAAAAAATATTACCCTTTATTAAAATCGGTATAAAAAAAAAAACAAAAGCCAAATACAATTTTTATATATATTATAAAATGTTCGAGACAGAGTATATTAATGAGCCAATTGAAATGTTTGAGACATTGAAATGGATGCGGAGACTTAAGACCATATAGTTCACCGAAAGACTAATGCCGTTCTCACATGACAATATCATAGCGAAAGGGTTCCACGCAGGGATCATAGGCTTTGCCCCGCCTTGGAATCGAACTAAGTGGAGGAGGCGGAACGGAAAGGAGCATTTTAATCCTTCTTTCCCTATCCCTGAGACCATCGTCTCCGATCGGGCCACCTTTGGGAGGCCTTGGCCTCTTGTCTTTGCCCTCCTGCGGATTCCAGGGCCTTACTAGTGTGCCCTTCTTCTGCAGATATTTGATCATGTTGATGCCCTTCTTTTTCGTCGCTATAGCATCCTTCGCCGCTTGCTTGGCCGCCTTTGCAGCATCCTCGGCTGGTTTGAGGAATCTCTTGGGGAAGCGCACTGGTATCGGTTCAGATTTACCGCCTTTGCCTTTACCGATGGCGGCGTCGGGGAATCCTTTCCAGGCTCCACCACCCATCTTACCGGGACCACCTCCTGGGCCTCCTGGACCTCCTGGACCTCCAGGGCCACGACCGGTTCGACCGGCGAAGACTCCACCACCGCCGCCGCCTGGGCCAAACGCTGCACCTGGACCACCAGCACCACCTGGACCACCAGCACCACCAGCACCACCAGCACCTCCACCACCCCAAGCTCCTGGAACTCTAGGTCTTCCGCAGGGCATTGGATTGAACCCATGAGGCCCACCGCCCATCATTCCAAAGATACCATCTTCGAAGACCTCTTCTCCCGGATAACCAAATGCAGTGCCCATATAGCGATCGCCGACGGCGCAGTCAAATCTTCTGTAGTAAGGAGGAACCTTGATGGGATACTTCGGGGGAACAGGCATCTGGTCCTTCTTAGAGGTCTGGGTGCCATGGTTGATTGTTTCTGGTGACGGCGGTTGACATGGTTGCTCGATTCCCGCTGGCGGTGTTACATCAAAGTCGAACTCCATGTCGCTTTCGCTGGTATCCGTGAGCACAAGATGATCTCCAGCTGGAGGAATACAATGGCGTCGGCACTCCCTGTTCAGAGCTCTTTGGAGATGAACTTTTTCGACCGGATCTCGGCAGTGACACATCATAAGGGTTTGGTGGCAGGTGCATTTGCGGAAACCCTTGTCCTTCAGCTTCCTCTTGATCTCCCGCAAAGCAACCGCCAGATCGCTCTTTACGATACGGAAAGTGACTGGCTTCTGACGCATACCCAGAGGAGCAAGCGGCCGCAGGGTGATAAAGATCTCACCGTTCTTCTTGCTGATATTCAAAACTGGCGAGGCTAACTCCTTTTCCCGCTCCAAGGTTTCAGTGTCCTTGCATTTGGGAGTCTTAGCAGGATCTTTCTCCAGGAAGAATTTCATCAGATGCTTAATGGGCTTACGAATGGCTCCAGGTCGCCAGCCCAATTTCTTTGCCTCCCAGCTTTTGCTCCAAGCCCAACCATGCCGACGGGAAACAAATCCCGATTGGAGGACACACTGCTTGTGTCTGCTGGTAACCTGGCCCTTATTGCTCGGTGGTACATAGACCGCTTTCTTGGGCGCCGAACTCTCGATCTTTTTGGCATCCTGTTTATCGGGCTTTTCCGTTTTGGGCACAGCTCGATCGCAGTTCTCGTCCAGCTCGGACAACTTCTTGGTATCTTTGATATCGTATAGATCACGAAGTTCAGAGAAAACTTTAGCCAAATATGGACGACAGTCTTCTGAGCTTTTATTCACCACGCAGTAATCCTCCGATTCCTGAGGCTCTACCTTTGGGCACTTCGGCGCAATCTTATCGCTCTTGAATATATCAGCACACATATTCCGGATACGACAGTGGGCACAGATCTTACCGAACTTGCAGGTACAACGACACGGAGGACAGTCGTCCTCGGCGGTCTGTTTATTCTTTTTAGCCTGCTCGCAAGGATCGACGCAATAGTCTTCGACGGTGGGCGGTCCCTTACCCAAATATTCGAGTAGAATCTGATCAGCGGAAAGCTTTTTCTCCTTATGCCTCTCCTCCACGACGGGCATCGGTTTAATTCCACATTTCGGACATGCTGCAAACTTCGGCATCCACGACATATTGGTCAGACAGACAGGACAGAAGCGAATGGGCTTGATATCCGGCTTCTGGCCATCGCAGTCGGCAATGGGCACCGGAATAAGATTCTTCTCGCAAAAGTCTGGCTCCTGATCTAAGGTGGCAGGCAGATAAACAAAGCATGGCTTGTCCGGTTTTTCCGGCAGCTCTTGAAATGGTGGAGGCTCAGGCTGACACCAGCAGGGATTCATGCCGAAGCTGTTTACTTCATCGGGATCACGACACGGAGGCTTGGGCGGTGGCATGCCCGTTTGCTTGGTTATTGAATCGATCATCCGTTCGTACTCGATGGCCATTTTCTGAAAATTGAAAAACAAACAATGTTAATAATTAATGAATATATCACTTATAACAAACCTTCAGTTCACAACAGGCTGGTATACCAGATCCATTTTCTGTCATCATTTTGTATGGCTTTATACCTCCGCCCTGACTGCGGTAACGATCCAGGTCCAGTTTGAGCCGCTCATCGCCATCTTCCTCCGACAAGTCATTTCGACAGGGTTCGCATGCACTGGGACACACCTGCGACTCACCCATTACGAACATGATGTCTTGCGGATTGATGCTCCTGTCCATGTTGAAGGTGGAATCGGGCTCAGGCTCTCTACAATCGCCAAATATGAAATCTCAGGAAATAATATTAGATTTTGAGATTCACTTACTCTGCAATGCACATAACGACCAGGCGGCAAATAAACTCCAGTGTGCCGGTCACTTGACCGCCTGAAGTCAAATTAATGACGTCCGAGTAGAGGATATCGCTCATTTCCTTGTCGATAGTATCCGTTATGCTGGGCGGAAAGGATGCTTGCCCAGAACCGATCGTCTTCTTGCTGTATACCACAGTGAAGGATATACCACATTCGTTGACATTCTTACGGATATCCTTGGGTTCCACTTGAAAGGTAAGACCAGCGTTGGGCTTAAAATCAGTAGCATTTATCTGACTGGCGGCGAGCGGAATTGAAGTCTTAAAGAAGTTAGCAGTGATTTCGAGCTTGGCTGGATTGGTGAACTGCGTGCCCTTTGGCCTCCACACTTGTGACAATGACATCGAATACAAAAACGGGAAGGGGCTCTTTCTTGGGCTTGGCTTTCTTCTCTGGTTGTGGGATTTCTGGCGGCTGTTCAGCGATAAATACGGACTTCTTCTTGGGCCCCATCTCTAAAGTTTTGTTCTGTAAATTTGTATTGCCTTTTTGAGATTTTTTTGTTTATGCGGAACTAGTATGAGTCATTCGTTTTCCGATTATTCTAAATTTTTTTACTTTCGATTTTTTTGTTACACGTTTTTAAGAACTTACTACACTAAACTTTACAATAAAACTGGCCTAGAAAGGCAAAACGGTGTACTGAATATAAAATCAAGCCCAACTCTGACCAGTTGAAAGTAAAAAATGAACTCGAAGCACTTTTGACAGTATCCAAGCATGTTTTGTTTTGGGATTTGTAATTAGGTTTTTTTACTGGTTTATTTAATGAGGATTTCCAGTTATTTGATTCAATTGGCATACTTTATTTATTTGTTTGCCGCTCAGAACCAGAATGACTGTCAAGAGGCTCTAGTGTACGGCGAGCCCCCTTAATTATGAAACTGCTTTTGTAGAGATCGTATATTACGGTATTAAAAATAAAGTTGCACAATATGATTTCGATAAATCGAATTTTTTATTGAAATATTCTGCATTTATTGTGTTAGCTAAACACTTAATTATCCCTCCTTGAGGGACTCAGGTAAATATTTAGCCACTGTGTCCGCCATGACCACCGCCATGTCCACCGCCAAGTCCACCATGTCCGACGGGTCCACCGTGGCCAACTGAGCCACCATGTCCTACGGGACCACCATGACCCCCTGATCCACCATGTCCGACTGGTCCACCACGAGAACCGCCACCACCATGTCCACCAAGTTGGCCAGGAGTTGCCTGGACAGCAGCCAGGGCGATCAGAAGAAAGGCGCAAACAGCAAAGAACTTCATTGTTTCAATTTTCGATACACTTTGGGAGGCAGCAAGATCTTTTATACCTTAATTCACAGTCATTTTGCCTAACCTGTTTTAAGTTTTTTTTTGTTGCATTTTACTCTTTGGGTCAGCAATTGTTAATTTATTCCAAATATATATTTTTCAAGATGTAGGTGTTTCGTTATTTAGCATTTTGAAAGCAGGTGGGCTCATTAGAGGCCAGCTACTCGTGGTAATTTGCATTTGTTTGTGCAAACAAATTTATTATCTATTTATTGTTATTACTTTTTATGTACCTATTGTTTATGGTCATTATTTGAATATTGAATTTCGTGAAGTTGTTAAATATGATCTTTTAATCTTTTTAAAGCCTATTTTTAGGGCTTCAGTCTTACAAGTAAAAGAAACAACAAGAAATAATTTCCTTAAAAGATATTTTATTTTGATTTTGCTAGCATTTTTCGTAATCTTCCTCAGAAGTCCTTCACGAAACCCTGACGTTGGAGGTACCAAAAATTCAGTTCCCAAAAACGATTTCCATATTGTCAACGAAGGCCGAGCCCATTGAAATGGGTACGGAGACATATGACCACCAAAAACACTAATGCCGTTCTCACATGACAATATCATAGCGAAAGGGTTCCTCGCAAGGATCATATGCTTTGCTCCGCCTTGCAATAGCACCAAGTGGAGGAGGTGGAACGGTCAGGAGCATTTTAAGCTTTCTTTCCCTATCCGTCATGCCATCCTCACCGATCGGGCCACCTCTTGGCGGCCTTGGCCTCTTGTCCTTGCCCTCCTGCGGATTCCAGGGCCGGACTAGTGTGCCCTTCTTCTGTAGATATTTGATCACGTCAATGCCCTTCTTTTTCTTCTCCAAAGCCTCCCTCTTCGCCTGCTTGGCCGCCTTGGCAGCATCTTCGGCGGGTTTGAGGAATCTCTTGGGAAAGCGCACTGGTATCGGTTCACCGCTCTTGCCACCGGGACCATCTTTTGGTCCGCCACCAGGAACCCCTCCGAAACCTCCTCCACGACCGGTTCGCCACATTCCGCCGCCAAAGACTCCTCCGTTGACACCACGACCGGTTCGCCACATTCCGCCGCCAAAGACTCCTCCATTGACACCATTGTCTGCGCCAAGCGCTGTACCGCGTGCACAGTCGTAGGCCACCGAGTAGGGATTAACAGGAACTGGGTATTCGGGTGCTATAGTTGGCGGGTTTTTCCGCTGAGTCTGAGTACCATGATTCACCACGTTCCGGAGGGCATTTGTCTTCGGGACAGGGCCAGTACCTGCAGGAGGAGTCACATCCAGATCGAACTCCATGTCACTAACACTCGTATCGGTGAGAACCAAGTGCTCGGGACATGGCTCTATTAAATGCTTTCGGCACTCTTTTCTCAAAGCCTTGTTGAGGAGAAACTTATCGAAGGCATCGCGACAGGTGCACAACATAAGGGACTTGTGGCAGGAGCATTTCTCGAAGCCCTGGTTCTTTAGAGCGCGCTTAATATGGCGCAGTGCCACCGCCAACTCGCTCTTCACGATCCGGAATGTAATGGGATTCTGTTTCATGCCCAACGTGGGCAGTGGACGGAGGGTCACGAATATTTCACCATTCCGTTTGCAAATGTTGAGCACTGGATGACCAAATCGCTTTTTCTCCTCATAGGTGTCCGTCACATTGCGGCAAATATTCTGGTTTTTAGAGCTAATCAGGAAATGGCGCATCACATGGCCCGAGGATCGCAGGATAGCACCTGGACGCCAGCCATTTTTCCGTGCCTCTCGGCTTGTTGGCCAATTCCAACCGTGTCTCCGGGAAACGACACTTGAGGATGGCAGGCAGGTTTTGTGCCCGGTCATTAGGTGATGGCTTACCCCGCCGTAGGTCTTATCTCCTTGGTAAAGCGATTCAGTCACTTCCTTGATTGATCTTTTACTATGGATAGTGAACAGCGATTTAGCCTCGCAGCGTTCTTTGATGGCCGAAAGCTTCTTGGAGTCGTGAAGCTGGTAGAGATCTTTCATTTCGGATAAGACCCTTGACAGATATGGAAGATCGTCGTCCTCCGGTTCTGTGATCAAGCAAAAGTCCTCATTCTTACCGGGTTGGGGTAGTTTTCGAATGGGTGCCGGCGGATGGTCACCGTCGTAAATATCTTGGCACATCTTGCGGATTCTGCAATGAGCGCAAATCATTCGGTCGTTACAAGTGCAACGGCACGGTGGGCATACTATCTCGTTTCTGATCTGATTTTGAACCTTTTCGCAGACCGGTTCACAGAAGTCTTCAGCTCCGGGCGGTGCCACCGGCTTGACCAGCTGTTCGGCCATAATTTCATCCGCAGTAATATTTTTATTTGGATGCCCTAGAAGAAACGGAAGTGGTTTTGTATTGCATCCAGGACAGGGTGAATACTTCGGCAGCCACGACATTGAGCACAAGCAAACAGGACAAAAACGGATGGGTTTTACACCGTGTGACGTGTCAGATCTTACAGGAACCGGAATATGTCGTTCTAAGGGTGTAGGATCTGCACTTAAGGGAATAGCTTTGGGGGGCTCCTCAGTTGGAACCACCTCGTTAGTGGGCAATTCCAAATTCTTAATCTTCTCGGCAACCGAGTCGATGATATCCGAATAGTGCTGGGTAAGTTTCTTAAGCTGGCTAAACGATGGTTTTACCTTAGGACAGGGATCGTCATCGGGAAAGACCACTTGCCGATTCTTCATGCTTTTGTAGCGCTGCAAGTCCAGATCCAAGCGCTGATCTCCTTCCTCTTCTGGAAGTTCCGAACAAGGATTGGATGGAATTTGCAGCAAAGGATCAGGATCGCCGACTAGGAACATGACATCCTGGGGATTTATGGTCGTTGCCTGGCTGGCACAGGTGACTCGACTGACTTTCTCCTTTGGGGGTATCAGTGTCAGTCTACTGGTACGAAGGATGCTTTTTCCTAGGCTTTGTCTGCTGCTGCTTCTTTTCAGGCTTTCACTCTTATTACCATCCTCACACTTCAGGGTTAACCGGGCAAGAATTCTTATGGTGCCAACGACGTCAGCTCGACGTTTCAGACTAATTGAATCCTCGTGTAGCAAGTCGTTCATGGTGGGGCTAATCTTGTCGATAAATTCGACAGGAAAGAACAAGGTAGCGGATCCCAGAGTGGATCCCTGGTAAACTGCCGCCAAAAACATTCCCCTTCTCCTCCAGACGTTGACGCACACTCGACGGTTCCGATTCGAACTGGAACTCTCTCCTGGCAACGAATTCGTTGACATTAATTCGGCTGGACGTTACCTTCATAGACTTTCCGATAAACTGAGTATTCACCAAAAGCTTCAGGGGCTCCTCGAACTTCACCCCAAAAATATCCAAATGGGTGACTACGAAATCAAAGAGAAAGATTACTTTGTCCTCCATCTCGCGATTGTTATTTTAAGGAATTTTGGATTTAACCACTCTAGTCGAGTATTTTTATGTTAGTTGGCAATTGAAATAACAAAATAAAATATAAATTGGGAACGCAAAATGTGTGTGTTAGTCTCACAAGAGTAGTAAGTGTAAACTGAATTCGACATGGCATTTCGTTCAAAGCTGGGTAGAAGCTAATTAGGTTTACTTTTACTGCTGAGTCTGGCCTCAATCCAAACGCTTTCTCGCTATTTAGAAAAGTGAATTAAAAACAATTTAAACAACTATTATATAATATTTATTGTTAGGAGTATTACAGTGTGCGATTTGTGCGCATTTGCTTGATAATCTTCTTTGGAAGTGATTTCCAAACTGTTCGGGTGAAAGTATAAGGATCGATAGATTGACGATTTTTTGCTATGGGCATGGGTGCTCCTATTCGCCTTCCCCAAACTTTACGATCTCGCGGAAAGGGAGGTCGCCCATGCTGACCTCCGCCTCTGTATCCGAAGATTCCGTCTTCGAAAACAGTTTCCACATTGTTCCCGAAGGGAGTTCCCATGTATCGATCCCCGGCAGCGCAATCAAATGCTCTCCACTGAGGACTATCTTGCACAGGATACTGGGGCTCAATGGATGGTATTCCTTTGGTTTGAGTCTGGGTTTCATGATTTACCACATTCCGGAGGGCTGTACCTTTTGTCCATTGGGTTCCTGCAGGAGGAGTGACATCCAGGTCGAACTCTAAGTCACTTACACTCGTATCTGTAAGCACCAAGTGCTCTGGACACGGCTCCATGATGTGACGCTGACACTCCTTTTCGAGGGCCTTATTGAGTTCGAATTTCTCCAAGGCATTGCGACAGGTGCACAGCATTAGGGATTTGTGGCAAGTGCACTTCCTGAAGCCCTGTCCCTTTAAGGAACTCTTTATCTGACGCAACGCCAGTGCTAGCTCGCTCTTCACAATCCTAAAAGTTATGGGCCTCTGTTTCATCTCCAAGGTGGGCAAAGCGCGAAGGGTAACGAATATCACACCGTCCTTCTTGCAAATATTAAGAACTGGTTGAGCACGACGCTCCCGCTCCTCGTGTTCAGAAGTAATCCTTTGGCACATGCCACGTTCCTCCTTGGTCATCAGGAAATAGCGCATCACTTGCGCCGCTGCTCGAAGGATGGATCCTGGTCTCCAGCCGTGCTTCCTGGCCTGTGGGCTTCGCGGCCAATCCCAACCATGGTGCCGCGGAACGTTTTTATCAACAGGCAGACATGTCTTGTGGCCCGCCGAAATGCGATGGAAGGCTCCGGGAATGTGAGCATCAAAATCATTGTGGAAAGATCTCATTCCTATGGTGGATTTCGAGGAGCGACTTGGGAGGAGTGTTTGTGATTCGCAACGTTTCTTGATGTGCAAAAGTTTGTTGGTGTCGTGCAGAGTATATAGATTTTTTAGCTCGGTTAGAACTCTCGACAAGTACGGACGATCATTGATGGGCTCTGGGATCACGCAGAAATCCTCGCTTGAACCAGGTTGCGGCACTTCTATATGTATTCTTTCTATTACCGATTTCGAGTCCTCTTTTTTAAAAATGTCCTCACACATACGGCGAATCCGGCAATGGGCGCAAATTGTAAACTGCGTACAGGTGCAGCGGCATGGGGGACACTCCAAATCGGACTCAGAGTCTGGAACAAATTCATCCATTTCATTTTTCTTCTTAGCTTTCTTGGCCTTCCTAATTGGGCCTGGGCAGGGTTTAATGCAAGTCTCATCATTTTCATCGGGAATCTTGGGTCTTACCAGCTGCTCTGCTATGATTTGATCCGCAGTCATTTGCCCATCTGGATGTCCTTCCAGTACGGGACGTGGCTTGGTGTTGCATTTGGGACAGGGTGTAAATTTTGGTAACCAGGACAAGGTGTACAAACAAACAGGGCAAAAGCGTATGGGCTTTATACCATATTCCGTATCGTCTCTTATGGGAACGGGGATCCATCGGTCATCCGGGGCTTCTTCGGGAGCTAGTAAAGTAGAATCGTCTTTCCCCGCAGGTGCTTCCGTCGCGCTAGTAGGTACTTCCATTTTCTTAACCTTTTCTGACACCAACTCAATGTACTTTGCGTATTCATCTGTTAGCTTCTTTAGTTCACTGAATGAGGGCTTCTCTTTGGGACAAGGGTCGTCATCAGGGAAGATCACTCGCCTATTCTGCAAGCTCGTATAGCGTTGCAAGTCAAGAGTCAGGCGATCGTCACCTTCCTCTGATGGAAGTTCTGGACATGGTTTCTTTGGAACCTTTAACAGAGGATCGGGATCGCCAACGAGAAACATCACGTCCTGGGGGTTTATTGTCGGTCCCAGTCCTTGGCAGTCCACTTTATCTTCCACTTTTTTAATAGGAATTGCAGTTACAGATGATTTCCTGGAAGATCGGCGGGAGCTCGATCTACGCGTTTCCTCCGGTTTGACTATATCTAAATCTGTACACTTGACGTTCAGAATTAAGAGTATGGAAATAGAGCCAACACAGTCAGACCGGCGAATCAGAGGAAAAGTTTCCTCGTGATAGAGATCGCTCATGGTGGGGCATATTTTGTCGATAAAGCTGTCCGGGAAGAGTAGCACATTAGTGCCCAGCGTTGATCCATCATAACGGGCGGCTATCTGCAATCCTTGGTCCTCAATTTTACTTCGCAATGCATATGGCGAAGATTTAAACCCCAATTTCCTGTTGTTCACAAAGTCACTGACATTAACCCTACTGGGTGTGACTTTTATGTTCATACCGGCAAACTTGACGTGCGCCTCCAGTCTTTCGGGTTCTTGTACCGCCTTAAATATTTCCATATTTGTAACAATAATGTCGAACAGGAAATCTATTTCCGGTTCTTCTGGGCCGGTGTCCATTTCTTATATTCAATATACACAAATTTAATGTAAAAGTTTGTGTCAAAGTGAGAATGAAGTGTGAATTGTGTTAGTGCGAACTAGTCTTGTAAAATAATAACGTTTTTCAGTAAGCTAACTGACATTTAGGCAAAGGCTATTCGGCAGAATGATGGCTTTTAATAAAAGTTCCTCTGCTAAATACTAAGAAACTCTTTTCGCTTTTTAATCAAATAAAACTATTAAAATGCTGTTAAACCGAGCAGACTTAATTGTTCTAGCAGTTGGTTTGGAAAAGTATATATAAAACTAACATTAGTTAGGGACCTTTGGGAGCAGTTGGCCGCTTAGCTTGAACTCTAATAACCTCCAGGTTGACCAACGAGTCCTAGAGGATTTTCATTCAACATGTCTGGGCCAGCGAAAAGGAGCCAAATGGATTTCTAATTACCCCAGCCACTCCCCAGTCGCATTTTCAGCCTGTTGCTGCACTGAAGCCAATACCCCATACCCAGCCGCTCTTATTTATCGCTACACCTTCTGTAAGCCGCTTAGCACGCGATGCCTGGGAAATCTCACACGCCCCCTAGAGGTGGGCTGCCATTTATCAAATCAGCTCACATGCTTATCTAAATTAAGTTCAATTTTAATTAAATTTCGCGCATTAGGTTCACTCATATATCGGTTATCCTTGCTGTGTTATAGGCACCTCATCATCATCCCTCTTCCTCTCCGAAAACTAGTTTAAAAGCGAAATTGTGCCAAACGTTGGGGAATTTCGTCGAAAAATGCTGAACCGCAAAATGGAAACGGTTTTAGCGAGTAGACCGCCTGACTAACTAAGCCGATTTAATTGGATACAAATTGGTGCAGCCAAATGATCATTGGGTTCACACGGTACCAGGGCATGGCATAAGGGAGAGCCAAGGGGGCAGGGGCAGCGCTGTCCACGCCAATGGCCAAACAATAACAAATTGGGTCCCCGGATCCGGCCAAATTCGGTGCTGTTTTTTTTGGGCTCGCAGGACGAGTTTCTGCTGGCCCAAGTGGAAGCCACTCGTGCATAAATTATATAACACCAGTGTATATTCCAAGTTTACTCTTTCCAAGAAGAAAGTCCATAAGCTGAAACATTTTAATTTGTGGTTTCTATTCACTTATGGTTTATTATTATTATAGAAAACATAAAGATACTGCTTCCGACGGCTATGACAAAACCAAGAAAATTAATAGTGATTTAAGACCCAACCTTCACAGAGTATTTACTTAGTTTATGTCAAATAACTTATCGTTTGATGGTTACACAATTTGGTCAGAGATTGGACAAATATTTTCGCCCACAAAATGTGTGAACATCGAGCAGTGAGAACATTGGCAACATTTTCGTGTGACTAAATTGGCTCCTCTGGTAGAAACGTGGCATTAATGACTTGTTAATTAGTTGGCCATTTCTAGTCTAGTAAAGCAATTGCAAAACAATTTCAACAGAAATTGTCATTGGTTTTGGTCCTGTCGCAATGCCTGAATTCCTTCGATTGCATAATTTATGTGCTGAATCGGTTTTGATGGACGACCGAAATAACTAAAAGCTGAACCATTTTGGCCACATTTATTTGCATATTTGTTTTGTGGATCTTTGGCTATCGTCTTGTTGCATTTTAATTGCTTTGCCAAATTAATGTCTCTGGTCTCTAAATAAATGCAGAGCACTTTGCCAGTTAGAAAAAGCCACCAATTAGAATGTCCGAATAGGAGTATGTTTCTCCATAAACCGCCCACTAACATGAGTGACTGGGTGAAATGGCACATAAGTAGAGCTAAATAAATCCTTTTGGATAAACCATAAAACAAAAGATGCTTCTCTACCAGCAGCTGTTTGAAGATGGGCAAAACTAATTTCGATTCTCTACTGGCATCCACTGACTCCCACAAGTAATTGGTTAGAGAGAATGTTCATGGTTTTTGGCTCTTGTTTTGCTCGAACGAGCACTTTTGGTTTTCGCACGTTACGTATACGCCACAAGTACCCAAAACCAGGCACCTAATACCCTCCTCCTCGTTGGCGGTTTTGCTCTTGCTGCATTCAACCCACTGACACTTGGCAGGAGCATTGCTGATGCGGCTGCCACTGCTCCTGCTGGCAGACAAATGAGCGCTACCATTAAACGCTCCTGAAATATGCTGGCGAATCATTCACAGCCTGAGCAGCAGCATCCAAGGAAGTACGTATGGGGGATTTCCCCATGCCAATAAATCTGCAAGTTCCGTACTTGAAACACACACACACCTCTCATTCTCCGGGGTCCAAAGTGTTAAATCGTATTTAATTCGAAGCTTTTGGGTTATTCAATGCATTAAATAAATGTAGTGCATTGTTGGTGTATTTTTGAAGTACCAACATTCTACGAAGAGAACACCTTACTCCCTAATTGGGCAAGCCATAGAGAGCTGTGAAACAAAAGCTATTACCACTTAAGGAAAAATAAAAATGCATATTTCGGAAAGAAAACCCCAACCTAACCTCAGTAGGAGTCGATTTATTTGTCTTTATGTTTATTACAAATTTATTTTATCGTTGTGAGTGCTCAAAATTATTATGTAGCCAGAAAAAACTTTGCTTAGAGCTTGCGATTTTAGGTTCACGTTCTCTGAATCTTTAACTATTGCTTATAATGGCAAAAGGCAAAGGCAAAAAAGGAAAGAAACCCAAGAAAAGCATTTTAAAAGCTAGGACTGCACCACCTGAGCCTCCGCCTCCGCCTCCGCCAGCTATTCCCAAAAATGTGCCCTACTTCTCTTTCGATCTTGTCATAACGCGTTTAGAGGTCAAGGGCATTGATTTTGCGGATCCCCGAAAACTTCGCGTAAAAGTCAACTTTGGCGGCCAAGTCCTTAGCATCACAGCGAATAAAACCAACATCACCGAGTTTAAGCCGAATGCAAATCTTGTCTTTCAGTCGGAGCCACCAGATCTTGTCCAGAAACTCGAAGAAGTGGGTTTGAGCTTTGACGTGGTGTACGACGGCGAAGTGGTTGGCTTAGGTATGATGAAACTACCAGAAAAAATTACTGGAAGAATTAAAATTGGCATGAAGGCTTTCTCATACACGAGCACATGCACCCTACAGAAGGAAGGAAATCCGGTTGGTGGGCTAGAGTTCCTATGCAAGCTGTTTATTAGATGTGGAGACTATGCTAGGTGAGCAAGGATTATCTTTTATTAAACTAAATAAATAGTTATTTGATTATATATCCAGGGAGGGCGAAACCTGTTCTAATTTGGACAGACATCTTAGTCCGAAGGATATAGTCTTCGTTGTTGGCAAATCGAGGAACTGTGGAGTAGGGAACTGCGATCCCTGCAAAGAAGCTCTGGAGATGGAGGAAAGAAAGAATAAGGACTATACAATAGAAGCAAGATCTGGCCATAAATAGAACAAAATAAATATTCACTGGTTACATCTTACTCATGAGAAAATTCTTAAAGGTTTGGTAAAGAAAAATATATTTAACTAACTTAAAAATCTAAACTTATCTAAGCTCTTGTTATATTTCCAAAAACACACTTAAGTTTGTGCTTATATTGCTTCTTAAGTTATCCACTAAAATGTATTTTTACAATATTATTTCATCAATGACCCAGCTCAAGTTAGCCAAAATCACAGACTCTTCTGGTTATATTTTCGACTTTACCCTTTTTACTAGCCAAACAGCTTTAAAGTATGCTTTTAGACTTTAAGTATGGCCATGTTGAAATGACTTTTTATTTGGCCTGTCGAGCTTTGCTCTGCTTGATTAGAATGTGACTTCAATTTGGGGTATTTTTCTGGCTTTTGTAGATAAGCAAATATTTGGGCCCGGGATCAGGTTGGATTTTTATTACACATTTTGCTCATTTTAATGTCCTGGCTGCCTTGAGTTGTTTGTCAGGTCCTTCTTAGGCCCCAAATATCAACCCCGTCCTGCAATTCGAGGAACACATGTGTGTTTGTATGTGCTGCCCATACAGGAAAGTGAGCTCATCTATTTTTTATTCGCCCTCAGCCAGATGCTTCAATATCATTATATATATATATATATACGTACATGTGGCCCGCATTATGTTCAGGAAAATTTCAATATTGACTTCTTCGCGTGTTTGTGTCCCGTTCCATTGTGCAAAACTCTTAAGCCCAAAGAAACTCCCAGCCAAGTAAATAATTGAATATTTATTCGATTTTTGAACTTCATTTTGCTGCCCTTCAGCTGGATTCCATTGTTGGGGAAAAGATTTTCTTTTTACAGCATCAAGTTAAATTACATCCGCTGTCTGACATAATATTGCATATTACACCAACATTGTGTGATAATAATAATGTCAGAAGGGCGAGATTCCGAGGAGAGAACTGCTTGAAGTTCCCTTCGGACTTTCAACTGGCAACCGCAAAGGCGGAAATTAAAACTCGAAGAAGAAGATAAATATGTGTGTTCGAAGTTTGTTCAGGTGGAGCTTGTAAGTGGGAAAATCATATGGTTTTTCATTTGTTAGTTTAAAAATTGCATGCAGTGAAATATAAAAAAAACTACTAAAATATTTTCATTATCCTTTAGTTTTGGTTAGTTAAATCTCCTATTGCTGGTATAGTTTGAATAAATAAATAACATACGACTCGTATGCCAGTTGAATTTAAATGAAAAGAATACTCTTTTGTTTGTGTCAAATGTCTGCAAAAAAGTTTCCATCACTGCGTGATCACAATTTAAAATATCTAGCCACCATTAAAGTGCTTGTTTTATTTAGTTTTTATGAAATGGAAACCCATAAGAACTTAAATATAGCCACTCCCCTCTAGTTCTCCCATATGGAAGTATTTTTTCTGTTTGCCATTCAGTGCATCCTCAGATTCTCAGTTCAGAGCAAACAAATACTCATTTGCGGTCCTGTTCATTGAATCGAATTCCTGCTCACTTTTTAATGAACTCGAAATTCCTGGCACATGCCAGCCATCACTATTTCCCCTCCTATTGACAGACTCCCGAAACATGAGACAATCGGCAATGACATGCCGGTATATATTTGTGGAAAATTAAATTTGGAAACACAAGAAAAACAAAAAAACTAACACTTACCTGTGCACTTTTCGGAACTGCTGCCATTCTAGAATAATTGAATCAAATTCTGTCGGAACTCTGCTCATCGTAATACGTTTTTGCTGTCTGGCAATAATAAAAGGCTTTCCTGCTATCGAAGGCAATCCGAACTGAATTCTGCTGAAAATGCAATTAATTGAAAGCCAAAAACACAACTGCCTCTGCTTATCAATATGCTTCAGTATTTATTTAAGTATTTCTCACTTTGCTTTAGTAGTTTTCTTTTTGGAATAAACTTAGTTGAGAGATTTTCAATTTATACAGAATAGAGAAACTATGCTGAGGATGGGAGCTAGGTGTCAACTTAGGGTTATAGAGGTGAGTACATTCTCGGGGGAGGGGTGTTTTCTTTTTATTGATCTAAGCATATACAGAGAGACATATACAGATATACACAAAAACATTTTACATTGCTAAATTTGGAATCCATGGGGACTCGCCTCGGCTACATATGCAATGAGAAACGCACACACATTTAACTAGTTAGTTAGTTACTGATATTGTTTTTAATGCATAGTTATTATTTATTTGCATTCTAGGCATATTAGACAGCAACAATGAACTATAATTTTCCACTACGGTTTTTGCTTGAGATTCAATAATTTACAAGTTAATTTGCCTCTATGCGGTTTATATGTTCATGTAGTTCATGTTTAGACTATTAAATGCTTTCAGCATAATTGTTGAAATGTGGCTAATGATCCACTGACCACTTCGTTTTCGCTATCCATTCATGTATTTATTTTATTATTATTATGTAATTGTAATTTAAATTTAGTTTACTTAGGAGCTAGACAAACGTTTAAGTTTCACTTAGCGCTTTCAAGGGGTTTCTTAGTAAATTCGAAAGTGGGAGAGCAAGAGGTACAAAAGAGCCTTACATACAGTGTGTTGTCCTTGTGTCGTCGATACATGACTTTGCCATTTGGCTTACCACTAAAAACTTGGTAGTTTCTATTTCCGTTTCCGGTTCCGCTTCTGCTTAAACTTCAACTAGCTTATACGGTAATCCAATATAGATATTTTCCCGGGGGCGTTTACTTTTGCCCCCCTATTTGTGGCTGTTTATTTACACAATTTGATTTCGAGATTACTCGCTCTTACTTACTAGGATTTTTTAGGGTACAGTTAGTTTACACAACGCAATCACCTTAAGGTACAAAAGAGTAAAGTAAAGGTACAGAATTCCCATGGCTAAGTGTGTATATGTGTGTGTGTGTGTGTGGTGGTGTGTGTGTGTGCGTGTCAGTGGCTGAGTGTGCGTGATATGTGGCTGATGTTCAGGGGCAAATAGACCCCGACATTTAGTAATTAATAATTCAAAACTTTTCTGATATGTTTGAGAGACGCTAAACTGTGGTTCACCTCCACCACGCGGTGGGGGTGGTGTTCAGGGGCTCAGCGGTTAGGTGGCACGTCGGGTGGGTGCTTCTGCTTATGCCTTTGCCATTGCTTTTTCCACCGACAATTTCCACACGGACTTGTCATAAAACTGCAGTTGTGCCCGACATTTGATGCGAAAATGCAGCTCAGCCGGCGTCCCTGAGGACAGGATATATGGCCACTAATGCCCCGGCATTTTCCCGACCGACCGACCGACCTCCCAACTCGACGCAGATCAGGCCGGCTCAGTGCATCTCAGTTGAGGGAATGTGGCAACTTCTGTGTCAATTGTATGGCCATTAAACTATGACGCAGCATCAGCATGGCCCCTCTTTGGGCCACTCAAAAAATATACAACCCTGTTAGTTTTTGAATATGAAAATAGACATTGCAAATGCAGAAATCAAATATGAATTTAAATGTTAAAAATGTTAATCTCGCAGTTTAAGTCCGTAATAAAAAACCTTTTTAGTCGTTTATCTATAAAGTTGTTATTTTGGGTTGAGGTTTTTTTTTTAGTGTTCTGATTTCATATTCGAACATGTCAGGCATTTTTCGACATTTGGCAATTTTATGTTATCTACGCCCTGCCAGAGGCAAAGTTTTATATCCACGAAAAAAAAATGAAATGTTGTCACCAGTCAATGTTGGATTCTTTGGAAGTGGGAAATTCCCCAAGTCTCTATAGTTTCAGCACTTAATGCTGCTAAGCCAGCTGTCAGTTGCACTAGAACCCAAAGACCAAGTGACTGCACTCTGCTGACCAGGATAAAAGGGGCCAAAAGGGGGAGAGAGAGTTGAAGGGATCAAAGTATGGCAAAAAGGTCGATTAGATAATTTGTTGATGCCACTCCTGGCCTGGACACTTATCTTCATTGCAATTTTCGAATGCTTCGCTGAATTATGAAGTGTGTTTTTTGAAACATTTAAATTGCCGAGCTTATAAGCTTTTTATGAATTCACTTTCGAGATGGTCTACCTGGGGTTACTTAAAAACCAAATACATAAGATTTTTCTTTGATTTACGCAGTTTATTCATGCGAACGCTGAAAACTATTTGATGAGTGGCCTGCTCTCTGGTTTTCCCGCAAAACATATACGCCTGAATTTCTGAATTTATTTAAGCATGCAAACAAAAGTGTTGAAAATGACTGCAAGTACACACGGATGGATGGATGGATGAATGGTTGGCTTGTTGGATGGCCTGATGGCCTGATGGATGGGCGGGTTGGCAGCTGGTGGGCGTGTCGGTCGAAAAATCGCAGCATGTTTCACGGCAATCACTCTGGATCATTGTTTGCACTGCTCTGCTTTTATTTTCGCTGCAACAACAGAATCAACAGAAAAAAAGAAAACTTAAGAAAAAAAGCGCTGGGAAAAACTTAAAAAAAAAGAACAGGGCGGCACAAAATATTAAGCAAACAAAAGGCGAACGCTAAAGAGGACGGGAAGAAAAGCCTTTCAGCTTTTCACTTTTCATTGCGTGCCATCGTAAAATGAAAAGTAGTGCGAAATATTTGAACGGAATCTATGTCAGCAGTTCGCCGCTGACGCAGCTCGTAAAAAGCACGGGTCTCTGTAATTTTTATGTCCGGAAAACTGCTCGAATTACGGCGCCGAGTCCGAGTGCTGCGTTTTTCTCTCAGCGAAAAAGTCCTTAGAACTTCGTTGGCAGTTTTTGGCCACTTCGCTGTTGCAACGAATTGATCTAATTAGGCAGGAACGGGAATTGAAAGGGACACGGTTCGATGAAAGCTTCAAAGAAAACTTTTCAATAATCATTATTGATTCAGGGATAGCCATTGCCGCTGACTTGAGTTTGTAAAGTTTCATTATAGTTTTCGCTGGGATGGGAATGATGTGGTGTTGCTTTTATTATTTTGAAAACTAGAGTTTGATTTGTTAGTTGGGGAAATATAAACTTCTAGTTTAATTTATTGGGAATAAAATATATCAAGTATTGAAGCTATTCATGTGAAGAGATTGCAAGATTTTATAGCACTTATAAAAACAATAA